TAGACCGGTCAAATTTTAGGTGTATAAACAGCTGCACAATTCAGTCACACTAAAAACTTGCCGGCCTGCGCGCTGCCCAGCACGATCGTCAGCAGCGGCTGTCGACGTCATGCGACAATGCTGCCAGCGTCGCAGTCTGTGGCGTGGCTGCTGCAGCAGAGTGAGAAACCGAGAGAGAGCAGCCGAATTGATTTCTAAATGTCACATGAGAGCGAGCATCGGAAGCGGAGGCGATTGGAGATTGGCAGTGTCTTTTTTAACAAAATCTTTTTATCTTTGGTCGATACGCACACACATACACACACGAACACGCACACACATACCTCTATTATTTGCAAATCCGGCTGCGTTGACTGCGCTGCTGCTGCTTCTTCTTCTTGTCGTCTTCGCTCCGCTCTTGAATATTGTTTTTGGGTTGGGCCTAGCAAACAAACAACTGCTGCTTGATGGCCCCCAAAGGCAATTTGAAGAATTGATTTTCCAGTCGCTGGCCAAACAAACGATTCGCAATGCCCGCAAATACGCGTTTTAAGTAGACTAAATTTATTTTTCAAGCACAGCCAATTGAACAATTGCCCCCCTCAACTAACCGAGAGATCACAGTTTTGCTCTTCTCTTCGTTCACGCGTTGTTGTTGGTACAGCGCAGTCAGTTTCACTTTGTCATTTGTTGTTGGGTCTCTACCGTTATTGCTGCACGTCGGCGTCGACAGAGCATCGGCTTCCACAGCAACAACACCACAAATTCCAACGTCTTCAGCAGCGCTGCGCCTGCTTCTGTTTCTGCTGGCTCTGCGCCCTCTCTGCTTTGGTGAACTTTTTTTCTCGGTGACGCGCTCTGGGGTCAGGAGTTTCGCACTGGTTTCTCGGTCGCTGAGCGTCTGCTGAGCTCAGCAAACATCACATTTCGTTGCGTATTGGCATTTGGTATTGTTTTTGACACTGCTCGTTTAATAGTTATACACTTTTTACTTAATTTTAACAAATTTGCCAGCCCGTTGCGTTGCGAAAAAAATTAATTCTAGCGATGGTAAACATATATGCAGTGTGACCGCGGAGTTATCGATAAGATATACCTCATGACCCGCAAAAATATACCGAAATACGTTATCTCGTTTACAAAATATACCGTAAATAAAGCGCACTGTAAATCATTTTCCTCATTTTGATATTCTAGTTAATATTAACAGCTAGCTAGAACTTTCAGCACTAAAACTAAAATTTTATTCGATTAATTAATCAATTGCCTGTGTTCTGAGGTCCTTAATTCGCTAGCAATAGTATAAAGATTATTCAGTATAGGGGAATTAGATTACCGGTCATGCAGTTAAGGGCCACAAACTTTTACGCCGACCTTGTTTGTGTCGCACACCTTGCACTTTTCCATAAAAGTCTGAGTATTTTCGCCACCCTCTTCTCCAATGCACAATGTAGACTGCAATGTAGAATTTACGAATGTAATTTGAATTTGAAAATTGCAATTGCAAATTATGAATGGGATAAAAATGCCATGAGGCATTAGGTAGAAACTGGATACCAAAGTTTTGAAATATTTTAGTTGAAGTTTTTTATTTATTTATGTGTAATTTCCTTTGTTGTTTTTGCTACAATAAGATTATGTGATAATACAAATCTAATTATAGATAACCCAAACTGGGTACTCACATTCACTCTAGTAACTTGATTGACAATCGCTTGATTAACGTAAATAAATGCCCGGCAACAGACAACCGGCATGGCGCCCGATCCGGCATCCGTCAACACATTTCCCAGCCAGTGGACAGCTGCATAAACATTTAAATTAACTGGAAACCTCTTCAATTACAGTAAAGTGATCCAATTGATATCAACTCACACATGTCTGTTTATGTTATACAGCTGTGTGCAATGAAATAGTGCGGCACCTCACCACTTTCAAAACTATTTTTTACAACCATCCAAATTAAACAAGTGATACATTTTTAGAAAGCTTAAAATGTACACATTAGAAACCCGAAGGAATCCTGGAATATTTGTGCTGAGTGCAAGTACTTCAAAATAAATAAAAACACAACATCAATAAACTTAATCTTAATCTACTATTTCATTGAACACAACTGTATATTTAAATGTAGGTATTGGAAGAGGTATGTGCAGGTTTAAGTGCATTTACAGATTCACGGATATGCTTTGTACTTAATTAAATGTATATTTAAGCTAAATCAGTCTTAAGTGACTGATGGATGGCCTGTGCGCGACCCGAGGGATCCTCCGGGCAGCCCCAGTCGAGGCGTGGCACCCACCTGATCACCGTGCGGGCCGCCGACTTGAGCGGAAACAGCTCCTCGAAGATGCTGCGATAGTAGAACGCCTCCTTTGTGGTGGGCGTATTGAAGGGAAATCTTTTGTAAGACTGTGCGAAATCCTCGTCGCTCACGTGACTGGTGGCCACACGGCGAATGCTGTCGATCCAGTTGTAGCCAACGCCGTCGGAGAACTGCTCCTTCTGCCGCCACAGCACATCGTACGGCAGATAGTTATCGCTGAAGGCGGCTCGCAGCACGTACTTCTCCATGCGCCTCAAGGGTTCTACGGCACCGGGGAACGCGTTGAGCTGTCCAGGAATCTTGTCCTCTGGTCGGATCTGCATCACATGGTTGACGAAGTTCGTGTCCAGGAAGGGCACACGCAGCTCCACGCCCTTGGCCATGGCCACCTTATTGGCGCGCAGGCAGTCGGAGTGATGCAGCTGCTGCACTCGCTTCACCAGCTCCTGGTGGAACTCCTCGTAGTTGGGGGCCTTGTGGAAGTACAGGTATCCGCCGAAGATCTCGTCCGCCCCCTCGCCGGAGAGTATCATCTTGATGCCGGTGCTCTTGATGTAGCGGGCGAGCAGCAGCATTGGCAGGCTGCAGCGCACTGTGGTCACATCATATGTCTCCAGGTGATAGATAATGTCGCGTATGCCGTCCAGGGCATCAGGAATCTCAAAGACGATCTCCTTGTGGTCACTGTTGATGTACTCGGCCACGTGGCTGGCCGCCTTAAAGTCGGGCGCATCGCGCAAACCCACGGAGAAGGTCTTCAGCCGATAGTCGGTGTTCTTCTCCCGCATAATCTTCGTGGCGATCGCGGCAATCAGGCTGGAGTCCACACCGCCCGACAGCAAAGCTCCAAAGTTGACGTCGCAGTGTAGATGCGTGCGCACGGCCGACTCCAGGCTGGAGCGAAGAAGCTCCAGGTCGCACGGCTTGGTGGGCACTTCCTTGATCCAGGATTGCTCAAAGTGCCGGATTGTTTGCATCTCTCCCACGCGTCCAAAGCGGGCCTCGCCCGGGGGGAACGTCACGACGTTGATGCAGGCGTCCACCAAGCACTTCATTTCGGAGGCCACCCACACATTGCCAGCCTCATCCTCACCGATGTACATGGGAATAATGCCAAAGGGATCTCTGGCCACGAGCACTTGCTTCGTGCGCCTGTCGTACAGGGCGAAGGCGAACATTCCCTTGATGTGTTTCAGCAGCTCCAACCCATAGTCCTGATACAGCTCCAGGATAACGTGACAGTCACTCTTCGGGTCGTAGGCGCCACGTTGCTTCTTTATGTCCGCCGACAACTCCAGGTAGTTGTAGATCTCGCCGTTGGCCACCAGCGCCACGTTCCCATCGTTGGAAACAAACGGCTGGTCGCCCCGTTCCACGCCCACAATTCGCAGACGTTCGTGAACCATTGCCACGCCATCCTCTGGTATTACATGGACGCCAGTGGAGTCGGGGCCACGATGCCGCTGCTTTCCGCTCTGCCGATAGGCCATCTCCCGCAGACTGTGCTTCCTGCCATGGAGCACCTGGCTGCCAATCGGCTTTCCATCCTTAGAAAATATGGCAAAGATTCCGCACATTCTGTATGGTTTTTTTTGTAGAATATTCCTTATTCCGAATCAGAGTCGCGCGCGAGAAAAATTGAAATGAATACTGCTATGTTGGGTCGCTGCTTTATAAATGTTTCTCTCTTGAGTATCGCTCTAACACTCTACTATCCGAGTGCTGACTTACACGTGCTTACTATTGCATCATATTTTGGGAAGAGTGAGGTCTGAAGCTGCATCACTAAAAGGGAACCTCTAGAATTGTATCGTTAGGTTTTGTTTTAGTTATTGCTTGTTGTTTAAACTAAATGAATTGTTTGTCATAATTAATTAAAAGACAATAAAATAAACAGCTGTTGTGGCGAGCGAGCTTTTTCTGTTGTGGCCATGAAGGGGGGACGAGCTTTTGCTGTTGTGCCAGTGACACAAGCCCGCACGAAAAAGCTTTTCTTGGACTCTCACATTTCTTTACTAACAACCCGAGCGGGGTTGAACAGCAATTTCTTCTCTCATTTTTTGCAAGCTGTCAGTCCGTTGGAAATTCAAAATTAGATCCGGCTTATGCCCGAAGAGCTTTGCGTTGTGTTTATGAGCTTTCATGCATTCCTAAGCGATTTAACCCACTTAAGCCCCCTGCATTTAAGACTGCTTCTAAAATATTCTTGTAGATAAATTGTTTCTGCTTTAATTGCTTATCTTATTCTTTTGAGCGAAGAAGCTGCGAAATCTTCTTTGAGACTGTGGAATCTCCTGAGCAAAGGAAATGGCAGAATTTCTGGCTGCCACTTCTACCAAGGGTCTTCCAAGGGTCTTCCAAGGGTCTGCTAGTGCGACGGGGCTGTGTGCTGTGTGTTTGCTTACAAAAGCTCACAAAAGCTAAACGGCTAACAGAAAGCTTCCATTAACAGACTGCTGGGCAAACAGGTGGTTGCCGTAAGTCCACGTCGGGTTTTCGGTCCATGCGATAAATAAATATGTCAAATAGATAAAAAACAAATCTCCCATATTTAATTATGCAGACATTTTAATTACGCATCTAACACTGAGCCAACACCCCCCATCCGCCCGATGATGTCACAGCTAACGGTTAAACAATATCGGAGACGCCCCCCCGAGGTTCACCCACTGGTCTAGCAGCGTGCGCGCTTGTTGCTTCCAAAGTCTCGTTGCCGCCTGATTTCGTTGTGTCGGCACCGAGCGCAGCCGTTCAGTAGCCGAAAGAACGCGACGCTGTGCGGCAGGAAGTTGCGTACACGCCGCATTGTCAGCGCAACACACCAACCGGAACGAGCACTCGGAGCAGTCCAGTAACCGTCCCATTACCGTTTTGGGCGCGCGTTCGCGTCCTGTTTAAAAGCCAGCCAAGGTGCTAAGTGCGCGTAATTAGCTCAAATGCAATTAATTGAAAAGAAATTATAATTGAATAACATTGAGGCGATGGATATAGCGATGGAGATGCCGAAGCCCATCCCGAAAAGTGATTCCCGGCGGGAAATTGTGCGACAAATGCCAAGCAAAGCGTACATAAATCCAATTAATTTCTAATTCAAATCAAGGTTACACTGCACATCGAGGAAAACCCCATTTAACACAAGAAAATATTGAATCTTGGCTAAATATTTGCATACTTTAAAGTGATTTTAAAGTAAAAGTGAAAAAGTTTCATTGGTTTACGGATCAGCCGACACTAAACCGCTTGAAATTGATAACAAATTAATGGAATTATTCACTCGAGCACCCGAGTCCTGTAAATTGCAAATGAAAACATAAAAACTTTTTGCTGTAAAAACAACTTTGAACAGAGCAAAAGTGAAGGTAAATTGATGTGGCCACAAAACCAAACAAAAATACCAAATCAAAATGAAATAAAGCAAACTTTTGATTCGGCGGGACTAGCCAGGCCCGAAAAATCGAATCGAATCGAATCGAATCGACTCGAGCATGACCTATTACTGTCACGTCCGTATCCGGCAACAACAGCTTTTGGGTCACGTTTTGACATTTGGCCAGGCAAGGCCTATCCAAGATCCCACATCCGGGAGCCCCTACGAGCAGCAATAACACAACAAATTAGAGCCACTCGCCAAAGTTGTGGGCCGATTAATTAAAAAGTTTTCACGCGGCCAGAATCAAATCAACAATTTCCCCAAGTATTTAGGCGTAAAAATCGAAATTTTTGCAAAGTTTTTTTTTCAGATATTTCATTAGATGCGCAGTGGGAATGGGTCCATGTTGTGTCCTGTTGTTGGGTAGCTTGTTGTGGTGTTGTCTACGACTGGGAATGAAAATCAATTCGCATTATTGCAGCCTCGCTGAATTTTCCAAAAAACCTGCGACTACACACACCACTCCACTCGGAGCCGTCACAACTCTTTCGGCTTCGTAGACGCAAATACATTTTGAGGTTGTAAATATGCACGAATCCGAGGGTTGATTAGACCCCGATGGACACCTCAGCTGCCTGCTGCCTGCTGCCTGGTGTCTGGTCTGGCCAGGTGATGTGCTTGACCCCGCGCGTTGACCCTAAAAATAGGCATGTGCAGCCTCAACCCGCTCTATATATAATCCTTCTCCCGTTGCGGCTCCATCTTTAAGCTCTTAATTGGTTTTTCTGCCACTGTGCACTGCTGCGACTGTGACGTGACACAAATTGTGGCAGGACGTTCAATTTTTGGCCCAAATAAACTTGTACTCCGAGTAGCTGTAGCCAAAGTCCACACAACACACACACAAAAGCATAGTCTACTTTTCAGCCTTTAAGGACACGCCTTCGGCTAATTGGTATGTGTGTGAGGGTCCTGTAAGCGAGTGTGCTTGTGTGTGTGTGTGTGTGTGTGTGTGTGCCTGTTTGTCATAATCAAATGTGCGCCTGGTCATGTCTGAACACGCAAGCAAAAAATGAGTTTCTGTGGTGTGAGGGTCACCCTAATGACAGGGCGACTAATCGTGAGGGCCAACAGAATGGGAAAAAAGTTGCGACTACTGCAGTTCTTAATTAGCAATTTGACGCATTATGCGGCTAAGCCGGTGGCATGTGGCAGGATTAGTTCCTAAAAGGTAAAAAGCAACCGGAGAGACGTTGATGAAGCCAACGGGCAGAATGTTGCATATTAAGTGGGGAGCAAAGCTGCTTTGTGGAAGGCGCACGGAGTCAAAGACTGGCACTCGGACGCTCTGTGCTAATAGCTAGTTAATTAGAGCTGCTTGTGCCAGTACAAAGATGAGCCCAAACCATGTTAAGCTGTGGGATAATTCTCTGCTTTTGTGTGCGACTTTCTCATACAATCAAATGGAGAATAATCTGCCATTCCTTCCAGTGCGATTCATTGTCAATTCGTCAGGCCAATGGCAATTGAAATGTATACATAATGAGGCAGGCTCAGGCTCAGCCTTGACATTGAGATACAAGTACAAGATGCACCAACGAGTGGCCAGAGCCAGAGCCACAGCCACAGCCAGGGGCACTACACAGACAGACAGATGCCAGTACAAAGAAGGAATCCGAAACATCCTGCAGTTATTTTTGTGATTGAATCAATAAGACGCATTCAAGAAGGTCGAGTTCCGGCATTGGCAAGTGGATCAAAAACCTGTTGAACAAATGCCAATGCCTCGGGGCGGAAGAGAAATCTAACGAGAAACTTTGGACCCAGACAAACATTTACTGGGAATCTGTTATGGTATTTCAGTTGGGCAAAAAACATATTTAATCAATTTATTTATGCTTCAATCACACAATTTAATTCAATTCGCGTGGCGGCAACGACGATGGCGTTGCCCTCCGCAAACGTAATTCGATGGGAAAGGCCTTGAAAGTGAAATTTCATTCATTCAACTTTAGGCTGTTTAGTGGAGGGCAGGAGCAGGAGCAGGAATTTAATATGCCCAGCGACAAGTAAATAAAAGTAAAGTATCCGCCTGGGACGGGACTGGATGTCATGGCGTATACTTAATATACTTTTCACTGCAGCCAAGAAGCAGGGAAAGTTTACCGCACAGGAGGCGCAGATATACACGAGCAGATAGGGAGAATCAAGCAAAAGTTTTTGGCTACTTTTTACCCTACTCGCAACAGATAAATGACAGAATAATTGTCCCCCCAGCCGCATTTCATTTAGTTTCAGCTTTTGACTAGACCAGACGAAACTCTGCCAAGAGTTTTTGCGAACGGGACTCGTACTTGACTTGGTAAACCGCTCCCCAGACAGCAACATAAACTCAACTGAACTGCCTCCTGTGTGCCTGTGTGTCGGTGTGTCTGTTGCCAAGAAAAACTTATGGTTCGGCAGCTTTTGGGCTGTGCTAATTGTTCTTGTTTTGCTGGTGGTGCTTCTGCTGCTGTGGCTCAAACATTGTAGCCTAGTTTCGGCCGCGCTCACAACTTGTGGCTGCAATGGCCAACCGCGTAACAATTGCAGTTTTGCTTTGACTACGGAATGCACTTTATGGCAAAGGGTATTAGTGGCTTGAAGCAGGCAGCTTGTAAACAGAAATACGAATACAAAACAGAAGGAACGATCACTAAAGAGAGTAGAGAGATTCACTTATGCAGAAGAGGTGCGTGTTTCCTAGCTGGAAATACTTTTAATAAAAACACGAAATCAATAGGAAACATTAGGCACAGAATTACACTTCGTTGTGGCATCAAAGACGCGAAAGAGTGTTCCCATTTCACTACCAAAATTTCTCATTTAATTCTGTTTGGTTTTTTGTTATTTTTGTTAGTTTTTCTCCACCTCTTTTGTTTATGTCTCTCAAATTGCTGCCAAGGCTATGCAGCAATCGAAAACGGTGGAAAACAAGGCACGAGGACGAGGAAAAGCCAAACAATGCCAGAAAAGCCACCGCGGTTTATGGCAGCCGAGAAGTTGCTCCATCAGTTGCAGTCCTCCTGCACCGATAGACAGACAGACAGACGGTATTCCGCTTTCCCTGACATCTGAAAGCCGTAATGCGCCCCGAAATCACTTAAGCCGCCGCTGCTGGCTATAAAATCACCGAAAAACCCATAGAAAAAACATAAACAAATTGTAAAAATACATTTTTAGTAGACATGCCCGTGGAATTTGGCAGCGGAAAGATTACTGATGCACGGAGAAATTGAGACAAACTAATAACCGAATCTAAATTAACTCGATTTGATTCCACATTCCATTGAACTGGAAAACTTTGTTGCCTCCGAGTTGCATTCTTTCAATGCAATTTCGCAGTGGGGCCTCGGCAGTCGCTGATCGATCTGGCGGCTTGTAATAGCTTTTGGCTGCCTTAAAAGGCACCGCACATTAAAGCCATTTAGGCAGAGAGTGTCATAATATGAGACAGAGAGAGAGAGAGAGACCTCTGCATGAGTCACACATCACTAGCCACTGGCAGTCAAGCGAGCAAACTGCAACGTAAAGATATCTGCCATTGAGCAGAAGAGATATATTAAGAGATATTAAAAGATACATTAGAATACATGAATCTGCTTTCTTCTGCGTTTAGTTTACACCCCTTTATGCCTGGCAGTCGCTTTTCCCTCTATTCCGTTTTAATGGCCTGCACTGTAGCAGAGCAAAAACCATTCAAACTCGCATGCAAACCATTAAAATGCTCAATTTTCGAGCAGGGACATACTCACACACGAGTCTATCCCCAAAAGCAGCGGTTGGTGGGGCTGGGGGCGTGTTGCCAACAATATCTTGTTGTCTACTTGTGGAGCTGATAAAAATTCACTTTATTCAGTTTGGCTGTTTATTTGCTTTTGGGCACAAAGTGGTGACCGTGCAGCGTAGTTCCAAGCGGTACAGAGCATCGAAGAGCGTCCGCTCAAGTGGCAAACAATCAGAAAAAAATAGGGAGTGAGGCAGAAAAATAGAAAACTTTAACTGCAATTGCAAAGGGCCAGACGACCAGTCGACCAAGTTGCAGTTTTTCTTTCAGTTTACTGAAAAACTATATTGGAAATTGCGTCTATCTACGGCTAATCTGACGTTGGGGAGTTGTTTTTTTTACCTCAAGTCAGAGTCAACTTTCTTGCATTTTTCCACTTCACTAAAGATGAACCCAGGAGTTGCCTTTTCTACCTGGAATGAATGCCTTAAGAGCAGCTTCTTTGCTCGGAACTTTGCTCAATGTTTTAATCAGCTTTCCACTCCATACATTGCCAAGAAGTTCCACTGCAAGCAGAAATAATAGGAGGGCCTTTACCTGGATCCGAGCTGTAGAAATGTTTGTGTGTAATTGGTCCCCATGGTGGCATATTTTATTTATGCAACTGCATCTTTGCTGAAGTCCAAAATGATTGTACAGGCAACTCGAGAAGTTTCTCCATTTCTTTATGTGCAATTTACAAGTGGTTTTTTTTTTGTCAACAATTTATTGTTGCTCTCCGATTCGATTATTGTAAATGGTTGAGTTGGCAGTACGGAAGGTACGGGTCTCTTTGAGGAGGGAACCGCGTGGCCCCATTGTGCCCCTGTATCTTACTGGTTTGCCCGTTTATTTACCCATTTTCTGGTGCCGCTCGCTTTAAGAATATTTTCGGGCTGCGGCTTTGATAAACACACACAAACACACGCATTGGGTCTGCGCCGAATGTGTATAAAAGCTGACAGCAAGAGAAAGAAACGATAAAACAAAATGGGCAAGTTGCTGCCAAGGCAAACAGCCATAAAGACATAATAATTGAAAAATTAAATACACACGAGCAGCGAAGAACGAGTTAATTTTGTATTAAATTTCTCGCTTTAAGGTGGCACGTGGTCGTACAAAATGAATGGAAAGATAATCATTTTCATAGCAAAAACGAAAAGTATACAAAGAAATGAACCAAACACACATGCAAGTAGTTTGTCATTGTCCAAACAACAGCAGCGCAAAAGAGACAGCCCTGGAAAAGAGTAGAAAAACATAATTGAAACTCGCACAGTTTTCATTAATTTTCCAGGCAGGCCACGGAGCCAGTGAAGCGGCGGCTTCGGCCTCCGCCTGTGTGCTGTGTCGGATGATGCTATGCTGCCATTAAGGCTAAACACAAACCATTTAATTCCCTGTTTAATCATAATTTAAGGCACGCTTCAACGTCACTCAAAGTCAGTGAAAACCCCTTCAGTTGGCTCTTCCTTTAGCCGTTTAAATTATGCCACAAATTGTTGAGTTTGTCTCGGAAACGTATTTTATTTAAAAATATTCTGCAATGCAGAGTGGCATTGCTGGAAGGGTTGGTATTTCAAAAGATGGATCTAAAGGGAGGCTTACAAACGGTTTGGCTCTGAAGGGAGGCTACAATGTCGGCACTTTAGTGCAATGCGTTTGATGTGGCCTTTTGCTCTTTCATTTTAACAGCTTTGTTGTTGAATTAAAGTTTNTTTAAATAAAGTTTAAAACCACAAAAACCCCCCCCCCCCCCCACTCATCTCCCCTCATCCGGGTAGGTGTTTAAACCCCTTTTGAGTGGTTCATAAAAAGTGAACGCTTTCTTTTTTTGGAGTAAATAATTTGGTTGGGTTTGGGAATTTTATTGCAGTTGCGGGGAGTCGTCGTTTTATTGAGTCGTTTGACAGCAGTCGCACTACAAATATTTGATGTGTGTGAATATTCAAACAATGATTGGGGAATATTCCAGATATTCTCATTGCATTCCCAACATCCCGAATGATTCAACTTTACGCTGAAGAATGATAAAATACTAAATGGTAAATGGTAAATCCCAGAACGCCATTGCTTAGGGGCACCCGTAAAAGCATTTCTATGGCAAGTCATGCAATATGCAGTCACAGCCAATGCATGCCACAAGAGCAACAGCAGCAACAACAACAATAATAAAAGGAAAGAGGAAAAGAGACAGGAAAACACAAACCGCATAATGTAAACGAGCGTATGCCATGATTAGCAGACATTTTGCGGGTCAAAATTAAAATAAATAGCCAGTGGTAAATGGCAAAAATGTGCTGCCAAAAGCGTAAACACACACAATTCTGAGCGACACCCATCCGCCTGCCGTCAGCGCGCTCAGTCTCTGGAAACGTTTCAATTTATGCACGTGCGGCGGGCATTTCCTCCCAATTCAATTAGGGCCTCAATTTGCAGCGCTGTCAGCTGGCAAGCATCTAATTATTTATTGAAACGCACTGAATAAGAAATTATGTTTGCCACCCACCCACACACGGATGGCGCGCTAAACGAAAATATTTATTTATCAGTTTTAAATGTCATTAAAATGGGCGCCGGTCGAACATCTAAAATGCAAAGCCTGAAAGTATGCAACAGTTTTCGACCAGAAGCGGCCTGGCATTTGTTTATATATTATTGAAATGAAGTAAATTAATGCTAAATACTACAGCTGCCAGCAGTAAATATTAATTATGCCAATTTGAATTTGTGATCCATCAAAAATGAAACCTTTCATACTATAATTAATTGTTAAACAGAAGCTGCATATGTGCAAAAGTAATTAATTTTCAAAGGCAAACAGAACTGGCATAAAATATACCAAAATGGCTATGAATTTCTGATCAATTGGAACAAGAAACTATGCTAAATATATATGCAAAAAGGTCAAAATGTTACCAATTGGATTTGCCAAAAATGCAGTTAATATTGTAAGAAAAGTTATTCTTAAGATTTACACTTTAAACCAATTTCAAACCTGCTAATTGCCCTTTTAACAACCTCTCTCCTCGTACAACCATGATGACTTCACTTCGTTGGCCCCTGCCTAGATGGAGCTTATCCCGAGAGCACTTCACACCCAACTATGCTATGCGCTTACAATAATTAATTAAAAGGCTTCCGAGAGTTCTCGGACCTGCACAGGAGTGTCTGCTTTTGGCCTTCTTTTTTTGGTGGATGCCGGCCCCGTGGCCCCGTGGCCCCGTGGCCATCTCTTATTCGCGTTGGGTCATTAATTTATTTTTAAGAAGCGCATAATTGCCCGGCATCCTGCTCCAGTAACAGGAATTGGAACTGCAGCAGGTCCAGGGTGCACCCTGAGGGTGCCGTGCCTGGATAAGCCGTTGCCAGTGGGCAACTCCGATTGCTGGATTCATTTTGTTTGTTTGTTTATCGTTCCTTTCATGCAACATAAATCGCTGGCTCAATGCATGGAAGCAGCAGTAACAGAAGAAGGAACAGCAGGAGGTGCCACGAGGCAGCTGCAATCCTTTTGGCCTGTCCGTATGCATGTCCCTGGCAGCAACTCTTGCACCCAACCCCGATGCACGCAGCACGATGAGTAGTTGAGTCGCCTTTGTGCCCACTGGTGTCGACATGAGTCAGAAACTTAATTATTTTGCTGCCGCGCGAACGGCTAGCAGGACACCAAACAAAGTGTTTGCTGAATGCGACATAAATCGGCTGCCGGGACATGCCTGACATTTTGACGCAGCTCGCAAAATTTGTACAGCCCAGCTGCAGCACAAAACACAAACAAAAAACAAGCAACAAAATCGTAAGAATATTTACAGTCAATTTGTTGGCCCTCTCCCTTTCTGCATGCTCCAAGTGCCATAAACTCTTTTTGGTCTCTGTGTGTGTAAGAGATACACAAAAGGACCTGCCATGCGTTGTGGCTGTCCTATTCCTGGACTAGCACCTGCTGCGTCGCTGCCGCTGCCACTGCCACTGCCGCTGACAGTTTTGTGTTTAAACAAATTTTAAGAACGACTCAGAAAAGGGTAACAGAAATGGGGCTGCCCGCAAAATGCGTTGCAGGAACAGCGACAGGAAATCGGCAATGCCAGTGGGTGGCCATTGGGTGTGTGGGGGGGACTGGGGCAACACGTTAGACCAAGCGGAAACTTGGCTGGCAACGGCATAAACTGGTTACATTGTCACAAAACGAAGAGCCAAACGATACGTTACGAAATGAAATGAAAGAAGCGTAGCGGAAATTCCAGGAATATCCTCAGAAGTATGCAACCCCAAGCCTGCTCCTTGTGGAGCAACAGGATGCATATAAATCATTGCAGGGCAACGGCAACACATAAAAAACACAAAATATGTGCACGACGCTGGCAATAAAACATGCTCAGCAGATGGCAGATGGCAGCAGGCGAGGTGTGGGGGATCTGTCACACATTTATGATGAGAAATGGCACAGGACCAAGAGACACCCTGTACGATGACGGTTAAGTGCATCCTGTTAAATGGCATTAAATTGTGTTTTATGACTCAGTAATAAGCGGGCTGGTGTACGCCTTGGCTTCATCCAATTGTGGTGCAGGCAGGCAGGCAGCGAACCGCAGATAGCAATGGCCAAGTGGCCAGCGAGTTGCAGGCTCTGATTGAATTTGACTTGATGTTGCATGGACTGGCAATGGCATAGCAAAAGGGCGACACATAAGAAGCAGCCTCTGCAGGGTCCATGCTGCTCCTGATGATGCTCCTCCCCTTGCTGTTACTGCTGCTGCCTCTTCCTGTGTTGAGCAAAAAAACATTTGACATTTCTAGTGTTTGCTGTGTGCCATGGGGTTGGGGCACCCCACAACAGACACTCGCATGGCCCACAGCCACCCAATAACAGAGCGGGGCGACAGTTTAAATGGCACAGTAACAGAGTGACAAACATATATGCCATATATATATATGCCAGGCTCATTTTGCTGTGCCTCTGACTGTGGGCATTGCAAATTCGAAGTATGGTTTGTAGTTCGCACTTTGGGCATACATACGGGTAATAAACGTGAGGCAAATGTGGCAGCATCTAAGATGAACTAATCGTAGATCGAATTCTTGGAGAATCTCTTGTAAATATTATTCTTAGTTGCACTTTCTGAGTAAGAGCATCCAAGCAGCGCTTCCCTGCTGCCATTCTCGCTCTCTGTTGCTTTTGTTTCTTTTTCGTTTGTTTTTTATGCCACCTTCTTGTGCACACTTTTGCACTTGTCCCCATCTCTATAGGTACTACATTACATATACATACATATCTGTACACTGCCACTGCCTGACATGTAGTGTCCCTCGTTCTGTCCGCTTTTCCCTTGCTCCTTGCCCCTGCCCATATCCACTTGAAATCTGTCAACTGCAACTATTTATTAAATTATATACTGCCATTGTTAACTGTGTGAATGTGAATGTGAATGTGAATGTGAATGGGAGGGAGACCCACACGAGGGTGTGTGGCTGTGGCAGTGAAATTTTCTCTCTTTAGTTTTTTGTTTGCATTAAATTTAAGTGCAAAGTCTTGGAGCTTTATTGAGAATGCTAAATGCGATTTGTTGCTTATCTGTTTACAGATTCCCGGATTGGCAGTGGCTTCTGCACATTTGTCGCCAATGGAGAGGAGAACCTGGGGCCTCCTGCCCCACATTTTGTGGCAGCATTAGGCAAATTGACAACAGCTTAAAACGCTTTGAGGCGACGGCGGCTTAAAGCACAGCCAGCAGCAGGAGGTTGGTCGGGAAAAAGCTGCTGTCAACCCCAAGGATTCTCTCTCGCTGCCTCTGTCGCTGGCAGCTAAAACTCCCACTTGACGAGGAGCAGGCGTTGGGCGGAGAAAAGGAAAGGTGGAAAGCTGAAGCATCCGAATAGACGCACAATGAGTGTCGAACTGGAGGAGGAAGAGGAGCGCATTTGCCTCAGGTGAGTGCTGACAGACAGACACTTTGGGTTGAGGTTGAGGTTGAGGTTGAGGTTGAGAGTGTGTGTGTGGCACGGCACAATGTTGTGGCATGCATTCTTAAAGCCTCTGTGTGGCACGGTTTCAGGCATTCCATTGCAGCACAAATGAAGAATAAATCTGAGAGTCGTTATTTGTTCTCCTACAATAATCAATTAAATGGAACTACAACTCCGGCCGCACCCCCTCCCGCCGCTGCCATGGAACAATGTGTTATCCGAACACAATGCCATTTTGTGGCAGATGCAAAGCCAAGGCAACAAAGGGCGACAAACACCAATAACAACAGGCACTACATGGGCGCGGGAGAGGGTGTCGGGGGGTAGGAGCTATTCAATGTCAATCTCATATTTCAATTATGCTTTATAAATGGCAACAGACGACGCGACGCGTCTGACAAAGCTGCCGTCTCCGTTGCCCAGGCCACTCGATATCAGACTCCTGCCCCCCACGAGAGACTCGCTTCAAGGACTCGCGCAAGCCTTTAAAAGGCAGCATTAAGTGTGTGTGTGGCAGAAACAACTTGCAATTAAAGAGTAGCTACAAGTTGGCTAAGGAAAGTCCCTGACTTTGCACTTTGCGGTAATGCAGAAAAAAAAACCACAGATTAAAATGGGATAACGACTAGGAAGTGCTCACTGAAACTTAACCAAAAATGAGTCAAAGGAAGCTGCCAAGAACTTGTTTGCTTTTAATTACTATTCATAAATATTGCAGCTATTAACTCTCCCTTTGTTATGCCATTCCTTAGCCGCTCTGTCACATTCCTTTGAGCAAACACAACATGGCCTTTGCTGTCAGTGCTCGTTCAGTGGGTATTTAAACCATAGAAGCGCTTGTCGTGTGTGTGGCACGGCAAAAGGACTGTGCTGCTCGCTCGTGACTTAATCGAATTATGCATTTTTAATTGCATAATAATGCACAGACAATCAACTTGTGCGCTGGCTTTAAGCGGGAAGGGGCCATTACACGAATTGCATTCCCATTAAATAGAAAAACCTCACCAAGGTCTGCTCTCTACGCGCTGCCTTAACTTTTTGGCAGCACCCTTTTGGGCCTGGTCGAAGCATTTATGCATCGAAGGGGAAGAAGGAGCAGTCAGTAAAGACCTGAAATGTCATGCAAATTTTCTTTTTCTATGCAAATTTTTTACTTCAAGTAAACAACAAGCGACAAAATCAGAGACAGGGAAAGGCAGAGAGAATGAGCAGTGAAGATGGAGCCACAACAAAGGCGACAGCAGAGAAACTAGGTAGAAGCCAAGCGGATTTTCGCATAGCGAAACACCCGGCCACAAAATGGGAAATTTTAATGACAAACGCACAAGCGAAATGCTGCACAACGAATTGGTGGATGCCCTACAGAAACAGCAATTAAGAGCTGGCTGGAAAAAGATGAGAAATTTTAGAAATAAATCCCTAAACCAGAAGCAATAGTTGGCAGACTCTTGAAGCTAATTAACATCTACTTTAAGGCATCAGTTATGCCTGGCAAACGTGTCCTCAAAGTCGTAATAGTCGCTCCCCGAAAGGCACATCAACAATGAAGCCACGGCAGTAGCTGGCAGACATTTCGCGACTTTTAATGGGTAGACAACTTTTAACAGCGGGGAAAGCTAATTAGTTAACCGTAAACATAAATAGCCATGTCCTGGCCAAACTTTTATGAGGCATCCACACTGCACACTCCGCCCTTTGCCATTGCCATTTGCACTGTCGTTTTCGTGTTTCCCTTTCAAGATTTCGCTGGTAAATGTCAAAATGTTCGCGGAATACAAAAATCGGCAGAGTGGCGAGAGCCACGGGCACACAATTTGTCAATTTTAATGGCTTTCGAATAGGATGGCTGGACGGAGGGCTGACTGGCTGGCAAATACTTGGTAACTTGATTGCTGCTTTAAAAAGTGGCCACTTATACGGCTTATTGCCTTTTTTTTTTGGTTGCTGCTTTCCTTTTGGGGCTCGGCTGCTCCTTGACTCTGATTGCTGCTCGTTCCATGTCGGACACGACACGAAATGCCAACACTCCGCCTTTATGTGTGTTTACCCAAATCAGAAGCAGTCCGTGAAATAAAAACGCTTTGATTTGAGCGGGAAAAAGGACATCAAAGACGTCTTTCAGCCTAAGCGCATTTTGTGCATAATAATGCGTAGCGAAGCTCTTGCTTTATGCCAAATGATATCATTTTGTAAGTGTCTAAAGTCCAACTCTGATTGAACCTCCAGTGGGTCACCCCACACCGCCTTTGTGGCCGTTTTTTTATGGGTTTTCTCTCTGCTGCTTTGTTGCGCTTGTCCTTTGTCCTCTGTGGCCTGCACACCCATGTTGACCAGTGTCCAACATTAACCCAAATCCAACAGACACAGAGCCAAACACACACAGTGGCCCAAGTAGCGACAGGCGACTCCTTGAGGGGGCATTTTATGTGCTTGAACTCTTAGCTAAATGAACTAGCCATAGACAGTGGCCATAACCGGGGCAAGGTACTGCTTAGGGCACAGTCATTGACAGGGGGGACAGGGGACACCTGCTGCTAAGTTTTTGGCACTCCTTGGCCTGGCCTCGTGCCTTAAATTAATTATCAATGATGCCCATAATCATGGTTTATTGTAATGAAATAGTTTTTGGCTTCATTTCGATGACTCTAGGCATTCGGGGAGTGTATCCACTGCAGGCAACGTCCCCTTGGCAATCGTCTTGCGTCAATCTTGCACTAATTATCTCTAAATATTTACCACACCCACTCGCAGCAGTGGAGGCAGCAGCAGCCATGCCATGGCAACCTTTATTAGCGCGCGCCAGCTGTGCTGAGAGCCACGCCCATGCCGGAACACACACACACTTGGAAGGGCTTAAACGCTTAATAAATAAAGTAAGCAGCTTGAGCGAGAGGGTGGGAGAGTGAGACATCGTTTTGGTTGCCATATCGATAGCTTTAGCCTTGGCAAGCAGTTAGTTGGAGGCGCCAATGTTGCTGCTTCTGGAGGCATGGCAATAATGCATGGAAAACACACACCAGTTGGTTGCACCCCTGTGGGTTGGGTTAAGCATAAATATGTCAAGTGTTAATTGCTGCCACTTAACGCAGGCAGGGCGAGAGAGGGTGAATGTGGTTGAGACTTGAACGTGTAAATATGACTTTAATCTACTTAGCTAAGCAGCTGCTTGCCTCCCCTCAAGACACGTAAGTCGCAGAGCAAACAAAGCCACAGACACAGACACACACACTTACAGCCAGCAGCCACAGAAACGGATACACACACCCTTCCACAGCACTTGTTACACACCCAATAATGTGCTTTAACAAGCTTCTTATGGCCATAAATTCAACAAGCCAACAAAAGCTCATAAAAAGGGCTCACTTCCTCACTCTGCTCTCACTTCCCCCTTGGGTGCTGTGAAGTGGAGCAGGAGTAAGGGTAGGAGATTGGACTGATTGGCGACTTGAAACTAAAACCCCAACGGCTGTCTGTATAAATAAAAGCCAACAGTGCAGACATGCCTCTGACATCAACCCAACAACAAACAGCAGGCCCTGGACAGGAAATTTCATAAAACAAAAGAAGGAACTCGGATCAGCAAAAACTACAACACTTGCTGCCAGGAGGCAAATTGTGTAAAGGATGCAGAGCTGATCAGAACCCCCACAGCAAATCCACCAATTGCTGCAGATAAACATTGCGTGGACTCATCATCATCCTCATCCTCATCATTAGCGCTGTCGTTATCGCTGGGGCCAGCAACCAAGCTCTCGTCAATTACCATATCAGCAACAATGTTGACCAAAACTGATTTCACTTAGCGTGCCAGAGAGGCAGCAGCTAGCAGAGAGAGAGAGAGAGCGGGAGAGCCTCGCTCCATCCACCCAGAGTATCACATTATATCCAGACGATGCCAATATTTGTTTCGCTCAGTTGTCAAATGCCAGTTCAATGGGAAAGACGCGAAATATATAAATGAAATAAAAGAGCGTCACTCGAGTGAAAAACAAAAGCCAGTTCAGCAGACATAACATATGTGCATTGCTTATGGAAAGAAAGAAAGAAAGAAAGATCCAAAACGGCAACATTAATACAACCCAAAAAGATGACGTAGAGGGGAAGAACTTCAGTGCAAAGTTCTGCAAGTGAAAAGTGATTCAAAATATGTTCGAAGCGGAGACGGCCCCCAGTTCGATTTATCGATTTTATTATTTTTTTTGAATATTGTTGCGCCATTATCAACACATTTATATAGGCGATAATTATATTAGAAGTTTATCTCGCTTGCTGGCGATAAAACGCGACTCGTTGCGACCGGATTCGTGTGCTTCGTGTTCTCTGTTTATCTCTGGGATTATTACTCATCCGCCACAGTAACCCCTGCAACTTTGTCCACTCCACACCGATTCCCAGCTGCGTGCAAACACTGGTTTGTGGTCCAATGTGTTAATCAATGAAACGGAACGTGATCTCTTTCGATTCAGGCATGTGATATCGTTTTATTGGACCAAAACTTACAGGTGTGTAAACAGAAACCCAGCCGGAGAGGCTGCTAAATGTCGCTTGGATGATTGAAACATTAAAAGGTGCTAAAATCTCAACAGACTCGGCTCACTTGAAGTGCGATCTTTTTTGTTAGGGGAAAATTCCATTTACATTTTATTTCAACAGCAAAACGAATGTTTTGATGCTTATTTTCTCTCCACATTCAAACATGAATCAACACATTTTAAGGTCTGTAGAATTATGCATCAATTGCTGTTCTTATAGCAAAATAATAACTGATATAATGCGTGGGAGTGTGCTTAGATAAAGTTAACAAGAGATAAGCACAGTCCACAGAGAGAGAGAGAGAGAGCACACAGCAGTGTGGAGCGGCCTACACATCGATTGGTAGGGACAGTAAATGTAGTAAAATACGAGCATGATCCACGCTGTCTGGCACCGCACAAACAATAATCCCAAAATAAACGCACGTCTCTTTGGCCAGCAGATAAGTTTGATAATGCTCGTAACTGGCACATAATGAAAGTCTAACGAGCAAAAGCAAAGGCAAATGAAATGAAATTTGTATGAAAATTAAATTAAAGCATAAACGCCGAAGGAAGAATGGCACAATCGATGTGCTCCATGTACTCCTAGCATCGTGTATATTATGTACATAAATATGCAACATTCAAAGATATTCCCAACATGGCTAAGGCTTCAGCTGCGATTTATGGGCCATGTTTCTGCTGTTGGACTTGCATGTAGTTTTCCTTTTCCTTTTTTTGTATTATTTGTCTCTCTGCTGCCTGCCCTGAAAAGTATGCTATATTCCGGGCAGAGTGTGAGTATGCGTGCCTGCACGCTCCTGTATGTGTCTGCCTGTGTGCAGTCGTGTGTGTGAGTGTCTAAATGCTAATTTGAATAATGACAACGACATCAACGCGCGCTCAGACATTTTCCCGTTAGTGGCCCTGCTGCTACCCCGCCATTTTGTGTGTGTATTTCCGCTGCGGCATCGCATCGGGGAATTTAGGTTCAAGTAATCTGCTATAAAGCATACGGAGCGTACGTACCATATCCGGTGCGACAGGGCGCGCGTGTCCTTTCAAAACAACAGACAAATAAACAAGAAATTATTCAACAGCCAGCAAGAGTGTGAAGGAATGTTGGACAGAGACTAGAGAATGCTCTTTACCCGAGAAGTGTATGAGAAATTGAAGCGGGAAACGTAAAATATGTTCTATAAAATCACAGAAAAACACTCAAGGATTTATTGGTTAATTCCTGCCATGATTCACACCCGAAATAACTCACTTTAAGCGTGTCAAAGCGCCACATTTGATTGCTCTCTCCCTTCTGGCATACATAAAATCAAAGAAATAATCAAAGGTTTATGGCGCAGACCCTAGACATACCTCAGACCAGGGCAAATTAATTTACCATCCACACAAATTTCACATTTTGGGAGTGTGGGAGCCGAATGCTTACCCTCATTAGAATGCAGACACCGAACTTCAAAGGGAACATTGAAATTTACGGGCACAACTTTGTGTCTTTATTCTCCCGCAGAAGCGCGGAGGAGGACCAACAGCAGCAACAGCAGCAGCAGCAGCTCAACATGGATGACGACAAGCTGGTGTCGGATGAAGTGCATCTGCGACAACTGAGCGCCACACCTTTGTGCGCGCTGCAACAGCGCAGACAGAGCAACACGCTGACACATTCCGCACCGCCAGAGCTCCAGCAACGCGCCGCCGGTGGGGACAAGAAAGAGGCGGACAAGCCAGAGTCGGAGCAGAAGGAGGATCAGGAGGACAGGGTGGTGCTGCGTCGCGCCGCCAACAAGGGCGCCATTGCCTTGGCACAAATTGACGACCTAAAACTGGAGGGCGATGACGACGACGACGACGCTGGCCCGGGTCTAAGTAATCCCGCAGCGCAAACCACAGATGATGAGCAGATTACGGCCGCAGACACAGCGGCAAGTCCAGCTCCAGCAGCAGCCTCCTCCGCCTCCTCGGAGGTAAGTCAATATGTGGCCACGCACTTAGAACTAATTAAAAGCGAAACTAAAACCAAAAAACACAGCAGGATGCAGCAGCAACGCCCACTCCAACGACGACAACGATAGCCACTCTAGCAGCAGCCATGATGGCAGCGGCGGCGGCACCGCCGGACATGTCCAAAATCCCACGACTGCCCGGCGACGGTGCCCAGACAATGGATGACAATGGCGACCTGCCACCCTCGCTGCGTGCCTCGACCACATCAATTTTGTCCAATTTGCGCAAGAAGCAGCAGGCCATGTTGGCCGGAGGCGGCCTCAAGGGGGGCATGGTCAAGCAGACGCCTCTGCGAGTGCAATCGGTGAGAATTGTGGAGGCGAAGCGTGCCTACGGCCCCAAGCGACGCACCGAAAGCTGCAGCATCTTTGGCAACAGCAATTTTGGTGAGCATTTAAGACTGATTCCCCGCCCGCCCCAAGAGTTGCTCTCACTCTCTCCCTCCGGGCAGATCACGAACTGGAGTCGGGCGCCTCCATCTCGAGCATCGCTGTTGGTGGCCCACAGCGACCGCTGAACAACGAGACTTACTCGGCCTTCAAGAGCGGCAACGTGGTCAAGGGCATACTCTGTCCCTCGCTGACGAACTCCTTCAAGCAGAGCTCCCTGGAGCGCAGCTATCTGACGTACACCCACCGCCAGCGGCAAAAGTCGCTGATCATCGTCAATGTGGTGGACTTTGTGCTGAAGATTGTGCTGGCCCTCGTCTGGATGCTGCGCCGCCGGCAGCAGGGACAGGGACCCCTAGAGCACGATGATGCCACGATGGTGGGTTCAAAATTAACTTCTCTGTGGCCTTTCCCTTTTCATTAAAATTGCCTCTTTGCAGTACGAATCAATGGCCACGGCCATTACTTGGTCCACCTGCTGTGGCATTGCCAATATGGCCATCTGCTTCCTCGGCTACTGGCGCTGCTTTGCCAACAATTACTTGCACTGGGCCGCGGTCTGTACGTGGGTGCTCTTCAATATCCAGGGTGAGTTTTGGGTATGGGTCGTAAATCATGCACGTCACCTGCATAGGCCATCAAAATCCTTTTGCCGGCCCTCAAACGTTCGGCAGTCATAAATGTTTTACAACTCTCTGGCTATGCCCTCTGCTATTCCAGGATTTGTTGGCCAGGGCGTGGGCTTCGCCGATCGCGAGTACCTGGTCTGGTACATTCTGTTTGTCATCTTTGTGCCGTATGCCATGCTGCCGCTGCCACTGAAATGGTGCGTTGTGGGCGGCACCATCACCGCCAGCTGCCACCTGGCCGTAATCACCATCATCAAGCTGCAGCACGGCGAGGTAAATTCAGTAAAAGTTCCCGCAGTCCAAACCTCAGCTCATGTTTCCTCCCTCGCTTTGGTTTGTTTTGTGTTCCCGCAGGCCAGCATCAATGCGGACTGCGTTCTGTTTCAGATCTTTGCCAACTTCATTCTGTACACGGCCATCAATGTGGCTGGCATGTACACCAAATATTTGACAGATCGCGGACAGCGTTTGGCCTTCATTGAGACGCACAAGGCAATGGAGCACAAGAAGGAGTCCGAAAAGGAGTTGCAGCGCACCCAAAAGCTGCTGGACTCAAGTGAGTTTTAGGTCTAAGGAGGTTTCAAGCAGGTTTTGGCCAGTCTGCTTGGTTTTACTCCTTGAGTTTATATTGCATTTTGCTCTCCCCCTTTGCAGTCCTTCCAAACATCGTGAACAACCAAATACGCAGCGAAATGTACAAGGGCACGGATCCCACAGTGGAGACGCAGTTCAACAAATTGTATGTCTATCCCATGGATAATGTGAGCATACTCTTTGCTGACATTAAGGTGAGTCAATGCCAGACTGAAGCCTACAAATATTTATTCACTAAATTCACTTTTTCCACAGGGCTTCACCGAGCTGGCCAGCAAGACCTCGGCCCAACAGTTGGTAAAAATATTAAACGACCTTTTTGCACGTTTCGATCGCATTGCCGAGGTATGTAGCTGTGTGGGTGCTGTGTGCCCATCCTTTATTGAACGCAATTTCCTTACAGGACAATCACTGCCTGCGTGTAAAGCTGCTGGGCGATTGTTACTACTGTGTGTCGCAGTTCGAGAGCGACAACTGGAAGACGCGGCCGGATCATGCTGTGTGCAGCGTGGAAACTGGCCTGCACATGATAAAGGCCATTAAGGATGTGCGCATACACACACACGTAAGTGTCCCCAGGAGTTGTTCTATTTAAATTTGTGAAGCAAGCAATAGGCAGCTGACAGGCGTTTTTTTTAAGCACGTTTTTTCGACAAATTTAATGGCCAGTTTTTTGCAGTTTTTGCAGCTGTTTTTTTGTGTATTTGTTTTGAGGGTTTTCTGTTTTATTTTTTTGCTGCACAATCTCGTGTGTGCTGTCTTCGACCCTGGCCCAGCAGGAGCAGCATTGTCAACGTGTTGACAATTCATTTGTATGCAAATCTCAGCAGAGCAAAAGGCAACGCGCAATGGCAAAGGCAGCAAACTGCCAGAGAGCTGCGAAAATTTCATACGACAAAGTGCCACACAGTGGAATTTAATTGATTTTTGTTGCCTTTTGGTTTGCCGCAGCAAACGTGCAAGGGAATTCCCCCAGATTCTTGGGGATTTATGCCGCCTGCATTCGCATAATTGTCCCCGCCTTAATTGCTGCGCCATTCTCACGATTGACTGGCCAACTCTGACTAAATGATTGACAAACGGCACCACTGACAGTAGAGTATGGCAAGTGCCATGTGGCTCTTGTGTGTCCTGCCTGGTCTTGCATATTTGAGGCACGGAACTAAGTTTGCCTTTCAATTGCAGGTGGACCTAAACATGCGCATCGGCATCCACAGTGGCTCGGTGATGTGCGGCGTTCTGGGTAACAAGAAATGGCATTTTGACGTCTGGTCTAATGATGTTATCATTGCAAATCACATGGAATCCGGCGGCATACCCGGGTAAGTACAAACCGAGTCACGTTCTGCGTGTGTGCTCGGGGTGGAGGAAACGGAAACAACTGCGTGAGCTGCCATCGAAATTAGGGCAGGGAACCTGCCAAATAAACGGGGTTCGCTACAGCATAGAGGGAATTAAAGATGAACTTGCCAATGCAACGAAATATCATTATTTGTCATAGGATCCACTGCTGAAATTTCTGTATTAAATTGCCTTATTGCTGCAGGGAATTGTAGTTCTTGTTGCAATCCAAAAAGGCTAAACAACTTACACTTTTGGCCAAGAAATCTCTGGTTTTAATTGGCCAATTTGGTGGGTCCTCTGGCTGCTCTCTCTCTCTCTCTCTCTCTCTCTCTCTGTGGGCTGCTTGAACAATTGGTGAGCAATTTTCGCTGGCTTGACGTGTTTAGACACAAGAAACCAAAATAATAGCATGCAAAACACACACAGAGCAGAGCCAGTGGCCAGAGAGCAAAACAGAGGAGAAATTCGAGGCAACCGCAAGCTGGCAACACACACAAAATGAAAAAGGAAACAGAAACAGAAAATGAAAATGAAAATGAAAAGCCTCAGCAATGAAAAGCTCAATTTAATGCAAAATGCTTTGATGTAATTGTGGCCTAGGCGGCAGTAACCAGAAACCAGTAACAGAACAGAACAAACCAGAAGAGAACTAAAGAACTAAGCCCAGACCCTAAGAGCCAGAACCCAATTATGAGGTGCACACACACTGGGTGGGTGGGGTGTGGCAGCCACACGCCCACACAGAAAACACAAAAGAAAAATTCGAGTGGCAAGAAAATTGGCAGAGGGGGGAAAAATCACCACCACCACCACGCAGCATTCATTGAAAGCGTATGCAAATATTTGAATTTAATTTTGGGCCAAAACTACATTTGGGAAACCTCTCCTCCTTCCCCCTCTGCAGACGCGTTCACATCTCGGAGGCCACGCTCAAGTGCCTCAATGACTCCTACGAGGTGGAGCCGGGCAACGGCGGCAGTCGGGACAATCACCTGAAAATGCTGAACGTCAAGACCTTCCTCATCAAGCGCACAGAGCCACTGCGGTGAGTATGGAGCGAGCAGAATCCAGGAATCATTTTAATCCTTAACTTCCTTTGCAGACCCAAGCGACGCTTTGGCACGCGGAGCAGCGCCCATCTGGCTGGCAGCGTGGCTGCTGCCTCCACTTCGGGCACGTGTGCAGGCTCGCCCATTCCCACGCCCACAGCGGTGCCCACGCCCACGCCCGCGCTGCCCAAGTCCATATCGGCCAGCGGCAGTGGCAGCATTGGCGGCGGCACAGCCGCGATGGGCGGCGATGGCGCCAGCATCGATGGGCGCAGCTTGGAGTATGCAGCCAGCATTGCGGTGCCCGCACAGCAGCCCGCGCTGCTGCTGCAGCAGCAGCAGAAGAAAAACATATCCCTGAACTCGCTGCCCAATGTGGTCGAGGGCGTGGCCATGGATAGTCGGCGGTTGAGGAATGGCGGCGCTGGCGCGGGCACAGGTGCCAACAGTGTGGCTGGCGCACCCGCTGGCATGTCCACGGTGTCCTCACCCACGGCCATGATGTCCGCAACGCTGGAGCAGCAGCTGCGGCCGCGGAATGGCGCGAGCATTCAGAATCTGGCGGAGGCAATCGAGGGCAAGGGTTTGATTATCGAGGATGAGTCCACCACCGATTGGATACCCGAGATTCCCTTTAAGAATGTGAGTTAATCTTTAGGTAAAGCTTCACTCTAGGTAGCTAATCGTTGACTCTCTCTTCTCCATAGTTAAACAGTCCCGAAGAGGGTCTCAATCGTGCTGATTCCATACTCGTGGATGCCAAGCAGGAGCATCGTGTTTCAGTTACAGTTCTCGATGAGGAGGTAAGCGTAGGACAGACTTTCTCCCTCTTCCCTTTAGTTATATCTTTGCCCTCTTATAGATCGATGAATTCATAGAGCAAAACATCCAAATCAATTCGAATAAGGAAATCCGTCGTGAGTATTTGAATCCCTGGACCCTGAAGTTCAAAGACAAGTGCCAGGAGCAGAAGTTCTGCCAGCTGCGCGAGGATATGTTTCGGTGCGTATTCCCAGGCTAATGGAAAGCAAACAATGGGCCAGCTCCCACAGCTCCTCCCCGCCTGTTCTTAATTAATGAACTGTTGCTAATTGATTTTTGCTCCTACTCCACCTCGCCCCCCCCCCCCCCCCTTTCAGCTCCAACATGCTCTGTGTGTTTGTCATTTGGATATTTATGGTGCTGTGCCAGGTCATCATTATTCCGAGATGTACGCGTCTCATTATTTGCCTATCGGTGGGCACGGTTGTCCTCACCTTTTGCTGTGTGCTGGTCATGGCCGAAGAGTTTCCAGGTGAGACATTTCCCTCGAATTGCATTCCTCTATCAGCTATAACCTTCCCCTTTGAAGGACTGCCACGCTGCCTGAAGGTAAACTCTGCCAAATTGGTGCATCAGCGGCAGCGTCGCACGCTGTTCATTTGCGGTGTAATCATCTCCATGTGCATGCTCAGTGCCATCGGTCTGGTGCTGTGTCCCTCCTCCACGTACATTGGCACCGCGGACGAGCACTCGCGGCTGCTGCGACGGGCGCTGTACTCCTCGAATGCCTCCGTGGCGGAGAAGGAGTACAAGCTGAATGTCTATCTGTCGGCCACCATTCATCACAACATCACCATCAGCACGCCCAGCAGCGGCGCGGCAACAGCCTCCCTGGTGGATGCCCTCATGAATGAGAACATCACGAATGCACCCACCGAAGAGCTGATGCGGAGCACCCTGGCGAATGCCCTGAACCTCACACAGCCACTGGAGTCATTCGAGCAGTCGCATCGTCCCTACACGTTGACCAGCAACGGGCACATTGTCTCCCTGAACAACTTCAGCTACGTGGATCTGTATGGGTTACCCCGAACCACGGACATCGAGGGGGAGTGCGCACATCCCGAGTATCTGGTCTTCACCTGGGTGCTCTGCCTCGTCTCGCTGGCCACAGCGCTGAAGCTCTACTATCTGGTCAAGGCGCTGATGGCACTGGGCATGGTTGCTTTCTACACCACGCTGATTGTGCTCAAGTTCAGCACGGGGGATGTCTTCAATCTGGGGGATCTGTCCCGGCTGGGCATGCCGCTGGGCGTGCAAATGCTGATACTGCTCATCTCATTCCTCATAATGGTCTGCTATCATGCCCGATTGGTGGAGGTAAGCTGCAGCTAGGATTCCCCTGTGACAGCTCCCCTTAATGCTGTGGCATTCCCTAGGTCACCTCACGTCTGGACTTTATATGGAAGGAACAGGCGGAGCGTGAACTGACCAACATGAAATCTAATCGTGCGCTTAATGACACATTAATTAAGGTAACTGCCACCTGTCCCCCGCCTGTGGCTCATTAATTAAACTGCCGGTTTTTGCAGAACATTTTGCCGGACCACGTGGCCGCCTACTACCTCTCCGACGAGCACACGGACGAGCTCTATTCGAAGATGCACAACCTGTGCGGCGTTATGTTCGCCTCCATACCGAACTTCCAGGACTTTTACTCCGAGGACATTGACAATGGCAAGGCCTGCATACGCATCCTGAATGAGATTATCTGTGAGTTGATTGATTAAATGCTTTGCTTTTGCCCAGCTTTCCTGTCCAACTTCTGTCTAATGGCATGTGTGTCCTTACAGGCGACTTTGATGAATTGCTGGAGGAGCCACGCTTCGCTTCTGTGGAGAAAATCAAGACTGTGGGCGCCACATACATGGCTGCCGCCGGTCTCAATCACGAGAGTCTGCGTGCTCGCGGCGAGACCTCCGAGGACAGCGTGTGCGACCTCGTGGAGTTTGCCTTTGCCATGAAGCAGAAGCTGGAGGAGATCAACGGCGATGCCTTCAATAACTTCCAGCTGCGCGTCGGCATCTGCAGTGGGCCGCTGGTCAGCGGTGTCATTGGAGCCCGGAAGCCCGTCTACGACATCTGGGGCAACACCGTGAATGTGGCCTCTCGCATGGACTCCACGGGCGAGAACTGGCGTGTCCAGGTGTCGGCCAACACAGCGGAGCTGCTCTGCTCCAGGGGTTACACTTGTGTGGTATGTGGCGCACGCTTTGCTTTGTTAAGTTCTTAACTTGAATCCCTTTCCCCCCTAGAAACGCGGTGAAGTCAATGTCAAGGGCAAGGGCATGATGACCACCTTCTATGTGCATCCCAAGGGCATTACGGAGAGTCAACTGATTTCCCCAGTGCGCCTGCCAGCGGGCATACCACAGGCTCAGACACCAAATCTTCAGCGTCAGACCTCCCATCATGGCTCCTTCAGTGCCGTGGTCTTTGGCATGCTGCAGGCCAGCAAGCGTAGCACAGCCATCGCCGGAACACGTAAGTTTCAGCGAAATGGAAGCTCTTCCATAAATAAATTCTTAATTGTCTAATCTTTCAGCTACTGGCACACCATCGCCGCAGATTCGTCGCGGACATCGCGGCAGCACTTTCAGTTCGGTTCGCCTGTCCCAAAAGTCCACGCATGTGAATCCCGTGCGACGTAATACCACACGTGTACGAGGACGTTCCTATCGCCAGAAGAAGGTAACGAAATAAAGAAATATTTAACCCATGAGAGAGCATCTTTAACTTTCCCCGCCCAAACCCTTGCAGAGTTCCTCAAACAATTCGATTGTGACCCAGGCGAGTTCGAGCTATATGCCATCATTTCGACGTATCGATCAGATTGAAACGACCATATCGAAGAGTCACAACGATGCGTTATAGCCAACGACGCGCACTAATTGGGTCTAAGTCGATCTCAACCACAAAATAACACACGAAGCAGAAACTGTCTGCCGAATTTATTTTTGGAACGATTTTTAATGCTTGAGCTCAGATTTCTGGATCGGTCGGCCCCACAAGCTACTTAGTAGAAATTTTAAACAAATCGTAGAAAAATTTAATTGCAATCTTCTTGCATTATATCTCAGCACAGTTCTAGTCGCTAAACATAAGTTGGTGTCTGTTTTCTCTGTTTCAAAGTCTTAGAGCCTAAGATCCCCCTCCCCAAACCAAATGATGCCAATGATGAACCTACTAACCCTGTTCAAGTCTATCAAAATATACAAACATAATACCCATTTTAGGCTAATTTTTTGTAGCATTAGTGAACCCATTTAAAATCACATAAATTCCATAGAGAAGTCTAATATTCAAATTGTTGTACAAATCTCTTCACAGTTTTTTGAGCCAAGAAATTTCAATGTAAATAGATTAAGGGGCAAACCCACGTGTACGATAATGTTTTATGTGTATTTATGTGTAAACTTCCCATTAAAAAGTCGTAGCTTTGTAAGTGGGGTGTCCATAAACATATAAAATTGTAGAGTTATGATGATCAAAGTCAGCCCACGATAGTACGAAACAAAATTTATGCACCCAATATTGTAATTAAATAAAAGTTAATACAAATAAATGTGATAAATGAAAGCGATCAAAGCGCAGAGAGAGGGAAACTGAGTTTTCCATTCAAAATGTGATCCGTAATCATAACGGAAGCCAGACAAAAACTGGCCAAAACATAGACAGGGCCCATAAATATAGTGATGTGGTGGGGGAGATAAGAGACCAGAGAGACGACGATTGAAGCTATTTCTGTGGTGATTATGAGATGATGCCTATGGGCTCATAATTTTGAGTTTTGATTCAATTATATTGTGATTCCATATTTATAAACCTATAGCAACCCTATGGGGAGCAGATCCCGATCCACTCCCCTCCCTCTTTGTGTAACAAACATCTGCTCAAAACCATAATACCTCGTTCAAGAGGTAAAGAAAACCCGAAACCGAAACCGTAAATTCATTTAAATACTATTTTTATCACAAATGCGTCTGCGTACACTATGGACGAGGGAGGGACGTAGCGGAGCGGAACGGGGACAAGTGGACAGCTGGAGCCGAAAGCCAATTCCACTTGTCTGCCGCCTGGCCAGACGTCGCCGTCATCGTTGACGCAGCGCTGCTCATCCTCTGCTCTGCTTCCTTACTTCCCACGTTGGTTACGTTCCGTTGAGCAAAGTGATGAGCACATTCAAATTGTCATTTGAATGCACGCACACACGCACACAAATACAGAGAGAAGACGTGCGAGAGAAAGACTGCATAGAGGTGGAGGGGGGATGCACACAACATAACAACAAGAAGGAGAGGCAGAGGAAGGAGAAGAACTACTACAAATGTTGACCCAAACCACTTCTTCCACTTATTGGCGGCAGTGTTGTGATAAGAAATGCGCTCTCGCTCTCTCTTGTGATGCGTGTGGTTTTCAAGAAGTGGAAGAAGCATAGCATATGGCAACAAACTAAACATTGAATGAATGGATGCGAGTCAATTTCACATTTCACTGCCTTGTTGGTGCATTTTTAATGTAGTTTTGCCGCTTCCTCTGTCTGCCAGCCAAAACGCCCACCTAAAGTGCGCTACAGCAGAAATGTTGGGCCATATTTGTGGCAATAGAAAGAGATGTGGAAGAGATAGGGCCGAACAGTTTATATAAATGGTGTATTATATGAACAGTATTTTTACCTTTACAAACTCCATACAGACTTTGTAGTAGTGCCTCAATCCACAAGGAATCTGTCAACTAAAACCGAGAGTAGCGCACAATATAAACCACATATACCCGACACTTTTTCCGACATGCACTTCTGCTTCCGCTGCCGGCGCCACCGACACCGGGCGCAACATGTGTTTGCTTTCATGTACATATGTACGCATGTATGCATTTCTGTGCGTACGAGTATGAGTTCGTTTGTGTATTTCATTCATAAATTTGGAAGAAGAAATAATATGTGCACCGGACATGAATGAACAGGGGAAAGGCAAACACATGCCGTTTCACATTCAAATACCGTTTCCATTCCGACGACAACACTTGTAAGAGGCGCTCGGCAGCGTTTTAACGGCACAAACATATACAGCACCCGTAGCGTTTAAACGAGCACTCGATTTAACTACCATTAACCGGAGTTTCGATATGCAAAAAATATAGTGTATGATTATTAAACAATTTAACCGCGCGGATTCTAATTAATTAATATATCGTAATAGTCGAAAGTTTCCGAATTTCTCAAGAGTTTCGTAACACCCAGTGTTTGTAGAAGAGTGAACTGTTCCCATTAGGACACCACAGAACGGTGAAATTTGTTCGGGAATTAAAAACGAAATTGAGTTTAGGGTATATTTCATCCATATTATCAATGTATTAAATATCATTTTGAAAGTATAGCAAAGCACATACATAGGCTATTTTCAAAATATGAAGATGCCACCGCCATACTTCAACCATCGATATTTTTTTTGCATCCAACAAGCTCATACTTAAAACGCAAATTTGAGTTGGATATCGTAATTTGGTTTGACGAACAAACATATTTTTCCAAAAATTTCGAAAATGTTAAATCGAATATCAAATTTAGAAGTTTAGGCCTGAGAAGTTTATTTTGCTTGGAAAATATATTTTAAAATTATAAAATTTATCACTGAAAAAATATCGATGTATTTTATTTATTTAATATATTTTTGTTTGTTAAAATTCAATTAGGTGCACATCGGAAATAAATAGCTACCATAACTGTGGGAAACATTTCCCTTTGTGCGTTACATACATTAACTATTGTTCACAAGTACAATATACCCTACATATTTATTTAGATCCTATGGTTAGTTACCGAACTTAAAATATCAAAAAATATTGCAAAAACATATCAATATATTGATATTTTGAGAAAAAAATATCACGGTATAAATATATTTGTATTTTAAAAAATATCGATATATTGATATTTTGATATAATTTTCACAACCCTAGCGGTTGGACGAAGCAGTTTATCAACAAGCACGAACGCACCCGAACGCCACCGTCTACAATTGCTACATGGACCGCCGCGCATTTTCGTTAAAAACATACACAAGTGCGTGCTAGCTGAAAATCGAGTTAAGCTGAAAGAATTCGTTTCGTTTTACTAAACTGTCGAGTGTGCAAGGAAAACATTTTGTTTTCGTGTGATTTTAAAGCATTTATTTATCTGTAGCAGAGTGCATTTTAGCGGTCGCCACCAAAAAAAAAACCCACAAGTCGACTCATAATTCCGTCAGTGCGCGAGTGGTACAAATGCAACACTGTGAATAGTGAAAATATACAAGGCGTTAATTAATTAAACAATATTGTGCGTACTTCTAAAGGGAAATTGGCGCGAGAAACAGAAGTGCAACTTGTGAACGCAATATCATTTGCACGCTGCAAGTTGCAAGTACACCTGGACACCCGTAAAAGAGCTGCCTGATATGAGAGCGAGCACAAAATGCTGCTGAAAAAGAAACGCTATATGTACGAAGAGCGGGACGGCGCTATTGACGCGCTCGTCGTCGAGCCAAGCAGCAACAACAACAAAATGGCCGATACACGCGAAGTGCGCATTGAAGAGCAATTAAAAGTGAAAATTGGTATGTAAATTAGTGCGAAATCAATGAAAACCCAATCGTTAGCATAAGGGAACGGCCCGTGCGTTGGAGGGCAGTGAAGTTTGGCCACCAGCAATGATTTTAGTGGGTGCAAAGTGTGAAGGAATGTGGACAGCGTCGCCCAGCAGTGTGTAGGCAGCGCTGAAATATGAATTATTAACATATCACCAGCAAAAGCCTTGAAAGTGTTGAAAGAGTGCGAAATACAGTGGCCATATTAGTTGGCGTTCCATTGAAGGCAATAAAAACAAAGCTGAAATGCAGCAAACATACATTTTTGTACATAAAATGCATTTTATTTTGTGTGCGAGAGCAGCAACGTGCTATCCCGCTTGCTCTTGCGCGTCATTCGACTGTCGTTGTGTGCGTGCGTGTTTCTCTCGTTTTTTCGGTGTGGTGTGGTGTTTTTTCGTGCAGCAAGCAACAAACCAGCATTAAAATTACATTTGTTGTTGCTGGTTGCTACTTCTTCTGCTGTTGTGTTGGCAACGCGATTGCTGCTACTTGCCACCCAACAATGTTACGGCATTCAGCTCGCCCCCGCCTGCCCACCGTTTGCATGCGCCCCTTTTTGTGAATGAATTTCATTCGAGTGTCTCTCCCCGTGTGTCTGTGTTTGTGTGTGCGCGTTGTGTATGTGTGTTGCGCGCAGCTACACCAACACGAGGTCCAGCAACAGTGTGTGGGTTTTTTCATGAATGGAATTTTCGAATTCGGTGTACTTTTCTCTTGGGTCGCTCACTGGCGACGACCGCCTACGAACACATTGGCGAAAAACTCGGGTTTTTATGAATGATTATCATTGAGAGTCAGCGCCAGGCCAGCGCGACACCAAGCATCGATTAATGGCCCGCTCTCTCTGTCTTTCTATCTCTCGCGTGTATCGGTAAAAGGTCAAACTCATGAATGACAATCCCCGCACACACTCTTACTCATCAACATCAACGCCCTGGCGGCGCTCCTTCTCTATCACCACGCACGCTTATCTGGCCAGAGAGGCGTAGTGAGAGAGAGCGAGTGAGCAAAGCACCGTTTGGGGCCTTTTGGTTGCGGTTGTTTTTTCGACTGGTTTTACATTTCCTGTATGGCCTTTTTTTGTCGCTTTCTGTTAAAACAGAATTATGAAAACCACAACGAAAAAAGGGTTGCTGCTGCTGGTGTTATTCTTGTTTTTCCCCCACTCTATCTGCTCCATCCGCTCTGATTTCAATTTCACACCTGCATGATACAGGGTCACTCCATCCCTCCACTTCATGCCCCATGCCCCATGCCCCCACCATTCATACACGCATTTGATACACATTTATTTTTACCACCTTTCCCGCATATTTATGCCATGCCATGCCATGCAGCGATCCTCTCTCGCTTCCACTCGCATACTTTGAAATTCATTTTCCAGCTAAACAATTTCAATCTTCTCTCGATTCATAAGCAGCTTTTGCTACGCTTCGGCTTCTGCTTTGCCATGTCTCTCTGGCACATAAATTATATGCAAAGCTGCAACGACATTGTAGCCGCTTTTGATTTCCGTTTCCCATCGCAAGAGTTTCCTTTCTTCGTTTCGTGTCTACCTCACTACCTCCCTCCCTTTCATTCTTTCGCGTGCTGCGGTTTGGTGTGGTGTGCGTTTCTTCTTGGGCCATAAAACTCTTGCTTTTGCTTCTGTCTTTGGCTCTGTCTCTGCCTCTGACACTGCCCTTGGCTCCCCTTGAAAGAGAAAAGAATCTTCCCAGCTGCTGCTGCTGTTGTTGTAACTTTTTGCACGCTTCAATTGTTTTCGCATGCGCATGTGTGTCTGCCTTCCCTCATCCCTTTGTCGGGTCCTCCAGGTCCGTCTTTTGTCCGTTTCCTTTGTAGACCGCATGGGTGTCTTCTGTCTCTTGGCTTGGCAACCTCTGCCAGCAGCTTGGAGCAGAGCTTCTTTTGTGGTTGGTTAGACCCTTCTGCACTCTAAATATGGCTAAAATATTACGTTATTCAATGGAAACTTTATTGTAACTGGAGCCTGTCTTGAGCGGAAATAGGTTTTACATAGGAAATACACGAAAAATATTCAAAGAAAAAACCTAAAAATATCAAGTGACTGGCAGAAGTCACACTGTTTATAGTTTTCTTTAATTTAATGTCTCTTGAAGAGGAATTTGATCTTCAGTTTTTTGATTGTCTGCACTGTATTCATTCATAATGATTTGAAGAATGAAAGTCTTATTCATTTTCTATAATCATCTTTGATTATGCCATCATTATGGCACATTAGCTGTGTCACCTCACCTTTTAACGATCTTCCGACAGACGCCTTTCCTCCATGTCTGTCTGCATGTGTTTCGTCTTTCCTCTTTCTCCTATAGGAGACCCTCTTTCTGTGTGCCGCATACTTTTCTCAGGTTTCATATTTCCACTTCATTATGCTTTGCATGCTTAATAATAATAATAATACTTCCCCATGCACACATTGTGCACTGCTCCCTCGGTTTCAATTACACAAACAACAAAGATTCTGTTGCCTTTTGTTGCGGTTGCTACTGCTACGGGGAAGCTTTCCATTTTGTTGCTGCCGACTGCGATTTCTATAGGAAATCTCCGCCTGCTTTTGCTGCGGTGCTTTGGTGACCGAAATTGGCGTAATACTTTTCCACTTAATTAAAATGTTTGGCACATAACCTGAATTGAATTTCGTTTTCTATGAGAGTAGCTGGCTGGCGGGCGCAGCTGCTGCATTGTAGAAAGGAGAAGGTGACTCATGATCAATTACTCATGGACTGACTGCTCTCTCTCTCTGGCTCTTTGAGTAGATGCTGGAATATCAATGACATTTACATGACAAATGGCCCGAGAATTGGCTGACAACTTTTGTTCTATTGGTGTTCGTTTCTCCTCATCCAGACCAGACCACACACGCAATTGGGATTTAGTTGAACTTGAAACCAGTACAAAACACACGCAGTGGCAGTGCCTTGTGGCAGAGCTCTATTTAGTTGGCACTGTTGTTGTGGTTGTAGACAAGTAGAAGTATGTTCTCGTGAAGTCTCGCACAATGACAACAACAATAAATAGTTTAGCTAAAAAAGGTAATTAATTAAAAGCCGGTTGTTGTCTTGTTCTCACTGCTCCCCTGCAACCTACTCCGCTCGGAACACCAAAACAACCAGCAAAGAATAAAAACAAACGGAAAACGGGGTCGAAGCTGTACAGATACCCTTGAAGATAGCTTCAAATGGTGTTGAAGGTGTTGAAATGAATATAGACTCTGAATTTAGAAGTTATCTTTAAGTAATCAAAATTGCTTAATTATTCAGTTTTGCGTGAGTTCTAGTATGCCCCAACTTTGGTTACAGTTTGTAGGGTATCAAAACTGGTTGCAGCTGAAGAACATTGCTCGTGGGTTCACTTCGGATCGGATCGGATCTCTCTCTCTCTCGTCAGTTCTGTTTTCTGCTGTTGACAAATAGTGTTTTGTCTCTCGCTTAGTGTCTTGTGGGCTTCAAATAATTTTTGTAATACATATCTTTATGCCAACAATTAAAAATGGAATATTTTCACTTGAAATTTGTCCGATGCGCGAGAGAATGTTAATTAGGCTTAAACGCTTGGCCAAGATGGGGGGAACGAGCTATTCGGATTAAGTATCATCCGACATTACGCTGATTCTATTGCCTCTTTGTTCCACTGTGCCACAGCAGAACACATCAGAACTCTGTTTGCTGTTTGCTGTTGGTTTTGCTCATTGCTGCCTGCCCCAGCACTACCAAAGAACGAACAATTTTATGTAATTAGCGCATTACTAAAATACTTTTTATTCAGGTCGCCTCCGAACAGAGCAACCATCACCGAGAGCACAGTGTAGGGGGATGAGGAGAGCCTGCTCTCCACAGATGGAAGCGATTCGAACGGTGGCCCCCGAGACGTGGAGTCGTGGAGCCATGGAGCAGCATTACAATCACAATGACAACGATGACGTTGATGAGGCTGCGGCTCATGCCTGCTGCATGCCCCCCAACCATTCGATGATTAACATTTGTCTCTTTCTCTCTCTCTGTGTCTCTGTCTTTAGGGCTTTCCACACAATGAGGCAGGCAGCAGCAGCAGCAGCAGCATGTTATACATTTTTCCTGGCTCTGTGTTTTCCCCCCTCTTTGACGTTTTTTTTTCTTCTTTTATGACTTAACGCTTGACCTTTTCGCATTTACTTTGATGTTGTTGACTTCGACTGGGGTCAGAGGCACATCTAAAAACCCCATGGTAGCAGCTAGGGCCTACGCCATCCCTGTGCCCCTGCCCCCAGCCAAGGCTCTGCTGAACTTCACGCTGTGTTTTGTGTGTGTCTTGTCTCTGTGGGGCTTAGCTGAGGCTCTTGTACGGCTCTTGTAATTTGTAATTAAAAGTAATTCTCATTTTATTTCACTCTTTTTGAGGTTGTTATTAATTTTTGTAGCCATTATTTGTGTGCGCTTCGCTGGCTGCCGGGTGGGTACCTGTGCCCCCTTAGTTCCTACCTCAAGTGTCGTTTCTTTTTACAGCGGAAATGTCACGGGGGGCCAACACAGAATATGTTTTAATGTTGGAGACACGTTTTTAATGGGTTTCAACAAGGGATCATTTGTTGTCGAGTGTTTAGATGCGCCTCAAGCTCAAGTTGTGGCTAAGCGACCTTCTCTCAACAATTCGATAATGTTTCTGAGAGCAGAAATACGTGAAAAATTGTTGTCACCAGCTTGAAGCAATTCTCATTTAATATTTATTTGTTCGCATGTGGGTGGGTGGATCGCTAATCAGATGATATATTTCTCATGTTGGCAGGAAACATCTCACGGAACCGAAACCTATGATTTTTCTGTCCATCAAAGACGTGCCTTGACACTGACGCTATGCGACTTTTTCAGCAAACTAAATTCTGTGGGCGTTTTTTACAAAAGTTTATTTATTGTTATTATATTTTTATTGTACAAAGTCAGGCAAGTTTTTGTGGCGTGACCGGCCTGGCCGCTAATGAGCAGCGTTTGTCGTGGCCGTTGTAGCCATTGCCACAGCTAATAGGCGGCTCGATTTGGTCATATCGAAATGGAAGTCGTGTGTCGAGGGGTTTCGAGTCGAGTGTGCCTAGAATTGGGCAATTGAAGGTTAATAGTGCCAACAGTACAGGCGAAAGCTAACTGCCCCTGTGCCACTTGGAAACAGTGACTGTCCCCTCACTGTGCATGAAACTTGAATATAAACATAACAATTTTAAAGAAAGGCAATGATTTCACACAAATATATGGCATGGCCAGGCAACAGTTTTTCCAAACAGAAGAATGACACAGCGCAGCCAGAAGCAGCATCAATCAGAGGAAAAGAGTTATTACTCATCCTGGACATTGATATGGACAATATATCAATATATAGAAGATACTATATACTTTGTATATATAATTGTGTATACAATATACACTTGTGTACGGCGAAAAATGTTAATAAACAAAGTGCGGATCGATGACGTTGATGAAAAAGGCAATAAACATGGTGCCCCCTTTGCAAATCCGCAAAAGCAGAAGCCAAACAAAGTCGGCCACAAGTCCAGAGAGGGGGAATGGGTTGGGGGGACGCAGAGATGGGAGGAGGAGGTGGATGATCATCATAAGAAACGTAATCAGACCGGAAATCGATCAGCACGTACAGATAGAGAGTAGAAGAGGTAACACAGCCACCGATACAGATACAGATTAAAGAAGCATGAGAAATGAGGGAAAATCCAAAGGAGAGTGGAGGCTGCCCTGCCTGCCTGCCAAACGAGTTTCTCGCTCTTCTGCTGCTCCTCCAAAAATCAAATGAATAAAGGTGAAGCAAATTATGAGCTCAAATAAAAATAGAAGGAAAATAGTTGTAGGTATTGTCTTAACCTGTTTGCCAGTAACTTGGCTAATTGCCACACAATTTTATGGGCCCTTTTTTTATTCGAAACGAAACGAAAGGAAGTTAAAACGGAAGTGGAAGTTCCACTTACAGGAATAATACAAGTTATGCAAGGAAATGCGGCACAAAGTAGGAGTGGTCAAGGGTTTTTCCCACCTTTTCTTAGCTCTCTGGTGTGTGCGTGTGTTGTTCTACCAAGTGCAAACAATCATTTTTAGCGACAGGAAGCTGACGTTTAAACAAACAGCTCACAGATACAGATAGTCTCGGAACAGCAATATAGATACGAGAGAGAGGGGAGATCCCAGAACTGGATCCGGCCCTGCCTGTCTCTCTGTCTCTGTGTAAATCTCTCATCCGCTGACGGAGCAGCAGCAGCAGCAAAAAAAAATATACAAGAATTTATCTCTATTTCCGTTCCTTTGCATAAATGTCTGGTGGTGCCTGGTTTTTGTTTCATTTGCTTTTTTAGAATTTATTACACACACTCCGACATGCTCTCTCTCAGTCGGTTTTTCCACTGCCTCTGGGCGGCACACAGAACTTCCTTCTGCACTATTTTGGATACGCTGCCTTGCAGGGTAATGTCAGTCTTCACAGCACTTTTGCAAAGAAATTCTGCAAGAGTATTCCTCCAGTTGGTGTTCGTTCCTTTTTGCATTGCTCTTGGAGTAATCGCCTCATTAATTCGCGCGCCTTTCATGCTGCACTGGAATCAATTTGCATATTGTGCAGAAAAGCAACAAAAAAAACAAAGCGTGAGGAATAACAGACGGAAAGGAAGGAAGGAAGGCAAATGGAATAAAAACGCAAATCTACTTACAAAGTCTTTAAATTTAATTTTGTGTCTGGCGAAAAGGAAATCATGAAAATTTCAGACATTTAATGAGAGTCTTCCCCTCCCAACCAATCTCAAGTCAATGATGGGCGTGGAAATGAGATCGTGTGGTAATTTTCACTCCAAAATCCTGACATTGAGGTCTCTCCACCCCACCCAGCCACGGCTCGCTCCCCCACTGGCAAATGTCAATGTTTGGTCCGGGAGGGAGAAGGAAAATTCAATTTGTTGGCGGCGCTCCCTTTAGAAGTTTGTTCTGTGGTGGCATGTGGCATGAAGGATGATGGTTCTATTTTGGGGTATCTCTCGTTGAAAGAAATATGCCTCATGTGTGAGTGCTGGCGCGATGTTTTAGATCATATGTTATGTACATGGATCTGGATAATTATTGCTGAAGATCTCCCAACCATATGCATTAGCTGTAATGGATCTTTCTTGTTATTTCGGCAAAGTAAACATTAATTTATGATATTTCGATTTGTATTTAATTTGTGTGGCAAATGAAGAGATTCCAAAAATTCTTGAACTTAAGTCTGACTGAACTTCCGCTTGGTTTTACGAGTAACAAATGCGAGTGGGGGACGGGTATGGCATGCATAATGTCCAATCTCGTTCTCTGGAGTGGGGTTCGTTCACTCTCTCTCTCTTTCCCTTTATCGTGTGTGGTTTGTGTCTGGAATATGTAATAAGATATCGCAATGCATTTGAAGGTCGTATGTGTATATCGTACGAGCTGGCTGCCAGGGAGTTTTCCATAGAATCTTCTTCATTGACGATTGCACATGAAGAATGTGCCAGAGGTTTCGCCATGCCATTCCTCAGGTGTTCTCTCTGGCTCTCTCTCTTCCCCCCTAGATCGCATTTGCAATTGTTTCGCCTTATCTCGAAACAGTTATCTCTTCTCTCGCCGTCTCTTAAACACTTTCATTCCGTTTCTTCTGCTGTGCCCGTGAGTAAGCGGAAACTACTACATGAATGGGAAAAATGTATAGAAATTCCATGATTATATCATTAAATTTAGAAAACTTTTAATGCTGCCCGATTTGCATGACATTCGCCTAAACCGAAACCGAAAACCAAAAGCCAAATGACGAAAAAATAAATACAATAAATTAATTTACAAATATTCCATTGAGTCGCTGGAGTGTCGGCAGCCCCGGCCCGGCCAATGACAAGGCAAAGCCGTAAAAAAACACATAAATAAATTATAAACGTCACAGAAACGTACGAAAATATTTCAACACTGGGATTCCCCAACCCCCCAAAGCACCCACAGCGCCGCCTCCCCCTGAAAGCATCATTGCCTCGAGCGGCGGCTACTACGCAAAGCCAATGCTGGCGCCGGCAATGACTGCGACGCAACGTTGATTTCATGAATGAAATTTACTGTTGCTTTTTCAGCTACACACACCGCATGGTCAAAGCAGAAAAGAGACAGTCAAAAATGTAGAGAGTTGTTGGGAGAGGACGAAGCCGAAGAAGCAGCAGCAGCAGAGCGCGGAGATATTGGGTGTTTGAGCAAGGAGAGAGGCAGGCAGAGAGAGAGAGAGAGAGAGAGACTTGAGCAAAAGACACTTTTGATTTTTGTCATTTGTGTATCCCCCATCCCCTCCCTGCCTGCTTGTGTGTGTATTTTTGCATATAAAATGTGCTTTTATTTCTCTTCTCCACCATCTGCTACTGCCTCTATGCCTCTTCTTGTGTTTGTACGCTTTTTCATTCATTCATAAACGAAGAAGAAAAGACAACAGACGACAGAGAGACGACGACGAATGAATGTCTTTGTTATCAAGAAAAATTTGTTGCTGTCGCGCAGAGTGAGAGTGTGAGACAGAGAGCGGCGGCTGCTGTCTGCGATTGTAAAAAAAAAGGTGCCGTTGTTTTGCTAAACACAAATACACACCAACAAACAGCAAATACATATAACCCCATTGATAGGCAGGCTGATAGCAAGACGGCTGGCTGCTCACCTAGGCAAGGCCTCCTCAACACCCCACAGCACCACAGCTCTACAGCTGTGTCAATAGGAGTCTTGGGAGTGCAAGGGAGGGTAATGGAGGCCATACAGCAATGTTTTCTCAATGAAAAATAGAAAAATATAACGAAGCTACGATATAAAGCGGTTAAATCGGAAATTTGCGCACTGCCTGTGCTGCCTTGTCTAGAACGCATGCACACACAAACACACACACACGCAACACCTTAACAGTTACACACTTGAAAGCGTACGCGAAGACGCATCCAGAGGTCAAAAGAACGTGGGCTTATCTAGATCTCTTTTGTTGTCGATATTCTCCCTACCTTTGCCATTACTTTTATCTCCCCATTTTACCTTTGAATAGCACTAGTTTCTTGACCGCTGCTGTGCGTATTGGTGTAGTACTTATTATATTTCCGCTTGACTGCCGCTGATTTCTTTCATTGAGCAACCGTTTGCTTGCCTTGTGGTTCAGCTGGTCTGGTCTGCTGCCTTTGTGCCTGCCCCCCATCTTCACCCCTTTTTGGTGAGTGCTTATCAAGGCCTGATGTTATTATTAACGTTTATAACTCTCTGTCTCTCTCTCTCTCTGTCGCTCTTTTTGCGTGCTGTCTGCTGTCTCGGAGCGCCTCTGTCTGCGCTCTCTATGGCTCTCTTGCCAAGCGCCAGGTGCCTTCCCGTTCTCTGTCCTTGTTGTTGTTGTTAGCCACATGGCAAGGCATGCAAAGTCAAAGCTGCACAAATGCAAGCACACGCACAGGAAGTCACGTTTGCTGCTGCACTCCGTTTTCGGAAATCAAAAGAGACCGCTAAAAATGGGGAAATTAGCAGGAGGGGCACTGCCATCGGGTCTCGAGTGCATGTGTCAAGGCCAATCGATAAGAAACACAATTAGGCAGAAATCATTACAAAATACCTTTTATTAATCTAAAAACGTATTCCCTTCTCTTTCATTTTGCAGGCGAGGCAAAGAATCTGAGCAGTCGCAATGCGGCCAACACAAGCTGCAGCACACAGGGCACACGGGATGTCTATTGCACAATTGCCCTCGATCAGGAGGAGATATGCCGCACACCTACCATCGAGCGTACACTGGCCCCGTTCTATGGGGAGGAGCATCAGTTTAAGATTCCCCGCCGCTTCCGCCACCTGTCCATCTATGTGTGGGATCGGGACATGAAGCAGGACAAGCCGATCGGCAAGATTGCGATAAAGCGCGAGGAGTTGCACATGTACAATCACAAGGACCATTGGTTCACGCTGCGGCCCGTCGACGCGGACTCAGAGGTGCAGGGCATGGCCAACATTGAGGTGGCCTTCGAGGAGCATCCACAACTGCTGCTGACCGAGAGCATATCGGAGGTGGCACAGAACACACACGCGTCCAACCACCACCATCACCACACACACACAAACAGTCGGCATCAGCATCAGCAGCAGCAGCGCGCCCACCAAAACGACTACAAGGAGAACAGCGAATTGAGCAACATCCAGAGAGCGGCAGCAGCTGGATCGGGGGGCGGACACTCGGCCGGCATGACACTCAAGAGTCGTGCAGCGGGCCTCTTCGGACACGTGCACCATCCCCAGCAGCACCAACAGCAGCAGCAGCTGCAGGCACAGGCCCAGCAGGTGTCCAGCACCAACTCCTCCACAGACCAGTTGGCCAACTGGAAGAATGCGCACGCGAGAAACGTCCGTGTGGCGATCCGAGTGCCCGCCTGCGTGGATTTGGCCAAGAAGCAGGGCACCTGCGACCCTTTCGTCATCTGCACCGCCCACTACAGCAACAAGCATCAGATCACGCGGCGGACAAAGCAGCGCAAGAAAACCGTCGATCCCGAATTCGACGAGGTGATGTACTTTGATCTCTACATCGATGCGGAGGCTGGCGGCAACACGGCCACCACGGGCAGCAACAAATCTTCCGGCTCACTGGAATCATCGGCGAACAAGGCGTATGCCATCTATCCCTTGGGTGGAGCCGATCTCGTGGAGATTGTGGTCAGCCTGTGGCACGATGCACACGGTGCGATGGCCGACAAGGTGTTCCTTGGCGAGGTGCGACTCCCCATGCTGAACAAGCAGGAGCAGGCGGCGGTGCAAGCGACAGCCTGGTACTACCTGCAGCCCCGCTCCCTGTCCAACAGCAGTCGCTCGTTAAATACGACGCCACGCTCCTGTGCCACGCCGCCCGGCACGAGACTGAGTGTGGACTCGACCATTGGCTCGCTGCGTCTGAATCTGAACTACACCGCCGATCATGTATTCCCGCTGGCCACCTACGACGATTTGCTGAATCTGCTGCTCGAGTCGGTGGACCAGCGGCCGATCACCGTCTCCGCTGTGTCCATTTTGGGCGAGCTGGTCTCCGGCAAGACGGAGGTGGCCCAGCCCCTGGTACGGCTCTTCACGCACACCGAACGCATTGCGCCGATCATCAAGGCCCTGGCTGATCACGAAATATCGAATCTGACCGATCCCACCACCATCTTCCGTGGCAACACGCTCGTCTCCAAGATGATGGACGAGGCCATGCGGCTGTCGGGGCTGCACTATCTGCATCAGACACTGCGGCCCGTCCTCTCCCAAATCGTGGCCGAGAAGAAGCCCTGCGAGATCGATCCCAGCAAGGTGAAGGATCGCTCGGCCGTCGACACCAATCTGCACAATCTGAAAGACTATGTGGAGCGTGTGTTCCAGGCGATCACCAAGAGTGCCGATCGCTGTCCCAAGGTGCTATGCCAGATCTTTCACGATCTGCGGGAGTGTGCGGGCAAGCACTTTCCCAGTAATCGCGAGGTGCGCTACTCCGTTGTATCCGGCTTCATTTTCCTTCGATTCTTTGCTCCGGCCATACTGGGACCCAAACTCTTTGATTTAACCACCGAACGACTGGTAAGTGGATGCCGCCAAAGCACGAATTAAACTCTTTAATGATTCCTTGAATTGGTCTTATCAGGATCCCCAAACGAATCGCACGCTGACGCTCATCTCCAAGACGATACAATCGCTGGGGAATCTCGTCAGTTCGCGATCGTCGCAGCAGCCATGCAAGGAAGAGTACACCGGGGAGCTGTATAAGAAGTTCTGCACGGAGCAGCATGTGGATGCCGTCAAGCACTTCCTGGAAGTGATCTCAACGCCCAGCCAGACGGCCAGCAGCAGCGGCATCCACCCGGCGGCGTCGGCAGCACCACTCGAACCAGTATTACTAAAAGAGGGGTAGGTCTGCCATTGATTAATGATTAGTAACATTAAAATGTAATTTAATTGGTGGAATGATGCCCCCTACTATGCAATACCCTCTCCTATCCTGTTCTATATACCCCTCCTCTATGTATACTTTGTTGGCATATCCCACCCAACCCCAAAGAACATTTGGTTACGCTTCGTTTTATTCTAATACCAAAACTTTCTTTGTCTTTCTCTTCTTTTCCGCGCGCTGCTTTTACCACAAACAAAAACAAAAACCAAAAAATATATTTATGTACTTTTACGTATAATAAATCAAATTGACAACAAAATATCAAACACATCACGCCCACACATTCACCAAAAAATTTCCCATCACCAAAACACACACACAAACACTCACACTACACACACACACACACACACACATATATTACATGTATTACATATACTAACGTCTAGCGAGGGGTAAGAGAAATTGTGCTTTTCATTTATTAATAATATTATTAGCTTTTTATTTTGGTTTGTTTAATATTTCTTGGATATTTTTGGTTGGTGCTTTTGAAAGAATTACATCGACAAAAAGTGCGAAGATTGAGCGACATTTACTAACATATTTTTTTCTCTCTTTTTTTTCTCTCTTTTGTGTGTTATCTTTTTGATTGTTCTTGCAATGGACACACGAACAGCATGATGACCAAATATCCAACCAGTAGCAAACGCTGGTCGGTGGTACGGCAGTCCACGCAACGCTACTTTCGCCTGACCACGCACACGCTCAGCTATGCCAAGTCGAAGGGCAAAACACCCATCTGTGATATACCGCTCCAGGAGATCGGCAGCGTTGAGCAATTGAAAGACAAAAGCTTCAAGATGCAAAACTGCTTTAAGGTGAGTCAAGAGTAAATAGCAGGGAAGCCATAGAGTTACCTTCGCAAACGGATTCGATATTTGCATGCTGCTGCAGCAATGCATACTCTGCTTTACCGGAAACTGGCGATTGGCCCCGCCATGCGTTATAAATAGGCAACAGCGCAGCAGCAGAGCTGCCCCCACTCGCACTCACACACACACCTCCGCGCTCTTCCGTTGCAGCAGATAGAGTTTGAGAGAGAGCACGAGCTTGAGTGCTTGTGTATGAGTGAGAGCAGTAGCTGCTGGGTTGTGTGGGCGGCTGCTGCTGCTGTTGCAGTTGCTCTTGCCATTACCATTGCACATTTGTCATCGATAAACACAACAATAGATAGGCAGCCATGGCTTGCGAATTCAGGTAGAATTACAAATTATTTAGAAAAAGAAAACCTTAATGGGGAAAAAAAAGAAGATTGAAGAGAAACTTTCACTAATCACTCAAATAGTAGATAGCTGGCGGAGATCTCAGAGGCAGACAGAGTCTGTGTGGTTCGAGCAAGAAAAATGACAAGTTGCGGCAATTAAAAATAATTAGCATTATTATGCAGATGACTGGGCTGGCAGTTGGCTTGCGTATCTCCCATTGTTATTGCTGGAGTTACTCTTATTGTTTTTGCGCAATAATAAAACAAAAAGGGAAATTTCAAAACTTAGAAATCTGCAAAAGAGACGGAGCAGAGAACCCATTCGTAGAGATCTGTGGGTGAGGGCGCAAGTACCCGCGTACTTTTTGTGTCTGCCGTGAGAATTGTGTGAGTGAGTCTCGGCGGGAGATTTCCCTCCGAGTGCGATTGTCTTGCAACAGAATTTATGTTAATTGTTATTTACGGCGTGTCTAAAGTTTTACTTTCCTTTACTTTAATCCCACACAGATCGTGCACAAAGACCGCTCGCTTATCGTACAAACGACAAATTGCGTGGAGGAGCGCGAGTGGTTCGACCTGCTGCACAAGATCTGCCTGATGAACTCCATCCGCATGCAGTACTTCCACCCGTCTGCCTTCGTCAGCGGCTTCTACAGCTGCTGCGGGCGCTCCGACGAGAACACGCCGGGCTGCAAGAACGTTTCGGACAAGGAGATGGACTACTTTCAGATGGATCTGGTCACCGCGTTGGATCCGCCCCTCGACCTGCAGCGCATACACACGCTCATCATGTCCAACATGAGTATGCTGGACTCGCTGCTGGATCCTCTGACCTACCACCAGCACCTGCCGCAACAGCAGCTACCGCAGCACAATCCCCTCGTGCCGCTGGCCACGACCCTGCAGCAGCAATCGCCTCAGGCCTTTGCCGAGTTCAAGCGCACCATCGAGAAGCTGCGCGAGAAGGCCTACGCCATCGACAGGGACCACCGCGACTACAAGCAGGGCATAACGAGGCAGCTAAAGTACGGCAGCAGACAGGCACCGATCGGCGACGACAACTACTGGCACATGATGCGAGCAGCCGGCCAGTTAAATCAGCAACACCTCCAGCAGCAGCAGCACCACCTACAGCCACAGTTCCAGCCCGTGCTGCCACAGATGCAGAATGTGCGGGCCTATCCCTACCAGACATCAACCACCAGCAACAGCAACATGAACGCCTACTATCTGCACAACCTCCAGCACCAGCAGGAGCGCCTGCAGTTCCATCACCAGCAGCAACAGCTCCAACAGCAACAGCAGCAGCTCCAGCCACAGTTCCAGCCGCTGCGCAGCCACCAGTTGCAGCGCCACAATAATAATAACAACAACAACAACTGCGGCAATGCGTCATCCTCGAGTCCCTCATCGACGGCATCGAGTGTGGTGGCCGCGCCCAGCACCCTGTCGGCGCAGGCGGCGAATGTTCTACATAAGCCGACCCCAACGATCTATTAGCGTTCAAACCCATGCGTATTCGCCCTGCCCCGAGCTATCATCCTGACACGATGAGGAATACGCATTGTCGTAGACACCGACACAGACACATAGGCAGATGCTAGCGTGCTGCTGCACACAAAAACAGTTTTATGTGCTAATTTAAAGGATTTTTTTTTATATAATTTTTACGAGTGAAACATGTAAAAGTCTAGACTTAGGTTTTTTAATTAACAGATTTTTATACACAAGATTTTTACGGAATCCGCTCCCCTCCCCCAGCAAACACCAGCAGCAAGCCAACCCTAACCCAAAACAGAAAGCGAAATCTAAATATATTTAAGCCTATTTATTTTTGTAATGTGCTAACATTATTTATACACAAACAAAAGCACACACAAATGTGGAAGGAGCCCACAGTAAAGGAAGAGAACAACTGAAAACTGATAACTATTTAAGTTTAAGCTACTAAAACCCGAAACCCGAAAATTGCTAAGAATTTTAAACCCCTAAGCCCTAAGCTGAATATACGAAATATTATATAAAATACGCATAGAGGATATGTACACATCCATACAGAAATAACACAAGTAGCGAAATGAAACGTTGTATATAGCCCATACATATATGTATATCTCTCTATACTGTACGATTTATTAATAATAATATTAACTACTGTAACTACAATTGTGTGTTAGGCGTAGCGAAAATTTCTAAAACTAGACCCTAAAAAAAAAGGAAAACTAAAAGTAAGAGAGAGGATTGCAAGAAGCAAATAATTCTAACAAAATGTGAACGCTATATACAAAACAAAAACAGAGAAAGGAGAAGAAACACATACATATACATGTATATTACTTTATATAACTGTCATACAGCTAATGTTATACACGATTTATGTATGTATTCGAACAATTCTAGAATACAAACAAAAAGCATTGTTAAGAACAAATTTACTTCCATTTTACATACAAAATTACACGCACACACATAAACACATACATACATATATATACATTTATTGATATATTTATTAAATGCATTTAATTTCATGTTAAATTTAAAGAAGAAACACAAACAAACCAACAAAAAAACGAGAAGAAAAAAGTAAATTGGGTTAGCATCGACTTACTTCCACCGATATGTTTCCAAAGCTCTTCCAATATATAACATTACACACATTTTTATAGTTTACGTTTAATTAATAATTGTATCGTACTTTATTTTGCCATATTTAGTTGATTGCATTACAAAGTGTCTTCCCTCTGTCGCCGCGTTTATTCTTATTGCCTTTTGTTGATGCATTCCAATGATTTGTGCATTTCTAATTAATTATTTTTAATACCATCTGCATAATATCTGATATGTACATACACGAGATGAGAGACGAAACTATGAATAATATTATTTTTCTGTTGCTATGAATTGAATTTGTTTTGCAGTTTGCCGTTTCCAGTTTCGATTCACTTGCTAATTTCGATTGCATTTTTAAGAGAGCATTATTTTGTAGTTTAATTTTATCATGCCTAGATCCTAAGTTGTTGGTACAAAGAATCGAGAATATACATACATATAAACACACAGAACTAGAGATATGTTTTCTAGCGTACAAAAATAAAGCGTATCGCCAATGGATTATTATTTCATTTCATTTGAGTTCCTTTTCAGTTTGTATACCCTTCCACTTAGTACCTCAATTCCTGTGCTTTAGGTATATCTGTCGGACAATGTTGTGATATCTTATGATATGATTGAGCGTTTGCGTGTGTGTGTGTGTGTTTTTGTTGGTTGGTTAATTGATTGATTGATTGATTGTGCGTTAAAGCTGTTGAGTATTTTTATTCGTATTGTGACAATTAACAGAGAAGCAATCTTTTCCAAAATATAACAACTAATGAGTACACGTTTCTATTAGGTTTCTCACTCTCACGAATCCTTTTCGAAACCCTATGCGTATAAGCCTGAATTGAAGGACAAACGAGTGTTGTGGCTGGTCAAACAGTGAGCATCAAAAGAAAATGCCCTATTTTTTGTACACAAACCTTTTGAAATCAACTTTTATGTGTGAATAAATTATAGTTGCATATTTTAAAATTTGTGTTTTAGCTTTTATGGGATTTAACTTGATAAAACACACGTAAAGCGAATATCCCCAACTAAATCAAATATCGCGCCACTGAAAAATGGAACAATTACGTTTTATGATTATATTTTGTGTTGAGCTTCTTTGTTTACACCTTATTTTATAAACAATACAATGAGAGGGAGGCTTTAAAATTAGCCAATCTTGTAGAAAATTGACTAATCGGATGAACTTACATTTTAACTGGTAGAAGCCCTATCTAGCTGGTAATATTGAATCGAAACTCATATTCCTTGAATATGATTCCGAACAGCACAAGAAAACATTAGCCCATTGTCGACCAAAAGGGGTCTTCAAATATATCAACGAAAATTGTAAAGTTTGACGCACATTTTCACAGCTGAAGTGAAAGACATCGTGGTCATTTTTATTGCAAGCAACGATAAATGATGAATCGAATAAAGGGAGAATTTAGTGGGACTATTTTTTACCGCGGCTCTTCTCAAGTTTATTGGGTTAAGTTCGTCTTCTTCCTGGTATATTTATTGTACTTTTACAAAACAAGTTGGTATATTTTGGTATATTTCTGCGGGTCAGGCGGTATATTTTATCAGCAAATCCGCGACAAACCAAAAAAATAAAAGAAAGAAATGCGATTATACGCCGCACGGACGGGGGCGAGAAACTAACTTATTATTATTACTCACTGTGGGTGCCACATATTGGCCAATCCCAATATTTGCAAGAGGAGCGCTATCGCCTGTGTCGCCTCCACTGCTGTTTGGTTCAAACTTTTGTGTGGCAGCGTTGAAAAGAGCGCGCGGGCGGTGGAAAGGGAACATAAGGAGGCGGCACCAGAAGCAATCAAGTGGCAACAACAACAACAACACAACAGCAGCAGCAGCAGCGTCGTAAGCAAAATGCAAAAAGTTAATTAGTGTGAACGAAATCAAATTGGACGCCCAGCGGGTGTCATCGTGCCTCGTCCTGAGCCCTCTTGGAAGGGGGTGGTGGATTGGGCGCCATGGAATTTGCCGATCTGATAAAGACCCCCAAGCTGGACGGGGTTCTTCTGCACGACCCGCAGCCCCTGCAGCATGCAAATCCAGCAACAGTTGGAACCCTCTGCATAACCGGCCACCATTTACTGCTAAGTGCACGGCAGGAGAACAGCCAGGAGCTATGGGTAAGGGTGGACACGAGTGCTTCGCCTCCAATGGAGCGTGAAGTTGCTGGCTAATTGAATTGTGTTGTATCCGCAACCCAACTCAACCCTTTTTGCCTTTCAGCTACTGCACAAGGACATCGACTGTGTGGAGAAGAAGCCGAGCATGTCACAGAACGTGGTCGTTGGGGGCATCATCACACTCAAGTGCAAGGATTTAAGGATTATTTCGCTGGAGATTAAGTACGCCAAAGAGTTCTTGAACGTATCCTCCTCCCTGGAAGCGCTCAGCGCCATCCAGAATGCGGAGCTGCTCTACCCTTTCTTCTACCGGCCCATGTACAGCATCCTTGAGGATGGCTACACGATGTTCAGGTGAGTGCGCAGGGAAATTGTAAATTGCAAACACAAATTGATGATAATTGAATTTTGCTTTGGCCAGGCCGGAGCTGGAGTTCGCCAAGCTCATCAGTGGCGTGGGCATGGGTGGTGTGTCCTCGCCCAACGTTGCCAACATAACAATTTGCATGCCATCAACGTCATCAACGTCTAGTGTATGTGCGGGAGCCGGCAGCATACCACATCCCCTGCAGAATGGTTTTGCGCTGGACGCAGCCAGCGCACTGGTGGGGGGCAGTGGCTGTGGTGCCGCAGCACCCGCCTGCGAGTGGCGCGTCACCAACATCAATAAAGACTTCAGCGTCTGTGCCACATATGGCGCCACGCTAATTGTACCTAAAGCAATTACGGACGAGCAGATTGTGCTCTCCGCCTCGTTTCGGGATGGCGGCCGCTTCCCTGTGCTCAGCTACAGGCACGACAATGGCGTAAGTTAATGGACTCAAATTCGATTCGTGTAATGCAATTTGTACCCCGCCAGGCCACGCTGATGCGCAGCTCCCAGCCCCTGTCGATACAGGGCATCAAGCGGTGCCGCGCGGACGAAGCGATACTAAACCTTGTGCTGGGACGCAGCAAAAAGGGCTTCATTGTGGACACTTGGGGCAAGGGCAAGTCGAACACAGAAACGGATCTCCATTACTCGCAGTGGAAGAAGGTGAATCGATCGATTGGCAACGTCAGCTCCCCCGCCTCCATACTGGACAGCTTCGCGAAGCTGATCGAAGCCTGCAATGACACTGGCTGCAGCACAGATAAATGGCTATCGCGCCTCGAGGGCAGTGGCTGGCTAAGCCTGGTGCTGAACTCCCTGAACGCCTCCTGTGTGGTGGCCCAGTGCCTTGACCAAGAAGGCAGTCCTGTTCTGGTGCATGGTGCCAAGGGCTTGGACTCGACACTGATTGTCACTTCGCTGGTGCAGATAATACTGAATCCCGATTGCCGAACCGTACGAGGGTGAGCCACCATGGCATTCAAGACGTTTTGATTGTAATTATTCCCACTCTTCAGTCTGCAGGCTTTGATAGAACGCGAATGGATTCAAGCCGGCCATCCGTTTGCCTCTCGTCATCGCTATTCCTGCTACACACCTCACCAGACGCGCAACAAGACCTCGGGTGCCACGTTCGTGCTGTTCCTGGACTGCATATACCAGCTGTTTACGCAGTTCCCCTGCAGCTTCGAGTTTAGCACACAGCTGCTGATATTGCTGTTCGAGCATAGCTACTTCTCGCAATACGGCACCTTCCTGTGCGACTCGGAGCGGGAGCGGCACGAACTGAATGTACACACGCGCACGACCAGCCTGTGGTCGTACTTAAATCGGCCAGATGTACTGCAGACACTGCTAAATCCTCTGTATGAGCCCAATGCTAATGTGATATGGCCATCTGTGGCACCTATTAGCTTGGAGTTGTGGAGCGGTGAGTGTTGAGAGCCGAAATGTTAACAGAAATTCTAAGAATTTTCTTTGAAACAACTGCAGAACTCTACTTGCGATGGGTGATAGATCAGCGCAGCGTGGCAACCGTCATGTCGCAGATACAGGAGCTTGTAACGCGCGAAAAAGAACTCAGAACTCATGTATGTCATGGTCTATAATTAGATATCTTTATGCCACATATTTTTTTCCTCTTTGAAGGCCCTCAAATTGCGCAAACAGGCCTTGGAGCTCGGCCAGGAGGTCTCCGCACTCATGTACAATGAAGACACTGCATAGTTTTGGCTACCTCAGCAGCTCTCTATCTCTTGCATAATATATACAATTATTTTTGATACGTTCTGTTGCCAGATTTCAAACAATTATTTAATAGCAACACTACAATTAAGTCACTCAAAAGTTCCATTTACAACAAATTATGCTGAAACAAATGAGAAGAAAGAACCGAAATTAACCATAGGATCTGCTTTTGGATCAAAACAACATAGACAACAACTACAACGTAGATAGTATGTCCATTTTTTACAAATTATAAGTACTGAACAAAATAGTGCTCTCCACTCTGTCTCTCTCTTTATCCTTATAAAGCTGCTCTCTACTCAGAAATGAAACCGAAAACTGCACATGGCATAACAACTATCAAATGATTAATATTGAGTCAATTTTTGACGCATTTACTTTTATGATAAACTAAAATTGTTAGCACATAGTTTTTCAACATTTAACTAACATATTTATAGTACTTATTCAGTGTTTAATATTGGTCTTTAAGCCGCCGGATCCGATCAAAGTTAGTAGATATGTATTATGAATTCAACAACAAAACAAATTTGCCTTTTTCGAAACAAAACATTTGTATAAAATCGGATAAATCTAAAGCTTCAAAAGCGTTTACAGAAAACAAATTATGCTGTGCATGCGTTCGTAATAAAACATTTATATTGTACATTTATATATACATTTATCCCACATTCGTAATGTAATTGATTGTTATCCATTGTGTGTTTAATTCGGATTGTGATTGTGTAACTGAAAATTGGAGGAAAAATTTGTATCGCATGTAATTTGTATCTATATTTATATTTCTATATTGTGCGTATTTTGTGTAATTATAGTAAAGTGCAATAAATACGTGTTAATTTGCAAAACGTCTTTGTGGTTCACTCTATCTTTCCGCACAACCTGAGGCAGCTGTCACGAAAGTTTCACATTCACTTGTTGCTCCACTCCAAATAAAAACTCATTTGTTTTTGCCGTTTTTTATAGAGTAAATTGATTTATTTTTCACTAGTCTCCCTTGGGACAACCTTCCTTTTCACATTGTTTTGGCCTATTATTTATTTTCGCTGCTAATACGTGTACAAAAACTCACTTTAATCAAGTAATCGTAAAAAAACCTCGATCGACAACAATAACAAAATAAGTTGTAAGCAAATGTGGTTTTTAGATTAAAGAATGCAAATAGAGAACACAGGAGAAGAGAAGAGAATGGTACAAAAAGATAGTTAGTTGCCCAATGGAAGCTTTCGGCGCTGCGCTGCTGGATCCACTGCTTACTGAGCCTCATCCTCCAGGAAGAAGAACTGGCCGGAGCGCTTTTGTTCCGTATCCTTGACCGAAGCGTTCTTGTTGATGCGGGGCCGGAAGTTGTTGGGATCGCGACGGAACGTAATGCCCAGAAGTTCGAGGAATCGATTCATGCCATTCAGCAGCGATTGAGGAGAGAAGGCTGTCGTCTTCACCGAGGGCTGGCCCTCAATTACGATCACACGATCCGCGAGGTATGTGGCCATGATGAAATCGTGCTCCACCACAAATCCAGTTTTCTTCGCATGCAAAATGTAGCTGGAAAATCGGAATAGAATAAATATCAATTGGGTTACAAAACTATAATCACAGTGCAACCTACCGCTTGATAACCTTGGCAGCCACGAGACGCTGCTCGGAATCCAAGTAGGCAGAGGGTTCATCAATGAGGTAAACATCCGCCGGCTTGCCCAGGCAGAGCACCAATGCCACACGCTGCAACTCACCACCGGAGAGGTTCTGCACTTCCTGGTCCATGATCTCCTCGATTTTCATGGGCTTCATCACATCCGCAATGAACTGCGGATGCACATAGGCATCGCGAATCTTATCGTGCAGCAAGTGACGCACGTGATTCTGGAATTTCGGGGAGATCTTCTGCGGCTTGTAGGAAATGTTGAGCATGGGTAGATCCACCTCGCCATCGGGCTGCAGATTACCGGCCAGCAGCCTAATGAACGTTGTCTTGCCAGTACCATTCTCGCCGAGCAGCACCAGGATCTCAGAGTCGCTGAAATGTCCCTTCTCCACGGTCAGCTCGAACTTGCCCAGCGTTTTCACCATTGAGGGGTAGACATAGTGGTTCATCCGCTTGATTTCCTCTTCCGTAGCCGACTCCGACACCTTGAACGTGAGGGACTCTGTGCGGAAACGCATGTTCTCGGTGGGCACAAAACCGTCCAGGAAAATGTTGATGCCTTCGCGCACCGAGAAGGGCATAGTAACGACGCCGTAACAGCCGGGCACACCATACAGACAGCAAATGAAGTCCGACAAGTAATCCAGCACAGACAAATCGTGCTCCACGACGATGATGAACCTGCATAGAGACAATTCTGGTCATCGAGCGGAGTTCTTTTATAGATCCTACTTACTTTGTGGGATGCAGCAGCGAGCGGATGGTCAGGGCAGCATTCAGACGTTGCTTTACATCCAGATACGAGGACGGCTCATCGAACATGAAAATGTCCGCATTCTGTATGCAAACCATGGCAATGGCAAAGCGCTGCAGTTCTCCACCGGACAACTGGGAGATCTCTCGGTCCCGAATGTGTGACAAGTCCAACATGTTGCAAATCGATGTCTGCAGCTCGCGCTCATCCTTTTTGTCCAGCAAGTCGCCAACAGTGCCACGCACTGCCTTGGGGATCTGATCGACATATTGCGGCTTGACCAGGGCCTTCAGATTGTCTTCCAGTATCTTGGTGAAGTAGTTCTGCAGCTCTGAGCCACGGAAGTAGCTTAGGATGTCCGTCCAGTCGGGTGGGTTGGCATACTTGCCCAAATTGGGCTTCTGCTTGCCCGCCAGAATCTTCAGAGCCGTTGACTTGCCAATTCCGTTCTGTCCGACCAAACCGAGCACTTCGCCGGGTCGCGGTATGGGCAGGCGATGCAACTTGAACGAGTTTTTGCTATACCGATGCGTCGTATGCTTCTCCAGGTTACTGGGCAGGTTGATGATTGTGATGGCCTCGAAGGGGCATTTCTACGGGTGGGAAAGGAAAATGGATTAGTGATTGCTCTTAGAGAGCATGAGGTGAATGACCTACCTTGACACAGATACCGCAACCGATGCACAGCTCCTCGGACAAAGAAGCAATCTTCGACGTGGGTGCCACCTCAATGCAGAGCTTGCCCATGCGCACCACTGGACAGGTCTTCTTGCACTCCTGCCGACAGCGTTTCGGCTTGCACTTGTCATCGCTGACAATGGCAATACGCGTCTGCTTGTCGACCTCCTCGTTGTCTTTTCTACGAGACATGCTGCAAGGACAATATAAATTAATCCAAGTCTCACGAAATTACTATCAAAAACCACTGTCAACGTTGCAAATCTGCCAGACGTCACAACAAAGCTGGTGCACTGCACGCCCTTGGGCAGCGGGGTGCGGGGAGTGTTTTACCTATTTAGTGAAAGTATAACCTCAAAGCGAGGCTAAACAATTGACTTCCACTGCCCACTTTCACAAAATGTCACACAGTGACCTCTGTCTTATGTGTATTTTACACTCATTGAACTCATTTGTTAATTTACCTGCGAACTAGGCTGAAATTGTTGTAAAACAGACAAACACACGCGTGTCAGCCAAAGTTTCGAAAGAGAGGACACTATCGAAGTCGAAACTACTCACCTGTATCGATATCACAAAAATGCACTATTCAAAGTATCGATAGCGTGAGTTTCTTGTTGTAATAAGTTTTTAAATATAAATTTTGATGTAGTACTGCCGTCACATATTTCTAAAATTAAAAATAAAATAAATTCTCGAAAGGAACATACAATATTAGGACAACCACGTGATCCAAGTGAGATCTTTATCTAGTGTCATGCAAGCATAGGCACTATCGATATGGCACACTGCTCGGGTTGACACCTCTAGTTTTTACACGTCGCTGATTTGGTCTGGTCTGGAAAATATGGTCGTCCAAGAGGATAATCCCAATTCTGGGGAAAATGTGGAGAAAACTGATCCCGGGACTGTTGTGGCAGAGCCAGCCAAGATATTCAAAGTTGAGAGTAAGTGAATATACCCACCACCTGCCGATGTTTTCATGCTAATGAGCTGAACTTTCACTCTACATTGTAGTACTGCACATGATTAAGGATGCACAGCAGCAGCATGGTCTGCGTCATGGCGACTTCCAGCGGTATCGTGGCTACTGCACCCGTCGCATTCGTCGTCTCCGCAAGGCGTTGAAGTACCCGCAGGGCGACAAGCGACACTTCAAGCGACGCGATGTGACCATTACTCAGTTGACGGGCAAGAAGGCGGACGAACGCTACATTCATATCCCACTGATCAGTGCCGAACGCGCATGGGCCTATGCCATGCAGCTGAAGCAGGAGTCCAACACGGAGCCGCGCAAACGTTTCCACTTGATCAGCAAGCTGAGGAGGGCGTGCTTCTACGCCCTGCAACTGCAGGAGTTGTGCAATGTAATTAATGGCATAAATTTTGGTATTCATGTGTTAATCAATGTCTTTCTCTCAGACGGACGCATTTGATGCCCGCACCAAGCTGGAGTGTGAGGCTTATGTGGCCTGGATGCATGGCAGCCTTCACTTTGAGCTGCAGCTATGGCAGTCAGCCGGAGAGCATTTAAAGCGTGCCCAGGTCGTGTACGAGAACCTGGCAGCGGCCTTGCCCGACGATGAGCAGGAGCTGTATCGGGCCAAGGTAAACGAGTTTACACCGAATCTGCGCTATTGCGCCTACAACATCAGCGGTGGAGCCAGTGGCGGCGATCTCGATGAGATCCTGGAGCTGCGTGCCCAAGGCGTGCTCGAGAATTTGGATGTGCTGGTCAGCCAGACGAAGACCGAGAGCAGCGAGGGTCTGCAGACGATTGATTGGCGTGGCCGCAAGGTCACTGTGCGTCCGGAGAAGGTGCGTCTGTTCCTGCTCAGCGCCCAGGAGCTGGACAAGTCGCTGGCCAAGGCAACCAAGCTGGATGCCAAGATAGAGCTGATTGAGCGCATTCTGATGGACTGCAAGGACGCCATCCAGGCAGTGCGGGATGAGATCAAGCAGGATCCGAAGCTGCGTTCGCTGACAACCGGGCAGACAGTCTCTGGCGTGCAGTATTTGCTGGCCTACTTGAGCTACATTCGCCACAGCCGCACGCTGCAGCGTAATCTGTGCCTTGTGGAGCAGGTAGGGCTACAGATCCTCCAATACAGCATTTGAAAACCATTAATGATGATATTTCTCTGCAGGCCAAGCTCAACTTTGTCGATCCCAACCAGCAATCGGAAGTTGTTGGCGATGGCAAACGCGTACGATCACAGGATCTTGCCCGCTTATACGAAATCATCTTGCAGAATGTCACCGAGATGCAGCAGATCAACGGCATGGAGGAGGATGCCAAGTATCAAAGCGAGGTGGAGAATCTGGCCATCACCTTTAAGGCCTTCCGCTGCTACTACATTGCTTTGACGCTGATTGACATGAAGAAGTGGAAGGAGGCAGTGGCGCTATATGAGCGCGCCTCCAACTACGCCAACGAGGCGCTGAAAGCCAAGGCCAGCCCGGAGTTCCCGCAACAATCGGAGCTGAAGACGCTCGTATCCATTATCGACGGCTGCAAGTTCTCTGCCCACGCATACAGTGTGCTGGAGGACGATAACAGCGAGGCTGGGACCACCACAAAGGCGCAGAAAACAACGAAACCGCTCTATGAGCGTCTGTCACAATACAAGGAAGACCAATCGCTTCACACCAAGACCCCAAATGTGTTCAAGCTCACACCCGATATGGAGCCCATACCGTGCAAGCCGCTCTTCTTCGATTTGGCCATGAACTACGTGGAGTTGCCCTCGCTGGAGGACAAGCTGGAGCAAGAGGGCAAGAAGGGCGCATCCATAACTGGCTTCGTGAAGGGATTCCTCGGCTGGGGCGGCGGCGGCAACAAGTGAGAATGCAGCCAAAGGCCCACTCTTATGGAATTCCACTCATCAATGTTACACTTATAAAGAGTTCAGATCCATGTTCAAACGTCGATGTGTTCGATGTTGTTTATAAGTTTCTTGTTTTGGCTTTGACCCACGCCCGGCTTTTGTATAAACGAAATATTGATTTTCTACGAAACATTTTTAAGTTAAAAAGTGAACAATTATTTGGTAATAAAGGAACCTACAACAGATTACCACTTGGTGGTGTACCTTTATTGCAATCACTACACACACTAATCCTAAGTTTACATCACTATGAATACTCTCACATGGCCGGCCTCTCAATCTGTAGATAGCCACGTTCGTAGAACTCCAACGCCAGCTCCCTGATCCGCAAATGATATTCCGAGGTGAGTGTTTGGGTGCATTTAATCTCCTTGCCGGTTAGGTTCTGCTCGCTCATCACATCCAAATTGGGCAGGTTGTTCGGATCAAAGGTGACCGCTGGCAGTATCCACATGCCAATGGCCAGGCCATAGTGCACCTGACGCACATACTCTGCGGTGAGTCGCTGCAACGAGAAGGTGTCGCAGAGCTGCTCTAATTGCTTTGCCCCTGACGTGTGGTTGAGCTGTTGATTCAGTTCCTTGGCCAGAGCCTCCGCATAAGCAGCCAGCAGCGTGTCCGTATGCTCATCCCTCAGACGCCTCCGCGTACTCGTATAAATAAAGTGGAGTATATCAAAGACGGGCGAGGTGCGGCGCATGGCCTGCAGGTCGAAGAAGATGACTTCCTCGGGCTGTGAGCGGAACATTATGTTGTTCACCCACAAATCCCCATGGCAGACCACACCTAACGCCGATCCAGCAGCCTCGTTTATATTCCGCTTTAGTTCCGCAAAGAGATTCGGTCGCAGTTCTTCAATGAGGGAGATGGGCGTGGTCAGACTTTCATCTGTATTCGATGCATTGAGACTGTCCAGGGCCTGCTGCACAGAGGTGTCCAGTATGGTGGAGTAAAACTCCGCTGCCTCCTCACAGTAGACAATCTCGCTGAGTTGCTCGACCTGGGCGGCAAACCGTGCAGACTCCAGTTGCTGGGAAGCCAGCGAGGCGGCGTGCATTTGTGCCAGTTTCTGGAAGGACGGTCTTTAATTATTCGGCAGTGGAATTGCAGTACTCACCTTCATCACCAGCAGGCAATGGCCCAGCTCCAGCCCCTCCAGTCGATCCTTCATTCGGTAACCCAAAGCCTTCAGATCCTGCAGTACAATGATGGGCTCCCCACTGTCGCTCCCACGGTCGTGACTCTCGGCGATGTGGCAGAGCGGGAACAGCGGCTGCTGGCTGTAGCGACAGAGCAGCGGCACCAGATGCCGGTAGGCGTTTATCTCATTGCTGAAGGCCTCCTCGCAGCGGTAGAGCTGCCGGCGTGACAGACTCGCAATCTGACGCTTAACAATAACCGTAACTAAATGGGGAGGGGGGAGCAGAAGACAAAGAGAAACAAAAAATAGCGTGAGAGAGCGTAACGGAACACGGAACAGCTGACTTTTGTTTACGTCGCGTGGAACAATTTATGAATGAAATGCCGCGCAAAAACACACACAAACACAGAGATTCTCTCTCTCTCTCAGCTAGAAGAGAGAACGCGTGTGCGTGCTGACCTTTAGCGAATCTATTTTACGTACTCGTATGGGTGGCAAGTGCAATGCATTTAGAATGCGTGGAACAAGGTCACTTCACTCGACGCCTCGCCCCACCGCCCGTCCACCGCTTAGCAAATAGCAAACAAAAAAATAACAAACAAACTGCATGGCTTCGACTATTTGATGCCCTTCTTGTGTAAGTTTACCCGCTTCCCTGGTTACTGCTGGTTGCTCCCGATCCTTATCCTGCTGCAGGTTCTGGCTGATGGTCACACGCTTTACCACCGACATGTAGTTGTCGCCGCTGCTGCTGCCCGCACTGCACGCGATGTTATCAATGCTAAAGGACACCAATTGGTTCCGGCTGAACAGTTGCCGCAAATGCTCAACATTCTCCTCGTATTGATTGATGACGCCCATGCACACGGCCATTGCCATGCCGCCGCCGCCGCCGCCATTCGAAGGTCCTGCTGTTGGTGGCACAGCGGCAGCCATTGTCTCCATTGCGCTTGACTGATTGATTGGTAATGTTTGTGGCTGTAGCTGCAACTGCAACTGTGGCTTTGGCTGGGAAGCTGCTGCCGAAATAAGTGCCCGAATTCCGTTTCAGCCGCTGCAGCATTTTCTTGGGACCTGCTTAGACATGACACACATCCAAATTGGGGACAGGTCACTCTTTTTTGTCGGTTGCCATCAGCAGAAGTTGTTCTCTTCTTTTAAATAATTTTTATTTTGGGCTTCTGCTCGGTTAGCACTTTTGTGCGAATTGCGTGCGAAAAGCGACTGGCAGACTGGCACCACCGCGCGTCCAACTGCACGGCGAACAACTAACTGAGCGTTTCGGAGGTGGAGGTGCTTTTGCCGTGGTTTATCCAACTGCAGTTCTCCCGCACTGCAGTTTCTCACATTCTCACGACTTGCGATGGCGTCACCTGGCGGACGGTGGCCGTACATAAGCCTCTCGCGGGCTCTCCCGATTCTCTCTCTCAGTGCTCTAAGCTCTCAGAGTTCTCATGAGAAATGAAATTGACTATTGAAAGCCGGTAGACAGTGGCTGTGTGTTGGAGGCAAACCTGACTGACGTGTGTGTGTTTCGTTCAAGGTCACATCCGAGCACTTTCACTTGGCGGGGTGGCGGCACTTGGTGCGTATACGTAATGTGTTGCCTGCCCCCAAAGCGGATGTTGCCGCATTGCACCGATAGTCGTTTGCATTGGGACGTGACCACAAAATGCTTGCACTTGAAATATTACATTGAACGTCCTTGGAGCGGAGCGCAAGCGTTGCGTGTGGGTCGAGGTAGTTTACGACTGAAAATAAATCAATTCAAAGCATATTTTATGCATGGATATTGTTTATTTTCGATGGTTTATGGCAGCTATTCCTTGGCTCATCTTAATTCTGCTTAAACTACAGTCACGTAGCCAAAGACAAAGACCAAAAGCCTAATAAAGTTCAAAGACCAAGACTCATTAACAGCAGACAATGCAGCAGGTCGGACACGGATTGGATCGGGCAATTTGTTTATTTAATATGCAACTACAAAAAGAGGCTAAATGGCCATTAATTAAATATCAAATTCGCCACGGCCAATAAATGAGCAGCCACTCCCTGAGACCCAAAAAAACGAAGCCCAGACAATGTAAATACCAAACCTCAAGCCACAAGATACAAGATCGATACGCACCTGAGTTCGATTCGAGTCGGGAAAGTTCAAGGCTGCAAAAAGTATCCAGCAATCAATGTGTGCAGGCCAAAAACTGCGGGACCAATGCTTCCGCCTTAACAGATCGGTTGAATAAACCCAAGTCTCGTCTAACCACAACACCCGTAGCAAATTAGGGTCAAACATGTGCAGCCACCAACAGATTGAGATTCAGATTTGGATTCCGATTCCTGATCTCCGAGATCTCAGAGTCACAGTCAGAGGCGGGCATTAATTTCAGGGTCAATCTCACACTTTCAAAAAATCGCACATAGTTTCGTTTTGGATTCTAAGCGAAACCTGTCAATCATCCAATGAACATTTGTAATCTGTGTACTCCTATATCTGAATCTGTAGCTGTAGCTGTATCTCTGCCTCTGTGGCTGTGCGACTTTTGCCATGCGTAACCGCTGCCGGCAGGCAACGCGACCTTTTTTGGGGGGCATTTTGTGGAGCATGAGAAACGGAGACACCGATATCATTGTTTTAATTGCTCGAGCCTAGGCCTAGGTCACTAGCAATTGCACTAGAAACGAGCTCTATATCTCTCTCTCCCCCAATCCGCGCTGTCCATAATTAATTTAATAAAATTTAAAGCAGCCCGCTGGCAAACAACAAACAAACACACAAAAACTTGACTCATTCTGGCTCTGGCTCAGAGACAGAGACATGACTTTGAGCGTGGTTTGGGGCGCTGAGCGACTCTGAGCGCCGAAGCTTGAGTTCAACTCGTTTTTGTGGCATTCAACGGCAAGCGAATAAAAGTTCGCTGCCTCGTTATTCTATGATCAGTTTACAGTCTCAACTTCACCCAGAGCCAGGTGTTCCAGTTTCAGTTTCGGTTCAAGTGTTGCTCCGTGCCTAATCCTCAGCCAAGTTCCAAATTCGAATCAAAATCCGAATCAATGTGAGTGCAGTGTGCGTGGGTGATGTGACCTGAGCCAGCAGCCAAATGAATCTCGCTATAAAGAACCAAAATGATACAATGTGTGTGCGTGGTGTGTGTGGGATCTTAGCCTTGACTTTGGCTTGGACTCTCTACACTCTGAATATGTAAATGCATTTTTATGGCGCATAATTACCCCTGGACAACACGCCTGTTCAGGGGCTGGCCCAAAAGTGTAACCCTGAAAATCAAGTTGTAAAACTCAAGGATTATCTCTAACGATTCCACACCACTGCTCAGTCCCTGGCTGAGTGCTCACTGTATTGCCATTTCGAGAGCACTTTTGATTGCTTTGTTCAATTTTAAATTGGAACACTCCACGCTTGACAATTAAAGCTCTCGTTTGCCATTCAATTCATTGCGCTGCCAGTCGAATTCTTATCAATAAAAAAAGCCAGTTCCAGTTGCAAAAAAGTTCATGGATTAGCTGCGCTGCATTTTCCAGCAAAGCCAAGACAGCGGCCCACGGTGCATGGGTCCATGGTGCATGGACGATAATTGATTTTCCCGTACATAATTTATGACGCACGAAACTGACAGCCGACTTGTAGATTAAAAACTGCCACTGACCAGCGGCAATAAATCTGTCCCCGTATCAGTTTATTAGAACGTTAACAATAATGCCAACTCCCGCTCCTTCTCCCTCTCCCTCTGCTCCTTGTAGCCATCATCATCATGTTGACTGCCTGCCAAGTTGCCTGCTTCGTTGGATGCCTCGCTCTGGTATTAAGCTGTGTCCAGGCGCAGTTTTATTACAATCAGGCATTGGGTTTGCCTGCAACACACTCGTTTGAGCCGGCCAATCCGTATCAGGGCTATGCCACAGCCGATGCACATCCCTCGGTGGTGCGCAATGCGCAATGGGAATCGGAGCTGCCTGCCGAGCTGTCGAAGAGTGCGCGATTCTACAATGATCCAGTCATCGCAGCCAATCTGGCCAAGGCGTCGCTTCTCACCACAAGGGAAATGGCGGTGGTGCATCGCGAGGCGGAGAAAATTCCACGGGATCAGGTCTATAAACTATTCAAGAATGCTGGCTATCTGAGTCGCAGATAAATAGACTCTGCTGCGATGAATGGAGTTCCGTTTCCCACGTGCCTTGTTGTATTTTAGTTTATAAATTGTTAATATATTGTACATACACACAGATTAAACATTCTTTTGTATATCAATTTCGATTGGGTGGATTGACACCTAAGGGAGGGAACTAAGTAAACTGCTAAATAAAAGGGATTTAGCTTTATGTACAAAGATTATGCTGGAACAAAAACACTCTGAGATGGAGGATTGGGTCATTGATTCACTGCACAAACAACTCGGCACCGTTGCCTGGTAGTGTATCAAACACAACCTCATTGAAATCATTTGGCTGATGGCGCTCCAAGAGATGTGGCGGCAATTGAGCGTAGTAGTCCCGCTTCAAAGCCTTTATATACGCTGCAGCAGCCTCCTGTGAGTCGCACATGGCCACAATGCAGCCACCCCAACTGAAGGAACACAATTTGATTAGACTTTGGAGGGACAGAGCATGTTGCCTTCACTCACCCAGCTCCTGTAACGCGAGCGCTGACATTCTGCTTCTCGGATATGGCAATCAGACGCTCCACATCTGGATGGGAGCATTCGTAGAGTTCGCGCAGACTCTCGTGCGACTGTCGCATGAGCTGTCCCAGTTGCTTGACATCTTGCACGCTGCCACGTTGCGCCAGCTGCTCACAAATCTTACGGAACTTGGCCACGCGTCCAGACTCTGTGGGAATGCCATAAAATATAAAAACTATCAAAACAAAACCTTGACCTTCACTCACCTTGGATAACATGGAGGGCACGCTGGCGCAGCTTAAACTCCTGCATGTGCTGCGTGTTGGCCGTGAGGAATTTGGTCTCTAGCTCCTGCTCCGTGATGCCCCATTCCTGGCAGATATCGGCTCGGGTGTACACCCATTTAGTTAGCTTATCTTTGATTAGATTCTCAAACGTCTCATTGTCCATGCCGCAGGCTTCCTCCAGGTCAATGAATCGAATAATGTCTTGCCAATTGCTTAGATTCTTGTTCCGGGCCAGCCAGCGTGTAGCCAGACGGCACTCCACCACACGCTCATTGTAGTCCGACGAGGCAGCCTTGTTCTTCTGCGCCAAACTGTTGGCCACCACGAAGCACTTGCCCGACGGCAGGGTCACCGGTGTGCCATTGAGTTTGGGATGAAATTCGATGTGATGGGCACAACCTTCGCGGCCCAAGTAGGCAATGGCCTGGTCCATGCCGCCGCTATGCGTGCCAATGTACTGCTCACACTTGGCCGAAATGGATGCCAGCTCCTTGCGATCCAGCTGCATGCCCTGGACATGGGCTGTGGCCAGCACCGAGGAGCTCACCATGGCACTGGAACTGGACAGACCAGCGGCCAGAGGAACATTTCCGTCGACTGCAATACGCATGCCAATGGGACTGAATTTCTTGCCCAGCTTTTCCTCAATGCCTCGAACGCCACACATGAAATATTTATACCATGCCGGGCCCCCAGGCAGTGGCAGTTCAAAGCTAAAAGAGTCATAGATATAATAATTTTGTGCAATTACTCTTAGGGTCAGTCATCACCCACCTGAGGTTCTTCAAGTCACAATCAAAGTTCTGGAAGTGGTCCTGGTCCACATTGCGGAGCTGCAATTGATGCTTGGTGGGATTACTGCCCACTGCCAGTACGATGCTTTGGGTAACGGCCATGGGGAGCACAGAGTAGCCGCAATAGTCCACATGCTCTCCTATAATGTTGACCCTGCAAATATATACCAGCAGCTGTAGGAATGATTAAAATACAAATGGCAAAGCACTCACCGTCCTGGAACGCGAACAAAGAAATCCGGCTCGGCACCAAACTGTTCCCTGTAAAAGGCTCCCAGTTTTTGCAGGCGGGAATAAATTTTGGCCTCTGGCTGCAGCTTCTGTTGGGCAACGAGCTCGATGCCGGGACCCAGCATGTCACCTGCTCCATTTCCATTGGCGGTCATGTTTACCTGCAAAACAGACAAGAACGTTTATTTATAACCTTTGTTTTATGCTGTTTTTCAGCTGGTGCGTCGAACCGTAAACGTGTCGCAACCACACAGTCATAACCCGCCAAGTCGAAAACATAGTACAGCTATATAAATGCTGATTAGCAGCAATAAAGGTGTAACCAAATCACACACACACACACATGCACATTTACCTAAAGGGGGTGCAAAAAAATAAGCTTATCGGCTAATCTCACCTTATCAGAATGTCAAAACATCCATTAGCACACAAACTGATTGAAACTAAAACTAACGCGCCGCTTATCAGTTGTGCAAGTGTTGTTTCACTGTAGATGCATTTTATTGTTGCAAATTTAAAGTCTTAATTGAGAAAAACAAGTGGAAATGTGCAATTTGCCGGCATTTGAGATAAATTTGGAGAGCTTGGGAGAGCGACAGAGAGGATAACAGCTGATATGTAATGTGGCCAGGCTTGCAAAAATTGTAGAATATTGAGCAGTGCAAGGCACAATATGGGTTTCGCACTTACTTAAGTATTTAGCGGTGCAATGCACGATACGGGTATCGCAATTACTTACCCAATAGTCTCTTATCGTGGATTTTATAGGTCACGAAACACTTGAAGGCGCGTCTGGTCGTTATCAGAGGAACAATTTTAGTTATTGGTGCGACCGCTACGAGTTCCAACCAGCAAATGAGTGATTCCGGCCTGCACCGTTTCCGTTTTGTTTAGCCCGGGAATGTGTAAGATTATACGTAGGAGTATATATGTTGAAATCAGCAACGCAACTGGTTGAGAGTATTGTTTACATATTGTTAACCGCTAACTGGGTTACGTTACGGCGTTGTCCTATGGTGTTTTTCTTATTTTTCTCAACTAATGCATTCCAACACTTAATATCTGGTTGTTTAAAACAGATGGTTTATTATTTGAAATTAATTCCATTAGCGGATTTATCAGTATCTGAATTATTTGCACGGCTGATAAGGAGAGATAAGGTGATCACATTGAATGATCTCAAAATTCAAAGTGGCCTGCCCAACATTTTAAATATTGTCAACGTTGTGGTGCTACCAGACTGCAGACTTTTTCCCATCGATATGGTCAGGCGATAATTGTCTCAATAACTCTGTGGTCACACTGCTGCCATCTCAATAATAAACCGAAATGGCGGGAAAATACGCACAAATAACGTTTAAATAAACACCAACAGCCCCTAACTAGTTACTACTAGAGGCTGCTTCCTAAAATATGTAAATTTTGACATCGATCTAATACGTTCACATGAAAATTTCTTAATTTCTAAATTTCCTTTGGAAACTATGCTACGACTACAAGCACTTCGTCCAGGGACTTTTTTGTTTTTATGTCGACAGGCAAGCAAAGGAGGGAAGCCCATCGACTCGGATACACTGCTGCGGCTGGAGGACGGCTACAAGGAACTGGTCGCCTCTGACTCCAAGTCGCTGTTAAAGAAGCACCTTAAGAAGGACCTCTTCGAAAAGTTGAAGAAGAAGACGACAGCATCTTTCAATTCCTCGCTGCTGGACTGCATTCAAACTGGCCTGAGCAACCACGACTCGGCCGTTGGAATCGTTGCCCCCGAACCGGAGGCGTACAAAACGTTTGCGGAAATCTTTGATCCCATTATCGAGGACTTTCACAAGGGCTTCAAGAAAACAGATAAGCACCCCGAGTGCTGCTTCGGCAAGTGCAATGATTTCGCCAACCTTGATCCCGACAACAAGTACATTTTGTCCACGCGTGTCCGCTGCGGACGCTCCGTGAAAAACTTTCCCTTCATCTCCTGCCTCAGCGAGAACGCATTTGCGAAGCTGGAGGCCATGATATCCGGTGCCTTGAACACGATGAGCGGCTCTTATAAAGGTAGTTACCTGCCGCTCAGCGGCATCGAGAAGTCCGTGCAACAGAAGCTCATCGACGAGCACTTCTTGTTCAGGGATTGCGACCGCTTCCTGAAGACGTCTGGTGCCAAGCGATTTTGGCCCGCTGCACGCGGCATCTACTTCAACGAGGCGCGCAATTTCGTGGTGTGGGTTAATGAAGAGGACCACCTGCGCATCATCTCAATGGAAAAGGGCGGGGACATCGGCAAGGTGTACGAACGCATGATCGGCGGCGTGGAGGCCTTGGAAAAGCATCTCGACTTTAGCCGCGACGAGCGTCTGGGCTATCTGACCTTCTGCCCCACCAATCTGGGCTCAACGATACGCGCATCCGTGCACATTAAGCTGCCCAATCTGTCGGACAATCCGAAGGAGTTTTGGAAGCTGATGGATAAATACAATCTGCAAAGGCGCGGCACCCGTGGCGAGCACACCAAGGTTGAGGACGGTGTCTATGACATCTCAAACAAGCGCCGGGTGGGCCTAACTGAATATGAGGCAGTCAAGGAGATGTACGATGGGATTCGCGCCCTAATCGATGCCGAAAACAAGATATTTAAATAGTAACGGCCTTTGTTAAATTATTTTTTTAGTAATTTTTATTTAATGATTTTCAACGGTATGTTTACGGTATATTTTCAAAATAAACAATTCTATTGCGGTATGTTTCTGAGGGTCAGGCGGTATAATTTATCGATAGCTGCGAAATAAATGGCGACAAGATAGATATATTTACTTATTTTGAAAACGGATTTACAAGCAAGAAAAGTGCAATTAAAGTCCTTCACTTAAGGCAAAACACACCCAATTGTTGCTTTTCACTGCGGAGACAATCGAGCGCAATGTCGAGCTTACAGCGAACCATGCTCAAGGGCAAGTTGCCACCCACCATACCGAGCGGGCGCATTGGTAGAGCGTAAGTTTTTGCTAGGATGCTGCAGCTGTATGGGATGGAGGGAGGGAGGAAGGGATACCTCTACCATACAGTGGAATGGCAAGCATCCAATTAATACCTAAATTGGTTAATTACAGAGACTCCTTCAAGAAGTCGCGCATACGTGACTACAAGCCGGGCATGTGGAACGAGTTCTTTGCCGAAAAGGAGGATGTCACGGTGGATGAGCAGCGAACTTTTCGTGTCTATCGCACCAAGAAGCCCGAGAAGCCGGGACCAGTTCTATTGCTACTACATGGCGGTGGCTACTCCGCACTCACCTGGGCGCACTTTTGTGTATGTATTCCGCAGCTGTTTTGCCTTGGCGTTGGGCTTGCGTGTCTGCGAGATTAGAAGATAACGATTATATTATTCATTTTGCATTTAATTTGCAGTCCGAGGTGACGAGCATGATACACTGCCAGTGCCTGTGCATTGACCTGAGAGGCCACGGGGACAGCAAGGTGGACGACGAGGACGACCTCTCGGCAGATACGATTTCAAAGTGAGTTGTCCTTGACGCAAGTCCAGTGTTCGGTTGTATTGATTTTTTTGCCTCTAGGGACATTGGAGATTTGATACTTAAACTGTATCCAGAGGAGGTGCCGCAACTCTTTTTGGTCGGTCACTCCATGGGAGGCGCGATTGCAGTCCATTTCGCTTCCATGTCATTGGTGCCCAACCTAATTGGCATCACCGTCATCGACGTTGTTGAGGGTACGGCCATGGAGGCGTTGGCCAGCATGCAAAGCTTCCTCCGCTCGCGTCCAAAGTATTTCCAGAGTATTCCCAATGCCATCGAATGGTGCATAAGGAGCGGACAGGTGCGCAATGTCGACAGTGCCAAAGTCTCAATGCCCGGACAGATAATCAAGTGAGTGCGCTCCATAGTCATATTTTGCACCTCTTACCGTCTCGCCCACTTGCAGCTGTACAACGAATAAGCTGGCAACGAATGACCTGCCATTACCCGATGACGTGCTGGAGGAGGCGCATCATAACAGCATGTTTCCCAATCCGTTCAGCATTTCCGAAGACGAAGAAGTTTCGCCACCGGGCGATGGCGAGGAAGGTATCGCTGAAGGTTTAGCAGCCGGCACCGATTTTAAGAAACCCGTCACGACCAAGGAGGCGACTGAAGCTGCCAGGAAGTAAGCTTTTTAAGCACTAACCACACACACAGACAGATAACACACCTTTCCTTCAGTTACACCTGGCGCATCGATCTCTCAAAGTCGGAGAAGTACTGGGTGGGCTGGTTCTCTGGCCTGAGCGACAAGTTTCTCAACCTTCGATTGCCCAAGCAACTTCTCTTGGCCAGCATAGATGGATTGGATAGGACACTAACCGTTGGCCAAATGCAGGGTCGCTTCCAAATGCAAGTCTTGGCACGCTGCGGACATGCCGTGCACGAGGACCGTCCACACGAGGTTGCCGAGGTAATTAGCGGCTACTTGATACGCAATCGTTTCGCAGAGGCGGCCAGCGAATTCCGCAGCCACATGCCATCGTGTTGAGAGAACTGCAAGGGTCGCATGGCATCTATGGTTGAGCACAAGCAGAGGGTCACAAAAATCTATTTTTGAATGGAGTATTACACTTTGAACTAACAGATAGATGCATGCATGAACAGGAACAACCACAACAGGTAGAGCGTAGAAACAGATATATATATATATATAGCCGTATATTCTATATATGCATATATACTTATACTTCAGTAACTTATTCGATATTTTTAATTAAATTTATGAATTTTTAACATCGTACTTTATACTCATTTTGCCAATAATCCCTTGCAGGAGAATTCTTTATTGTTTTCGGGCTTCTTACATTGTTAAAAATGTGTGTGTATTAAATATGTGCCAGATCGAATGAAATTTTAACGATATCGAAATTATACAAATGCTAAAAGGTTGAATAAAGCTACTATTAATCAAATGTTAACTTAAAATCGCAACAAAATTTTAAATTTGGAACTTGGACGATGAACATATCTTGGCATTTATTGAATTGGTTAATTATATTTATATTATAAGAAACATTTAACACATAGATTATATAACAGATTAACACATTTAGTCGACGAAGCGGTAGCCACCGGTAGACTTCATCTTAATCTTCGACTCCAAGGCCTGGATGCGATGCAAGCGTTCGGATATCTGATCTCGAATCTCCTGGCGATACTTCTTGCCTTGGCCTAGCGATTCCATTTCCGTCAGCCACATTGCGCGCTCGTTGATCTGATCCAAGACTGCATGGGAAAGGAATGAATTACGAATACTAAGGGGAAGTGTTGCTCCACTTACGTTCGTTGATGATGTCCTCCTCTGTTACGAGCGGGTCCTCGCGCGGACGTCGCAGTGGTTTCACGGACGGATCAGCCAGATGTGTTCCAGCCATGGTGAACTGCAGTTGTGACTTGGCTTTCTCACCGGCCATCCGATTATCTGTTGGTGGGCGGTAGTAGCTCATGTTGTAGGCACCACTGGCTTCGATCTGGCGCAGGTTCTTGCGCTTGGCATTGCGAGCGCGATCGAGAATGGCCAACGTCTCCTTGTCCGGGTCATTGTTGGTGTTGGGACGCGGTGGCTTGGGCAGAGGCAAAGGCTCTCCATTGCGCAGACTCTCATCGATTTGCTTACGCATCAATATGGACATCTTGGACTCTTTGACGAGCACTAAGGACACACGAAACAAAACTGATAGAACCACACTGTTGACACACGCGTCTGATGGCACTTACGACGAATCAATTCAGAGGTCTCCTTGCTGTACTTGACCTTGGTGGAATGAAAGGCTCCAGCACCGCCCGGTGGAATGCGCTCACTTGGCCACAGGGGCAACTTCTCCGTGTTGCCTCCTCCGTGTTCGCCATCCTCCTGCTTCTCTTGCTGCTCCACCTTCAAGGCACCCGGCAGCGCCTTAAGCTGCACATTATTATAGCGATGACGGCTCATTTTGTAAATCTAGAAAATTTGGCTTAGAACAAATTATAGAATATTGCTGAAGGTTTTCGTGTGAGAGCTAGCTTCGATATGAAGGATCCCAGACGTGTAGACAGTTTGTTTTATGACCAAACAACTGGGGAGGCAAAACGCATGGCAACCTGCGTTGTTAGGTTGTTAGGGAATCCAATAAACAGTGAGAGCGATTTTAATTCTCGAAATAATTTATTTAAAATAAATATATGGTAGGTATTGTATGTGTGTATATGTGTAGGGTAGGTACACGCTTGGTTTTGGGGCTCGCATTTGATAAGCTGCAGGCCCTTCTCTCTCTCTCTATATTTCGGCAAACATTCAACACATGCCATGCCACCTGCCTCCACTCCGCTTCCTACACATCCAACTGCAGGTGGTGGCGGCCACTTGACAATCTTTAACTTGAAATTTTACAATAGTTTTGCGGATAACTTTGAACTCTCTATTTTCGCTAGTTTTCAATATACATTTACATTTATTTCGGCTTATCTTTCGTTTATTTGTTTTATAAATAAAAGCATTTTGCAATTTACAAATAGGTATTTGGAACTATGGACAAATAAAGATAATAAGGAAACGCTACAATTTCCATGCTTACAGTTTGTTCAGCTTTTTGTTTACAATAAAATAAAATTAGGCTACGCGGTCCTACGTATTCTTAGTGTATTCTTTTTTGGCTGCCTTATCGTGTTCAGCTCTGGCCCGTCTTAAGCTTAGGATGCGATCTATAGACGTAGTAAATATATACTCGTGTGTATAAATATCTAAAAAAACAACTAAAACATAACAAATCGATCGATTGGATTGGCTTGCCATGTTTACAAATAAACAATTGACTAAAGCGAAACATAAGCATTAATCGTAGAGTTACAGGTATAGAATCAATGGAGACATTAATGACAATGATCTCATGCACGTTCGTCTGGCTGCATGTGCAACACGTTGTCCGACGGTACATGGTGAGGGGATTGGGATGATAGTTTACGCCTTACTTAATACAAAATACAATATGTAGTTCCGATCGATTCACCAACTTACAAACACAAAACATTGAAACATTTCGAAACCTATTCGAAGATTGGTTTGCTTTTGGTTTTGTTTGTAGTTCTCGGTGTTCAGCAATTATGTTCCTTTAAATTTAAAATAAATTATGTGCATGTGTATATGTAGATAAACACATCCGTTATTTATGGGAGTTCTACTTCATTCAGCAAGCAACGTGGTTTTGATTCGCTCAAACAATTCTCAATTACTCAGTCCGTCTCCTCCATATCCAGCTCTCCTTGCTCCTCCTCCTTCTTCCTTTCTAGTGTTTATAGTTGCGAAAAAGTAATCTTAGTCAGTCTCATGGTCACGATGCAGAGTTCATTATGTAAATTTTTACTAGATAAACCATTTCTTTCGTCGTCTTCTTTGGGGGGGATTGGGTATCGGATCTGTGGACTTGTGTTTTGGGTCGTGTTTGTGTGCTTGTCTTTGTTAGAATAGCGTAAAATGTTGATCAAATTTGGCCAAATTTTCCTACATAGAGAGAAGTGATTTATGTGATATAGTGTGTGTGTGTGTGGGTGTGTTGTGTGTGTGTGTGAGGTTGGGACGTGGCGTATTAGTTGAACTACAAATGGCGACAACATTTACAAAACTTAGACATTAATAACATTGGCCGCCCAAGAGGCATCTCTGCTGCCAGCCAGCCAGCTGGCCGAGCCCGGGCACAGGCGCAGGCTTCGTTTAGGGGAATTCGTTCATTTGGGGCGGGGGGAGGCTCGAAAGCAGCTAGAGCTCTTCTCACAGTTCCAAACGGCCAGCCGTTGGACTGCGAAAAGCGGGAGCTCCGGGCACCGCCAGCGGGCCAGACACGACACACAGATGAGCCCTGGCACACAATTATAAACTTAACATTTAAACAAACTATCAGAGCTTACTAACTAAAAACGATTACAAAACGTTTGCATGGGCTGCCGGGCGAGGGATTGTGGGGGAACAACGAGCATTACAATTAGACGCGACGCGACACAAAACATATAGGCGAATCTCTCTCTTACAGAACTAGATATAAAAACACATTCATGTTCGTTTTATGAAATCAAGCTTCAAAACGCAGTGAACACAAAAAAACTACTGGCAGCCACAAAGTTCCACATAATTATCCCAGAGGCTCAGTTCATTGCCTGTTCAGTCATTTGGCGGCACAACGTCTCGAGCTGTTCCAGGCTCTTGAAGTCGTTCATTTTGTATTCGTGCGGCGCCATGCTCAGGCTGATTAGCTGACGCTGCGGTTGGGACAGGCAATGATCTGCAGTGTGATTGTTGTTCTTGCTGCTCTGCAAGCAGAGATTATTGCTGCAGGCCCCACTACTGCCACCACCACCACCACTAGGACCTGGGCATAGGCAGCTGCCACTGCCGACTGCAGCGGCAGCAGCCGCCAGCAACTGCAGCTGTTGCTGGTTAATCAAATTGTTGTTCAGTATGTTGTTATTGTTGTTGTTGATTAGAATTTGAGGCGTATGCTGCTGATCGCTCTGTTGCGACTCTTGACTCTGACTACTACTAACCATCACCACGGCGGCCATGGTCTTCTTTGGATGCTGCTCCGAACTGGACACTCCTCCATTTACACTCCCATTTCCGGTCAGGCCGTTAAGGCTGGGCTTGCGTGGCTGCTGCTGTTGCTGCTGACTCCTTGAATCCATGACCAGGCTGTCGTTGGAGCCATTGTTGTTGGTGAGTACTCCCTGGCCCGGCTTGAAGATCATTTGCTGCGGCTGCTGTGGCCCACCAGACACCAAAATGAGGTTGTTCAGCGAGCGGCGATGCGTCTGCGGTGCCGGCTGCTGTGGCAAAGCAGGAAAATGATTGTGCTGCTGCAGCATCTGCTGCATTTGCTGGGCATGGTGATGCGACTTGAGTGGCTGCTGCTGCTGCTGAGGATTGTTCATGAAGCTGGGATACGAAGAGCTCTTATACTGTGGCTGATGCGACGGACCGCCGTAGCCGTTGTACTCGAATTGCTGGAGCGGCGGTGGCGGTGGCTGTTGTTGCTGCTGGTGATGCGGCAGTGGATGCTGCAGGCAGTTCAGCGAGAAATTCAACATGTCGTTGGAGTTCTTGCGATTGTTAATCCTATCGTTGCTGCCATTCTTTGTGTCACACTTGCGACTCTTGCCATTCCATCTAGAAACATAAATCAATTGCAATACTGGAAATAGTTCAAAAGAAAAGCTTGAAACGCACCTGGGTTTGTTGATGTTGCCCCCAGTGGGTACGCCGGTAGTCTTCACATGGTGCATCTTCGAGACCATGGAGATTTTCAGCTTGGACAGCTTAAACTTGAGTTCCTTGAGTTGGTTGGCATGGTTCATGAATGCCTCGTTATGTATAGAGCGATCCAGAATCCACATGAATACACCCATCGTCTCATCGTCCTGGATACAGTAGGGATCCGCCTGAACGGCATTGCTGACCAAGTCGATGACCTTGAGGAAACGATGGCCAATGTTTTCCTCCGGTGGCCCCATGGCCTCTACGGGTTTCATCGGCGTCAGCACAATGTGTGTGAGCTCCTCGACAGCCGCACTGAGCTTCATCTGCCCGGTGTGCAGCTCCTGCTCCACCCTGCTGAGAATGTGCGCGCGCTCCTTCAGCTTGTCAATGCAGAGGGCCAGCTTGTGGGAGGCACCCTTGGTCACGCCCACGCTCTGGAGGAAATCCTCAGTAATCATCAGCATCTCCTCGTAGGTCATATTCTTGAACAGCTCAATGTACTTGTGCAGTCGGAGAGACTTCAGCCAGAGGCCTATGCCCGACATGCCCACATTGCGGGTCTGGAACTTGATGTAACCCGGCTTGAACTCATCCAGTCGCGTATCCGAGCCACTGTTGGCCATAGCTCCGCGCTGATGTTCAATGGAGAGGGAAAAGCTCCTCGGTTTGTTGGCAAACTGTGCCAGATTCTCCGTGGAATTGGAGCAGTTGTCGTTGACAGTGATCACCGAGGAGTTGGATGACGATGAACAGCTGGAAATTGTTTGAGTTGTCAAGCTATTGGATCGCCGCGTCTTCAGAGCAGCGATTTTGCTGTCCAGACTCCAGCGATTGATGTCACCAAACTGATCGCCCACATTGCCCATCAATATCGAGGCGTAGGGCAGCTGTGGACCTGACGGAGGCGGTTGCAGCAGCTGTTGTTGAAGATGATGTGAGGAGGGCTGAAAGACATAATTAAATATATTTCTGGGAAGACTCTATTGATAGGCTCTATTGACTCACCTGCTGACAGAGATTGCTTATGCCGCTGGCCTCACCAACATCTGCCAGAGTGGGGGGCTCAAAGTCGATGATTTCCGTACCATTCTTGCTGAAGGACGTGTCATGGTCGTCGGTGCCTCCGATTACAAGCATTGAGCCCGCTGCTGCTCCCGCCACGACGCTGTTAACCAGCAAGGAGCTGTTGTCCAGCGACAGGCCTAAGCTGTTCTGACTAGAAGCTAATTCGTTCAGGGTAATACCATTTAAATTATCACAGAGTGGATTGATCGATCCGCTGGAGCCCCCGCTGCCACGCCAATCGCCGCCAGTGAGCTTGTGCTGCTGCTGTTGCTGCTTGCTGGGCGGTGCAATCGTTTGCCAGTCATTGCTGCGCGACGATCGCGAGCTGCTAGTGGTGCTGGTGGTGCACAAGCTGCTCCCCAGGTTGCTCAGCGATGAAGAGGCCACCGACGAGCAGGAGGCGGCCGAGGAACTAGCTGCCGATGAGCTGCCCGTGGAGCTGGTGCCCGCCACCAGCTGTGGCGATGGCTGCAGGAAGTAGCTACGATTCGTGAGCCCAGCGGCGGCTGCCTGAATGTGGTCCTCGAGGTGTCGCAGCCAGATGTTAAGCGATCGTCGATCCTCGTTGCTTATGGCCGGATGAATGAGTAAGTAGGAGAAGATCTGCTGTACCAGCTCCGTGGGCACAATCTGCTGCATGGTGTCTTTGACAGCGGCCGGAATCAGGGTCATGTAGATGAGTTTGGCCTCATCGTTGCCCGGCTTCAGCAGCGGCAGCATGTTCAGCACCTCGTGGAGTATATCCTCCTTGCGGGCATACAGCTTCCGCTCATCACACTGCGAGGAGGTGGTGATCTGAAAGTCGCTGCCATAGCACGGCATCGAGTCTTTGTCGGAGGAGGAAGAGGACATGCCATCCAGCACATCGCACGGCTGAAATGTTTTGTATGCATTCAGCAGGTTCTGCAAGTAGACCGGATTGTTGGCATTGATGTCGATGACCACGCTGCTCAGATTCGTCTGCGAAGTGCCCAGATTCTGTGTCAAATTGTTGTCGATCGAATACTGAAGAAACTTGAGGCTCGGATAGCGCAGACGCTTCAGCAGCGCGTACATCACGACGGTTCGCTCGCAGTCGTTCCACTTCTCAAAGAGATTTGTCACTGTGGTCACCTGCTCACAGAACAGCGCGTTCGGCGGCTTATGGGGATTGGGATTGGAATTGCAGTTGCTGTTGGCAATGGTATTGGTATTTGTATTGGTATGGGTGGTCTGTGCATCGCCTGTTTTCGCGGGCGTTGTCGTAGATATGGCCTCCTTGTGGGAGTGTGCCTGTGTGGGTGTGGAGGTTGTGGGCTGCATGTCATTCAATGCACTGTTGGAGTTTGAGTTGCTGTCGATGCCGCAGGACATCCCGTTGTCTGTTGTGCCAGTTGAGTACTTCATCTCGTTGTTGTTTCGGTTTGTTGTTTGTTCCGTTTTTGGGAATATGTTAAGTGTGGTTTATATTTGTGGTACTGCAACTGTGGCGTCTTCTTTGTTGGATTATTTGGTATCGTTGTTCCTGCAAAATAAATATTTGTATTCTTTAATGAGCGTATATACCATTTTGTATAGAGTACCCCTACTGATCCCACAAGCACATGATCAATCAATTTCACGTTTATTTTCCCTATAATTTGTCACCTGTTGCCGTTGTTGTGGCCGATAATAAAATAAACCCAAGCCACAGACGCAAACACCTCTCAAAAGTTAATCAAATCAATTTTTCGCTAATTTTATAAATTTACAAGCCAAGCGACAGCAACAACAAGAGCACGCGGCACACAGCCCGAGCAGCGGCAGTATTGGCTACAATAATAATCTTTCTATAATTGGCAAAAGGGAAATTAGCATTTGCCATGGGTCCGTCCCAGTCCGTAGATCGGGGCTTATCAGGGCAGCAAATAAACAGCAAGCAAATACATAACACCTTCCACGACTTGCTTTCCGCATTCGATTCTATGGTAATCAATAAAATGACAAACAGTTTAGATGGGAAATCATTAGAATTCGATATCTATATGCCAAAGGGACCAAAACTAGGAGGATAGGGGCGGGCAGTCGGTAGCTCGCACTTTTCATTTAATTTCCACTGCTTTTGTGTGCTCATTTCGAATCTTGTTTCTGTTGCCTTTGCTTTTGCGACTTTCTTCGATTTTTTTTCTTTTCTGCTTTTGCTATCTACTGTTATAATTTAAAGCCGAGGCAACCCCCGCTCCACTCCTATCCCAACCATCATCTTAGCAATGAAGTGTTGTTTTAGTATGGGTGCGAGTGGTCTGTGTGTTCGTTCGTGTGTGTGCTGTAAGCAGACATTAAAACATAACGGGGCCCAATTACTGTATTAAACGCGGAGCTGGGGAATTTACTGATGTTTACTTTTTTATATTTAACTTTTTGGACGAAATTTCACATTTCTTGTTGTTTAATTGTTGCCAAGCCAATGCACCATTACTTTTAATATGGGGGAGAGAGGGAGATGGAACCATTATCTGGCGCTGCAAACTAACGGTAAATATGCATGGCTGATCTGGTCCAATCTTTGAGGTTATGTTAGTTCCTAACCGGCTTTGAATATAACTGCAATATTCCCAAAGTTCAATAAACGATCGAAAAACACACACACTCCACACACAATGAACACTCTGATCCTTCCAGACTTTGAGGGGGGGAATTTTAAAGCAAACTCACAATGCGGCGTCGTTGTTTGTCGAATTTTGTGCCCGTTCAGCCGCGATCGCACTCGTTTTGCATGTTTTACGTATTTTTTTTGCATGCACAATATAAATTTGATTATCTGTAGTTGAGCAAATACACAATACAGAGGGAACTAGACGCCACGGAAAACAGTTTTGTTTGTATTAAATAAACGAAGATGAGAACTGAACTGAAAAATGCTGCAACGACAAGCAACAGACAGCAGGCACTCTGGGGAGCACTGAGGAGGATGACCGGCAGGCAGAGTGACGAGATGATGGCGAATGATTGGCGCTGGCGTCAGCAGTGTGTGGCGTTTTAGAAAATGGTGGAGCTTGCGAAAATCAAGGAGAGAGCGAAACGGGAAAGGGAACGGCCACGGGCACGGGAACGGAACGAAGCGCGCCTTTTTTCTGACAGCCAAAGGAACGATGCTACTGTCTGAAAAACGGGGGAGACCTTGCATGCGAGTGTGTGTGTGTGTGTGAGTGAGTGTGACACACTGAGAATGCATGAAGCATTGCAATGCAGAGGCAAAAATTGCGGCAAATTACATGAGAGAGAGAGAAAACGTTACAGGGCGGCAGGCAAGGGAGGAATTCGCTCTCCTACTCTCTTCTCGCAGTCCGATGCTGTCGCTGCTGCTGGCTTTGCACACAATTGTTTTCATTTACACTCACTTTCCGTTCCGTTTTTTGGTCGTGGCGCGAGGGAGAGGGAAGGGAGGAACAGGCGGTTTGTTGTTTTCACCACAGACCCACACAAACACTCACACACAAGAACATGCCCAACATATATATTAGCCCCCAAAATCACGCCCCACCCACCTAACCATGGTCGTTGTCGTCGTCGGCCAGACAACAAAAATATATAGCTAGCTACACTATACAACTGCGCTTGTGCCAAAATCGTTCTATTTTTCAATTACCTTTTTGCTTTCTATTCGCCTGCTGCAAACCTTGAAATTATTTTCTGTTGCAATTCACAGTTTTGATTGCTTCGAAACACGAAATTTAAGCATATTTCGCTAATTTGATATGCTATCAGAGCGCACATTTATTAATTTATAATTTTCACCTTCGCTATATGTATGTGTGTATTTTTTATTAGCGCTTTCTGGATGCTTTTCTTGTTGTTTTTGCTAAATCATAACTACACATCGCCTTTTTTAGCCACACATTTGCTGCGCCTCCACGCAACGTATTTTCTTTTCCGAGCCGCGATAGAGAACTGCACACACTTGCATGTGGTTATATGAACATTCTTGCCGTTTAGTCCATATTTTTCAGCAAAATTAATTAATTATTTGTTCCCGAACGCGCAACCAGTGTGACCGCGTAGTTATCAATGAAATATACCGACAGACCCTCGGAAATATACCAAAATATTCACTTTAATGTTAAAAATACTATAAATATACCGTTAGTCTTAAGTAATTTTCCTCGACTTTGATCTTCTGTTTAATATTACCACCTGGCTAGGACTCTCAACTTTAAAACTGCATTTTTCCATGAATCGTCATTCAATTCTTAACAATTCTTGACTGCAAAATAAGACCAAGCAACAAAAGGGGCATTACTCCATTTGACAATTTGTTGGCGAGTGTGTACCCTATTTCCAAAATTTAATATAACAATTCCATTTTACCAGCTGCCTTTAAAGTTTTCATATGGTTTCTATGTGTATATATGTACTATATCCCGATATAGATACATTGTCGGTATCTATATTCTGCATAATTTGGTTAAGAATGCTCACCAGAACAGATGGATTCGTTTTTGGATTGATTGTTCCAGAGAGTTCCAAAGTTACCTCAATTCGAGGATATCCATCCTTCCAAGGGTTCTAAATGTTGCCTATTCCGTGCCAAATGTTGCTGGCCCATTTAAATTATGCTGCCAACGGAAAAATATGTTACCACATGTTTCTAACACATCAACTACATGGTGTGTAAAACTAATTGTCGGACAGTTGGTATTTGACTAGACATTATGAAACTTGAAGAATTTAAGCCAACTTTAAGGGGATCTGCGGTTTACCTCTCAAGTTGTTCGCCTGTTTAAATAGAAGGTGGATAAGTGGGTTAAGTTCGATCACTATTTAATATCGGTGTATATTTTGGTATATTCTTAAATTTGGTGGTATATACGGCTGAGGGTCACACTGGTGCAGAAGGAAAATGAAAATTGTTATTGGAAAATTGTGGCTGCATTACAAATTACCATGAAAAGGGCACCAATACGATATGAGCAACAGCTTTGGCACACACAGCAGTACATGCAAGTTATATTTAGCGCAATAAACCACTAGTTACGCGAGAATCCCAACGAAACGCACACAAACACTACGACAACACATTGGCAGCCTATCGACAGACAGCGAAAAGAATGTTTGCCCAAACAGAATCGCAGAAGACGAGCTTCCTGGAGCAGACGAAGGCGGCCAGGGAGGAGCGGGCGCTGGAGAAGCGCCGTGAGTCGGCCGCCATCCTGCTGCAGTCCACCCTCAAAGGATATGCGTCCCGCCGGAAATATCAAAAGCGTATCATGTAAGCCCTCATCCCATCCCCATTGGCACCCATTACCACAAATACTCCCTCCACCTTCTTTGTAGCAACGATTTTGATGCTGTATTTGTGCCGGGACAGGATGAGAAGGATACGGAACTGGAGCTGACTGCCGTTAATGTGTATCCTGTGCTCCGTCGCTATCTCACGCAAATCAAATTGGACAAGAAGGATATGAAGGCGCGCGAGCGTCTGGAGATCATCTGCCGCTACGTCAACAAGGCAATGGAGGCGGAGAATCCAAGACTCTCCTACGCAGCCCTCTGTCTGCACAAGGAGCGTAGTTTACCCTGGATCGCGCACATCAAGCTATTGCTAACCAACTGCCTGCTGCTGCTGCCAGAGCTAAAGCCTGAGAATCATGCTGACAGTCTGTCACTTGCCCTCTTCCTCCATACTCTGATTGTGTTTACTGCTCCCAAATCCTGGGCCATCCTGCGGAATGCCACATTTGGAGGCCTCCAGCCAGCCATGCAGAAGGTCTGCTGCAACATTCAGGGGCACCTGGTGCAGCACGGCTTCTACAGAACCATGCGGGTGAGCAGTCCAGTAGCCTATCCTCTATGAAATTACTTGAAATGTTTATCCTTTAGCTGGTGCTGCTGAGGGGCACGGCACGCGAGGAATTGTCCGTGAAAACCGTCACCTTCGTGGCCATTATCACTCTCTGTCTGCGGCCTCTGATCGACGGCGACTACAGTCGCAACCTGTTGAGCCAGTTTCTATCGGAGATTCTCTCTGTGCCGGCTCTCATCTATCACTTGAACCAGAGCGTGCCCCAGTGCATAGAGCAGTTCTCGTCCATGGGTCTGCTGAAGAAGGCATTGAGCATCTCCGAGGATTTCCAGTGGTTCGAGGAGTTCGGTGCTAGCATGCCGGGTACCAAGTCACTGGCGTTCCTGGGAAACATTGTCAACTTGTTCAACATTGATGGCCACGCGGAGGCCAAAGTGCTGGCCTATCCATTGCTGATTGTAAGTCGAAAATAAGCCCTTATCCCTTCGCAACTTAAATTATTCCTGTTGCATAGGAGACCACAACAACGCTGCTGGAACTGATACCCAACACGGTGACCACCAAAGGAGTGTTTACGCAATGGCACGAGCTGCTTGGCTGGCACACACCCGGCACGGAGCCTGCCCAGAATCAGAATGTGGCGTTGATCAAGAAGCAATTCCATATGCTGTGGGATAGCCGCTGCATCAAGGTGCTCCTGGGGGATATCCTGAAGGAAATCAACGTAAACTACGAGCGCATCGAGTTCCAGTCTCCCCAGCAGCCTTCCACATCGAATCTGCTGCGACGCGCCCTCGAGCGCAGCTCCAATTGCGGTGTCACACTCATTGGCGGCAACACAGCCAGCAAGCAGAGCAAACAGGCCAAACAGCCGTGGCGGAAGCTGGACAATGCCGATGTGGTGCATGTGTCGCGTATTTGCGGCATGTACTATGCAGCCCTCAGCACGCTCTCCCAAATGAAGCTGGACATTTTGACGGGAATCTGCTACAACGAAAATGTGCTCTATGACATCTGGCTCCTGCTGACATCGCTGGGCCCCAACTGCGGCATGAAGGAGTATCTGGATCTGCTGAAGAGCGAGACCAGCCTCCAGAAGCCACAAACAGCCATGTTGATGCTATTCTGTGATTGCATGACGCACTATGTTACGTGAGTAGATCCATCCAGGGATTCCTCAGCCATGTCCTAAATGTATTTCCATTTCTGTGTAGAATTCTCGACGAGTATGAAATGTACACGGAGCAGAATCCATTTCGGCTAAACGATTATGTCATGCTGACCTATTTTCTAAACAATATGCTGTACAAACTGATCAACGATAACATTTTGGGTGAGTTGGCACTTTGGATGATCAGCATTTATCAGCCACTTATCCGCAATACATCCCGTTTGCAGGCGCCAAGAACATTGTTCAGAATCCTGTCTTTCTCTCGCTACACACTCTGCTGCTCTGTTTATATCGTCGCGACTGCCGGCGCCCGTTTACGCCAACAAATCATTGGCTCATACCGGAAGTGAAGCCTTCCACGTTCATCAACGATTTGGAGAAGGCCAAGCGGAATGCCATGTTGCTACTGGCCAAGATGCCGCACATAATTCCGCACGATGATCGTGTCAAGCTGTTCCGCAAGTTCGTGCAAAACGAAAAGGCTGTCATGGGGCTGACGGAGAGCGCGTGTGCCTCGCCCCGCTCTGCGCTGATTGTCATTCATCGGGAGCGTATTGTGGAGGATGGCTACCGGCAGCTGGCCGCACAGCCCACGCATGCCCTGAAGGGCGTCATTCGGGTGCGTTTCATCAATCAGCAGGGACTACACGAGGCGGGCATCGATCAGGACGGTGTGTTCAAGGAGTTCCTGGAGGAGACAATCAAGAAGGTGTTCGATCCGTCGCTGAATCTGTTCAAGACCACCTCGGATCAGCGACTCTATCCATCGCCGATCTCCTACGTGCAGGACAATCACCTGCTGCTCTTTGAGTTTGTGGGCCGCATGCTGGGCAAGGCCGTCTACGAGGGCATCGTGGTGGATGTACCCTTCGCCTCGTTCTTCCTCTCCCAGCTGCTGGGGCAGACGCAGCAGGCCCTCTACTCCTGCATGGATGAGCTGCCCTCGCTGGACGCCGAACTCTATCGCAGTCTCACCTTCATCAAGCACTACAAGCAGGATGTGGCCGAACTGAATCTGACCTTCTCCGTTGACCAGGATGTGATGGGCAAGATTGTCACCCACGAGTTGCATCCCGGCGGCAAGGGGCGTGTGGTCAACGATCACAACAAGCTGGTCTACATCCACTACATGGCCTACTTCCACATGAACACACAGATTCGCGAGCAAACCCAAGCCTTCAATCGAGGCTTTCGCAGCATTGTCAATACCGAGTGGCTGTCGCTCTTCTCACCCCCCGAACTGCAGCGTCTCATCTCGGGCGACACGGCGCCATTGGATTTGAGGGACTTACGCAAGCATACGCAGTATTATGGCGGATTTCATGATTCTCATCGCGTGGTTGGCTGGCTCTGGGATATTCTGGGCAAGGATTTCACAGAGGACGAGCGCAAGCTGTTCCTGAAGGTGAGTAACTGAAGGAAACCATGTCTAAGGATATATCTTTAATGCATATTCTACTCCACAGTTTGTTACCAGCTGCTCGAAGCCTCCGCTGCTGGGCTTTGCCCATCTGGAGCCGCCCTTCTCCATTCGCTGCGTGGAGGTGGGCGACGACGAGGACACTGGCGACACCATCGGCAGTGTGATACGCGGCTTCTTCACCATACGCAAAAAGGATCCGCTCAACCGTCTGCCCACCTCCTCGACCTGCTTCAATTTGCTGAAGCTGCCGAACTATCAGAAAAAGTCTACGCTGCGGGACAAACTGCGCTATGCCGTGAGCAGCAACACGGGCTTTGAGCTGTCGTAAGTTGGGTGTCATATCAGGGACTGCCGTGCGACAATCTTGCTAAATTCTCTTGCACATATTCCTACCCCAAACCCAACCCACCCCACCACCCCTGTGCTTTATTCACATTTTATGTTATTCCTTTTTAAGTATTTCGCGGTGTAAATTTGTTTTGTTTTGTGGCAAAGAAACATGCGGCAAGGAAACACACAATTATATAGAAAAAACAAATAAATATAAACGTATAGCTGTGATAAAACTATAATAAAAACTAATAACGAAGTGTACACACAACCAAAATACCAATAGAATGCTGAATTACAAATATTAGAAATAATAATTCGATTTTGGTTGAAGAACTTTAAGTTGGAATTAAATGATATCCAACACACACACACACACATACATATGTCTGTTACATTGTAAACCACGAAAAAAAAAAACAGCAACAATAAATCTAAATGTCTGATTCATGTGCAAAATGTAAAGCCGCTCGCTGCTTGCTGTTTATCAGATTTGTTTGCCTAAGCGCGTTCCCTGCGATAACAAACAAATGGAAAGGAAGGAAAAAAGGAATGAAGCCAAACGGCAGCAATTAGTGAGCGCTGTTCAAATTTCCCCGGGTTTTTCCAACTCAACCAATGAATGAAAATGAACATCGGAATGCAATGAAGATGAGTCCGCGCGAGCTAATGACACAAATCCGTCTGGACGGGGTCTTGGCTCCTGGACATCCGCTAATTGCCTGAGTCACACAAGGGTCGACGAGTGCACTTAGGCATACCATTTGGATAAGCAATCCGGAAATATTGCAAAGAGTTTATGCAAAGCTAGTCAAATTACCGGAAATTGCATGTCCAGACTTGGCCGACTAATGACTTGCCATCGTAATGGGAAATGCGATATGGGTTGGTCCTTCTTCTATCTCTTATCCTGCTGACCCGCATTAAATCTGGTTGCTCGAATGTTATTTGACATTTTTATTCGACATGTTTTATATGGCATTGTTCCATTTTCTCCAAGTGATGTCCTCTTGCGGTTTTTCCATGTCGGAATCGGTCTCCCTTGAACTGGATCTCGTGTGCGAGCGGACAATGCCAAACAAATTGTAGAACAGACCCACACAAACAGACAATAATCATAACAATAATTTAAGGAAAAAATCGCCACAGACACTAACAGTCGGTGGTCGTCGCACCGTCAGAGGCCATAAAATGACATCACTGTGAAGACGACGACGACGACGACGACAACTGGCATTGTTCCCGAGCAGCATCAGCATCCCTGGGACAAAGTGTGATGATTTTTATGACTCGCCTGTGAGTTTTTGCCGCCACCGCCACCAGGAGCACAAGTGGCAACCAGTGACGAGACTGCTGCTGCTTATGCTGCTGCTGCGACCCATAATATTCAAGTGGCACAGAGGCGACAGTCGCTTGGCGCCAGTCCCAATATGTGATGTGCCTGCCCTCACCTTGGTGCCGCTGCAATTTGTTGTGGCTCGGCCATCAAGTACCGTTTAAAGGTTTGATTAGCTCGTCTTATCCAGCAGCGGATCTCTTTTCTGTTGTGTGTGTCCGTCCCTTTGGCAAAACGGTAGCGGCGAGATTTCCTTGGATCTAGTACAAGGTGCAGCTTGTTCCAGTCCGATTTCAGATAAGTTAAAGTAGCTGCACTCGAACAGATGGGAGCTGATGGGTTAGAGATATATTCAACGGATATCAAAGGTTTGCTACAGCAGAGTCGAGTGGGCACTCGATAAATCGGATGATGAAAAAGGAAAATATTAAAAGTGGTCCTTGATATGGAAGAACATTCTGTGGGAATGGATTTTAAAGGATATTTTTGAAGAGTTTGTGGGAACTAAGAAGAGGTTAAAACAAATTTATTTCTTCCCCTCACCCATCTGCTTTAAAAGTTTTCTTTTTCAATAGAACGTTATCTTTAGAAGCATTCGGATTTGGCCCACATTCAAAAGCATTTTCCTTTTTCATAAATATTACAACCGATTAGGAGGAGGAGGCTAGACTTCAAAGAGCGCTCCCCAATCCAATCCAATTCCCCCCCATTAATGCTATCAACGGCAATATGGGTGCCCCATCATAGGGGAGCTGGGGAACCAGATTCCATTCCATTCCCCCATATGCATGCACGACCCAAAATGGCGTTCCGCTACGGTTAGAGCGGGACAACGAAACGTTCCAAAGATTAACAGCCAATGCCCGTGCTGCAGTGCGGCAGAGGGAGAGCACACCAGCACACACACAGACAAAGACACACCACTTGAGCGGTGGAACAGGTCGAGCAACTGCTACCTGAAGAGATCGACAGAGCGCAGACCGGATTCTGGCAGAATCGAGGTAGTGCCGATCGTCGCCACTGAGAGAAACAGTCTCATCTGGACAACGTGACGAGCAGTTCGTGTTTCGAGTCGCGCCTTAAATACATTTATTCCGAAATTTAGAAGACAAAAGTTCGATCGATTCGAACCATCGAAAAGTTATCTCGATATCCGTAGCCACACTCCAGGAGACACTCCACACAAAATGTTGGCCCTGCCAAACATTGCCGATCTGCGCATGCAGCAGCAGATCGCCCACGAGATCTATCGCCATCAGATTATGCAACGGCTGCCTGGTAAGTGGAGCAAGCTCCCTGGAGTTGATTTGCCGACGGCACTAACAACTCCATTTCGTTTGCCTTTGCAGATCCCCTGTGCGGCCTTCTGCCGGCCTTCGCTGGGCACTTTGCGCCCCCGCCGCCGCCGCAGCCATCGCTGCCTGGAGCCGTGGAGGCCAAGTTGGAGAACAACGAACTGTGGCAACAATTCCACCACATTGGCACCGAGATGATCATCACAAAGTGTGGCAGGTTGGTACTATTTAATTGTTTGTTTCCTTCGCTTATCTCCGAAAAATGTGACCGACTTTGTCGACTCTTAACTAGCAAGAGATTGCGATAAGCCACCATCTTATCGTCGTCATGTCAACGTGTCGCTAACTTCCATTTCAATTTTCTTCTCCAACAGACGCATGTTCCCCTCGATGCGTGTCTCACTGAGCGGACTCGAGGAGGAGGCCAGCTACTGCGTGCTCCTCGAGATGGTGCCCATTGGCGACTGCCGCTACAAGTTCTCCGGCTCGCAGTGGGTTCCCGCTGGAGGAGCCGAGCCACAGAGCCCTCAGCGCATGTATTTGCATCCAGAGAGCCCGGCTACGGGCAAGCATTGGCAATCGCAGGCTCTGCTCTTCAGCAAAGTGAAGCTGACCAACAACACCCTCGATAACAATGGACACGTAAGTGAATCTAATGATTCTTCTTCTTTAATTGTTACTGAAGCAAGTCCTCTTCCTTCTACAGATTGTTCTGGCCAGCATGCACAAGTATCAGCCGCGTCTGCATGTCATACGCACCTCTGATCTTGGCCAGATCCCCTGGGCCCCACAGCAGGCGTTTGTCTTCCCCGAAACAGAGTTCATAGCCGTAACCGCATATCAGGTGTGTAGCTGCAGCAACCGCTCCTCCATGTGGCAGCCTATAACTAATTTTCTCTAATGTTTGCAGAACGAACGGATCACCAAGCTGAAGATCGACAACAATCCCTTTGCCAAGGGTTTCCGTGAGTCGGGTCAGTCGCGGTGCAAGCGAAAGCTGAACGATTCACCGCCTCCACAGCCGACGGCCACAGCCACAGGAGGAGCACACAATGTGGAGCACTCACCCTTGGCCAAGCGTCTGCGTTTGGCCGATGATCTGTCGAGGCAGCCACAGCAGAACGCAACGCAACTCCAGTCCAGCCTTATGCAGCGTCATTATCTGCTGGATACTCTGGAGGCCAATTTCTATATGCCACAGCCACCGCCACCGCCACCGTCATCGCATGCCATTGAGTATGCCAGACACATTGCCTGCCATCCAAGTTGGGCCTACACACCGCCATCGCCAGCCTCCTCCTCCACGTCATCGTCCTCGTTCAGTGGCGAGTCGGCGGCCGAGGCAGACACAGATACCTTTGTGGATGTGGTGGGCACCAATACCACAACAATCAGCAGCAGTAGCAGCACCAGCGGAACGAGCACACATGAGTCCGTTGCCGATGCACAGCCAAAGCCCAAACGGAGCAGCTTCAGCATCTCGGACATATTAGGAACTAGCGTCTCCGTTTAGTCGCCGCCTGCTCCCATTTCGGTAGCAAATTGTACATTTAATTAGCGTTAGGTTGCCATCGTAAGCGTCGTTTGCCATCATCATAGTCGTCGTCGGCGTAGTGTCTAAGTTGAATTGTGATATTTTGCAGTTAATTAGGATTTCCAGGTATATGCCGTCAGTATTTATCGTATTTATTATGCAATTTTAATTGTTCAAATGATTTCGTAATGGATTTATTGTCATAGGCATTTTAATGCGGCATTAATAAAATATTCCGAATGGAACTTGAAAGAAATTTCTTGACTGTTTGAATTACTTTATGCAGCGTCGGGGGGATTGTCCAGACTCTGTATGAATGAAGACACATCGCCAGAGAGCTGAGCCCGTGTGCACATTTGAATACATTCCTCAATAATTTCCCATGACCCATCCTCTTCGTTCAGAAATTTGTTGCATGCCTCCATTTGGCTGGTCTGCGCAGCATTGCCGTACATAATTCTGTCTCATGCAAGCCATTAAAACCTGTTCCAACATCGCCAGACGTGCTCCGCCCTCCGCCCGTCCGCTCGTCCGCCCTCTCCCAAAATCCCCATCCAGAAAATCCAAGAGCCGCTCTCCTGGCAACCGCCACAGCAAGAGCAAGCGCAAGAGCATCACAACAACATGGACATGGCTTATCAGCAGATCAGAGCGCGCCGCATCTTAAACGCTGGCGCCAGCGCCAAGTTAAATGCGCTGATTGAGCGCCACGATCGCCAGCCAGCAATCCTGGCGAGAGAGCAGTCGCCGTCGCCGGCGCAGTCGCAGTCAGAGAACCCGCTTGGGTCCCGTGTAATTGATGTTTTCACATTGTAGTTGTTAGCAACTGTGGCCATTTACATGTGCAATTGTCTGGGTGTCCCTCACACATCTCTTCATGTTATCAAATGGCCAACGGAAATGAGGCGGTTCCTTTGATGCTCCTCTATGCTGCAGCAGCTACCCGATGCGCTTCAAGTGTTGGACGAGCCAGAGCAGAGCCGGCGATGATTGGCCAAATAACCAATCGTCGACGGTGGCATTTCATTTCAATTCGCGTTAAGAAACAATTGTTAAGAGCGCTCCATTGCCGCATGATCCAGTGGACCGCAGGATGCCATGCCATGCCCCTGTGAGACCCACACACGTAGCAGCAACCTGTTTTCGGTGCTCGTTTGGGGCCAGCACAAACATCTGTTGGGGGCTGCAGGCCATTCATGTTGCCGCTGGAAGTGTTTATGGGCTCCACATTAGCCACACTGCATATTCATGTTAAACGTCGCCAAAAGACTAACGACAACGGTTGGCCCATTGTGTTGTTGCTGCTGCTGGAGATGCTGCCAATGCTGCTGCTGCTGCGGGCTTTTGCTGATATTTATTGAATTCTCATTTAGGGGGATCCACTGGCAGTGAGAGTCCAGGCTGAAGCTGAAGCTGGTGGTGGGGCAAACGTTCGCATGTCAAAGTCAAATGAGCACCGACCCGAGCTCGGAGATCTTTCAGGCCAGATAAGCAGCCAACTTTTTGTTGTCCCATGCCCCATGCCCCAAGCCTGTTGCCTTTTGTTGTATTTGTGTGTGCTCTCTTTCGTGTATGTGGAAGTTCCTTGGAAATTAATGTTGTGGCGGCCAAAATCAAAGTCACGGGCAACATTTTTCGCTGGCGACAATTTTATCGGCAGCACAATGAAATCATTTCCATTCCCCGAGCTCAGCTACGCTGGCGATATTATGTCTTCGGGCGCCATCTGACAGTCGCTGATGTTGTTGGCGCTTTAATTGTTTTGCTAAGGTCTTCTTTTGGCCTTTATTGTAAATGAGAGATTAAATATACATATGAATATTCGTACACGCCGGTTGTACTGCTAATAAATTCTATCCCCAGTACGAACGCCGGGGCGCAGGGACCAATGATTCGGATTCTTAATTACTTGCAAGGCGCTCAGATCATAGCCAGCAGGCAGAACAATTGGCTTCTTTAGGCCTGCCAGCATCGGTGATTCCTTTGGGGGTTCCTGCAGTGGCAAATTTTTGAACGGCGACACATATTCCTCCTCCACCGGCTTCGGCTTGGGCTGCTTGGGCTAAGTACATTGAAGCTTGTTCAATATTCGTAAAGTAACGATTCTTTAAGACTTACCTGATTCGAGGAGACCTCCTGCTGAATCTTAGTCTCCTTGGGTTGATCAACAGTAGCAGTAACAGACTCATTCATTTTGGCACTTTTGTACTTCTGGTAGGCATCCACGACCAAATCAAACTTATTAAACTTCTGCGAGTCCACCCAGTTGCCGGTGTACAACATCTTTTGCATGGCCTCACTTTTGCGGCTGGTGCCGGCCACTACGCGTTCATTTAATGTCGCTGTGGGACGATCCAAGCTGAATGCCTCCATACTGGGCAGCACATATGGCACTGGAGACAGTCGCTGGCGGGTGCCGCTGTTGCCCGGGCCCGGATGCCAAATCGACAATTTCTTTGACTTATTCCGCTTTGGTGTCTCCACAATCTAGGGAATAGTTTACAGTTATTACAATTACACGTTTCAAACTCCACTTTGTTTGCACTTGCCGAAGTTTCATCGCCATTGTCCATGGAAAAATCATGGTCCGTGATGTTGGTGCAGCTGAACGACTGCATGGTGTTGCTGACCCCCGATGACGATGACGACGAGTGGGCACACTGCTGCGCCTCCTGTAAGGTAGCTCTAGTTATTGACTCTACGGGGATAGATTTTAATTTACTTACAGCATTTTGCGGTTCATCGTCACCGTCACAACCGCTGCCACAAGTCGACGAAGCGTCCAAGCTGTCGGAGGACGACAGGTTCTCACAGAAGGAGTGAAAAGAATTTTTGTCCATATCGGAGGAGTCACTTGGGGCTTTGGGCTCTTTTTCAGCCATGGTGCTTTTTTAAACAATTTAATCAAAAGAAAGATTTATTTTATTTTATTTTTTTTTTTTTGGTAGTTAATAAACAAAGATTTAAGCGCAATGCGCAATTTGAGCCGGGACCGATATATCGAAATATTTGCAAAAATATACCGCAATATACCGTACATAGACCGTACATAAACAATTTTCCTCGATTTTGATGTTCTATTTAATATAAATAACTAGTTAGGAGTCTCCGCGCTAAAACTAATATATTATCTGATTCGTTAATCAATTCTCCATAAGATTGGCTTGTTTTCAAGACATCCTTTTATTGGACTGTTGGACAACATCAAACTTAATAGGTCATTAAAAAAAGCATAAAACAATAGTCACTCGTTGCACTTGTCTAAAATGACATATCGATGGGGATGGCAACTTAATTAAAATTATGCAAAACGCATGGTGAAATTTTGTGCCCTGGTTGCAGCTCCCACAACAGGGCGCGTAGTATATTGAATTTGAATTTAAATTTGATTCTCGTGGTTTCACATAATGCTGCTGCATTTTGCACTCAATAGGCTTGTAAACAATACATGAGAGTATCCTCAAAGAGCTGCCTACTTGACAACGGCCATTGTGCATTGTTCGGTTGTAATTGTTCCTCTCTTCCTTTCCCCCTATGTCTGTCTGATCCGCAGATTTGCATAGATCTGTGGACATGTGGACTGCAGAATAGTGTGGACCTGCTTATGTGGGTGATTTTCATTATCCTCTAATTGTTTGTGCCATTGTTCACGCGATTGGTTTGAGAAATTACACGCTTTGTTAATTGTACCAACCCCGAACAGAGAGTAGCAGAATCCTCATGGCCCACATGTGAGCCCATTTGCATAAACTGCTTGCTTGTCCTTTTGTCCTTTCCTTTTCTTTTCTGTCTATGCCTTTCCTTTCCTTCCTTTCCTTTCTGTTTTCCCTTGTGGGTTTGTTCTGCTCTAGTTTAAAACCCTGGCTTAGCCAGCAGACACTTGAGTTCGGTTTCAGCCAGGTTGGCCTTCCGTTGGTTCTCCGTTTTATGGCTTGGCCCCGGCGACACGGAAACCTTTATTTGCCACGCTTTGTTGCATTCTCCTGCCGACCAATATATTTGCATGGACCAACAATAAGAACTCAAGTACCAAGGCATTGTGCCCACTGCCCGGCCAGTGTTTGCCTAACGCCGGGCGCAGCCTCAAGCTTGGCCCATACACTGAGGCTGAGTAGGGACTAACCTGCGGCTCACTTGGTTTCGATTTAAATCCCTTAAATGTATATCTGTCTCTCTCTACGATTGTCTCGAGTCTCAATTCGAAGTGGCAGCCACGCGTGCGCTGTGTAAAATGCTTTTCCAACTCATTAGCACCGCGGATCCACTCCTCCAGCACCGCACCAGAGAGACAGAGAGAACTAATTAACTTTCGTTTAGGCAACAGCTTCACCCCGTTCAACTTACCCCAAAATGCTGTGTTTACCCAACACAAAAGACTGGCAATGTGCTGCTCGACAAAGTGTATCTAATTTCATAACATAACAACAAAAAGAGAGGCACAGGCGGAGGGGCAGCAGCAACAAATGTGGCAGCGTAAAAAGCAACAGCCATAATGCATTAATTATCCAGAGACCTGCGACATCTGCCAGGGTTGGATCTAGCATGGGACGGCATGGGGGGGGGACAACCATTTAATGAGGCATTCAATGCACTTACAACCTTGCGCCTGTCAACACAGGGGCACACGGACGACATCTGTCACCCGTTCGGTTGCTCCGATCTGTCGATCCTCCATAAAACCGCACTCGTCTCCCCAGAGGAACAGACGCAAACCAAAATGGAGGGGAGCGCAGAGACAGCAACAATTTCAAATCGATTTTGTGGTAAATTGATTCGGTTTTTGTTTGTTTTTCGAAAGACAGAACCATGAGGCAGAGCCACAGTCGAAGACAGAGGCAACTGCGTCTGCACACGCCTCCATTTCCACCATGGCATCGCCGCTCTGCCCTCTCTGCCGACGAGACGTGGGTGGTGACGCATGTCATCGTAAACTTCATCATTGGCTCCGATTCTGGACGTAGATTCTGCGGGCAGCAGCAGCAGCAGCAGCAGCAGCAGCAGCAGCAGCAACCGGCAGCTTACATAACAAATTGTCTTGTATTTTTTTTGGCTTCGTCTCAGTCTCTGCCCATTTCATAAATAGTTCCGAAATGCTCTGACTATGGGTCTCTGGGGTAGCATCAGAGACAGAGGCAGAGGCAGGGAGAGAGGGCTGCAACCGAATTTCATGCCTTGTCGAGCTATTTAATTGCAAACAAATTATGTTCTGGCCGAGGCGCAGTCTCAGTCCCAGTCCCAGTCCCAGTCCCATCTTGGTTCTTCTGTGTGGCTAATGGAATCTTCTTCTCTGATGATGTTGTTGAAACTCGAACGTTTATCTTGTAAATTGGTTGGGATTAATGTCTAGCGGAAGTTGTGATTGCAACTCTCGAGACGCCGCATGCCGCATCCTCCCTGCTTCTCTCTCTCTTTCTCCTGCAACATGTTCATTTACCTACAGCAGAGTGTGGGCGTACAGGCTTTGAAGGCTCTCAAACCAGCAGGAAGATCTGCCAATTTAGCTCAAGATCCGGCATCTCCGATTAGAGTTTCCAAAAGGGATTTTCAAGTGTTTTTTTCTTACGTTTTTAAAGTCACTTTAATTGTTTAAAAGTTATGCTAACTTAGGTTCTAATCAGGCCAAGGTAATATCATAATTAGTAACAGTGAGGGAGATCCTCCACCTCCTCCTCCTCCTCCTCCTTTAGCTACCTCCGCCCAAAATGGCGGATATGCTGAAGCCTTTGCTCCTGCTGGAGGGCTCCGGCGGCTGCTCCACTGGCCGCTGCTGCAGCTGCTGCTGCTGCGTCGCCTCGCTTCCCACATCCAACTCCAGCTCATCCGCTCCAGACTCATCCGATGTTGGCTCACCACCGGAAATGTCCTGCGGCAGTGGCGGCACAGGAAGTGGGGGCAGCGCAGCAGCTTGCAAAATGGCGGCGGCTGGCGGATACACCGGCATCCCCGCATTGTAGTCGTGGGGACTGCGTCCGAAGTATGTGCAGGCGAGGTCCACCAGCGAGGGTCGCAGCAGGGTCTGAAAGTGTTGCATGAAGACGCTGCGATGATGCTGCCCCAGGCCAGGGGGCGGTGATCCCAAGCCCATGGAGCTGGCGCCAGGCACAGACATTGGCACTGGCTCTGGGCCGCCATCCAGCGATGAGGATAAGGAGCAGGCGGAACCATTTGATCTCAGACGCTTAATTTGTGGCCCATCCGATTGGAGTTCATGGCTGTTGTTGCTTCCCGCTGTTGTTGCGGTTGCTGCTTCGTTGGCTTTTGTTGGCGACATGTCAAGCGATTGGGACTGGGCTTGAGACTGCGTCAGCGACTGATCTTGATCTTCGCCAGTTGGCGATGAAGACATCTTGCGTTTGCAGCGCGATTGTCCCGTTTCGCGGAAGCCCTTGGCAAACGGATTGTTGTCTATCTTCAGCTTTGTGATGCGATCATTCTGTGAAAGGCAAAAGCAGAAAAGGGAAACTAGAGTTGACGAGAGATTGCGTGAAATATGACCAAAAAGACGGTGAGATTGAGTGCCAGGGATGAGCCCACTGGCGGATCCAGTAGCTGGCGTTAAGTAACAAGGCAACTTGACACCACCAGGCATCAGGCATCAGGCACCAGGCACCAGCGCCATCTCTTTGGCAGTCAATTTCGAGTGGCCCTCCTCGTGACTTGACAACTTTGTGACGACATTGAAAAGGATCTTGGCGTGGCGATCACGCCAATTAGAGGCAGACTGAGAACTGACGACTGACGACTGGCGTCGCCTGTCAATGGCTGTAGACCTAGACAAAAACACAGCATGGCTCAAATGTACAAGGATGTGGCTATCCAACTTCCTAAAACAACAAAATTCGACACTCAACTCGGACTGAGCGCTGACTTCTTGCCTGCCCCTAGAGCCCTGCAGGACGCAGGGCGTTCCATGCTAATTTGAGACTCTAACCAGGCTACCCATGGCGTGAGCGATTGCCGCTCGTTTGCCCAAAATTAACCAATTAGTGTGGTGCACGATGCTCAATGAATCGGCAACAATTGGGCAGAGTGAATGGGGGGACTTACCTGATACGCTGTCACGGCCACAAACTCAGTCTCGGCAAAGACAAAGGCCTGCTGTGGGGCCCAGGGAATCTGCGCCAGATCAGCGGTGCGTATGACATGCAGACGCGGCTGATACTTGTGCATGCTGGCCAGGACAATCTGCAGAAGGATGGGGCAGAAGGATGTGCATTGATTAGTAATCGGAGCTGCCTTCAAAGCGCTCACTCTTCAGCACTTACATGGCCGCTGTTGTCCAGCGTATTGTTGGTCAGCTTCACCTTGTTGAAGAGTATCGGTTGGGCCTGCCAGTGGGCACCGGTGGCCGGGCTGTCCGGATGCAGATACATGCGCTGAGGACTCTGCGGCTCGGCTCCTCCTGCAGGCACCCACTGCGAGCCGGAGAACTTGTAGCGGGCATCGCCAATGGGCACCATTTCCAGCAGGACACAATAGTTGGTCTCATCCTCCAGGCCCGAGACGCTCAATCTCATCGAGGGGAACATGCGTCTGGAAAATATTCAAGGAAAAACAAGCATAAATGTTTACTGAACAAACTCAAATAGAGTCATGGTCCCGTCCCTCTGCCTATTCCGAAAAGTGCGTGGGCGTTACAAATATTTAATTGTGAGATTTTTCCCTTCCATGCGCCATGTAATTAGCTGGCAGTGAGGGATCCGCGGTCTGGTTTGCCCTGTGCTAACAAGGATCCGAGGACCGATGCAGCGAGCACCCCTGCCACAGGCACAGCAGGTGGTCACGGCCTCTTGGCGCCAGTCCAGAAAAAAGATACAGCTACAGATACAGATACAGATACAGATACAGAGAGACAGCGTTGTCCGATCCTCATCTTCGATATTCTTCTGCTGGCTGGCTGGCTGCTGGCTGCTTAGAGCTGTGTTTTTGGCAATGATTTTTGTTATTTCTGCCTCGGCTGACCCAATGATTAATTAATTGAACTCGACTGCGCTTTGGTTTTGCTTTGCTTACATTTCTGGGCTGCCTTTTTGTTTCTCGAATTCCATTAGAGCCCCGCAAAGAGAAATATTTCGACATTCGTGCGGTTTAGAATTTCATTTTCAATTTTTGGGCCACTGCCTACGAACGCTGACTCTTTGGGTTTTTTTTTTGGCAACTGCCAGTCCGGTGTCTGCTTTTGGACAAACGATTTGTTAAGATCGATATCTTTGGCGCGTCTGCGCATAATTAACAGAAGGAGCAGCGGGAAGGAGAGCGAGAGGAATCCTTCTGGTTGCGTTTGAGGAGCAAATGCTGAACATTTGACGGCATTCGATTTGGCGCTTTGTGCAGGTGCAGGGACAAAATGAAGGTATGTGGAGACTCCGTCTCCAGGAGGCTGAACTCGTTGGCTACCCTGCACTTTGTTTACCCTTTAATTTCCTCACTATCTTGCATTTAGCGTTACGCTTTGTTCTATCAAACTTAAATGGCCTTTGGCCGTCTGTCTGCGCTTTTACCACCCAAACAGATCGAAGAGAGGCTCAGAACCAGTCGCAGACAAGCAACTAATTAGTTTTTATGAGCGCCACTTGGCAGAGCATAGGAATAGAGCATGGGACTCGAATTGGGCACTGGGCGATGGGCAGACGGTGGCACTCTGGCGCCTAATCATTAAAAATTCAAATCGATTGCAGGCAGCGATGTTGCGGTGGAGATTCGGGGACTGCATTTCACATAAAACATTTTTGATGAGCATAAAAAGTATTTAATACGCAGACTTTATGAATAATTCATGGCATGGGGAGAGCAGCAAGGGAGGGGAGTAAGAGCGAGCATCCAAAAGTTTATGTTAATGTTTTTGGGAACCCTTTCGATTGTCATCGTGGAGTGCAGCGTTGAGGTCTGGGAGCGGTGTGCTGCTATCGTCTGTTGGGCATCTCTTCCCGTGAGAGGGACAAGTGTGAAATTGCTCGTATCTGTCGACAAGCTGTGGTCATTGTCATTGCCGATGTCAAAGCGGCGTGCGCTTGGCTCGTACATATCCGACAGATACAGATACAGATACTGGAACTGGGACTGGGACTGGGACTGGGACTGCCGAAACCTGTACATATTTCGGTGCAGGTTGTCTGCAGACAGGCGCCACAATAAAAACGCTAAAAGCAACAAAGATGACGACAAAGTATCCTTGACGCTAAGATTTATGCCAGTCGAGCATGTCTGTCCTCCTGTCTATCCTTCCCACTGTCCGTAGCCAAAAGGAACGCCGACGCACGAACGATCGACCGACAGGACGTCCCACTGTGTTCAGCGTCCATAGACGGCCTACAATAAATTACGATGACGCCACTTTACGCACATTCGAACAAGTGCCGGGACACTTTTAGGTAGTCCAACTCCTACTCCTACTCCGAGTCCGAGTTCAAGTCGTGCATCTGATGGACACACGATAAAATATCTCTAGGCGATTGCGCTATGGCTTTGATTCTCACTGCCATTCCCCCCTCCCGTTTTCCTATCTTCAATCTGAACACGCAAAGTGGCGTTGGACTTGTACATTTTACGCCTCGTGCGATACGAGCCCAAAGAACTGCATTACTGGTCTCTCTGTGCTGCTCCTGCTGCTGTACCTGCCATTTCACATCCTGCCAAAGTGCATCCTTCCGCCTTGTTTGCCTGTGAAAACTGTTGTCGCGACACCGCTGTAAACAATTTGCAGGCGCCTGCATCTAATGAGCCTTTAACAGCAGCGCCGTCGACGGCAATCAATCCACGCCGCCACCGCCACCGCCGCCGACAACATCCTCTCTCCTCTCCTCTCCTCTCCTCTCCTCTCCTCTAGAGGAGAGGCTGCCACATTCCACACGGTGCTCGGTGGAAGTTGCTTTAAGTGCTCTCTCGCCCTTGCTCTTGGTCTTGTTTTTCTTTGGCCTGCGTTTCGGGTATTAGTTTTCACATTCGTGCTAATGCATCTACTCGATCCCGATCGATCGATGTTTGTTTCCGATCTCCGCACTGCATTTTCCCCATGCTCATGTGATCCAGCATCCCCTTTGGCATTCCTTTTGTACATACCTGCCGCTCTTGGTGATGATCATTTCGGTGCCAATTTGATGGAATTGCTTCCACAGATCGTCATTCTGCAGTGTCATTTCCACGCCGGGCAGCGTCACACGCGGTGGCATGATCACGTGACGCGGCATGTGCATGGGCAGCATGGGGGGAAAGGGATCTGCAAGGGTTAAAAGTAAGGGTTTAATAAGGGGTTCATTTCTTAAGCTTCCTTTTGTGGGGGATCGTTCTTTGTTTGTTTGGCAGCTTCAACTTTGGCCAATTTAATGTCCCCTCCATTAAGGAACTTGAGGACAAATTTAGCATCGTGTTTAACATACAAAGACACATTTAAGGCTGGCCATCGCTCCCGCTGTTTAACGATCGGCGGCAAACAGGCAAAACGCATTTGATATCAAATAACAGCCGCCATCGCTTTCCCACATTACTCAGCTTTATGATCAGCGCATCATAAACACACCGAGAGAGATCGCAGAAATGCCGATCTGATCGCCAAATGTGGCGGCCATTAATGCTAATGATGCTTAACAGCTTTTTCGAGCGGTGCGGATGAGTGATATTCGATGGCTGATGTGTTGTGCTTACCTGGTATTCGCTGCATAATCTGCTGGCGATAGATCTCGTGCGCAATGTGCTGCTGCATGCGCAGATCCACCAGCTCGTTCATGGTGATCATGTTCGAACCTCAAATATATATTTCACACTTGCTGCAGCTGTTTGTCACTGGCACTGACACAAATATACACACATTAGAGTCTATTTTTAGTCTTGGGGCTGAGTCTTGTGGTTACTGTTATTATTATTATTTGGTTTGCACGAGACGTCTCTGATTAGCGTTGAAATGTTTTTGCAAATCACGCCAATAACTGTCGCTGGGCTGCGCACGTGGGTGTTAATTTAATTTGGCGCTGGTGTCAAAGCAGCCACAAGTGGGTTATGCGAGTACGAGTTATGGTGCAAAACATACGAATATACTCGAGAGTATATATGAATGAATGAATGAATCGATTTTTGCCGACGGTCGTGTGTTGCGCTCGCCAAGTTCGCGTTCCATTTGCCCAGCGGATCGAGCTGGAAACGAGCTTGACTCGTTTCGTTTCAAACCATTGATCGACATTACCTGCTCGAAGTCTGTCTTTGGATCGCTCGTCTCTCTCTCTGCCTCTCCGATCGCTGCGCTGTCTCTGCTCTGTCTCTGCTTTGTGTTCGGAGAGCCAAACTGCCGTTCCATTGGCGGTCTTCGCTCTCCGCCAGCTAGCTGTCTCGCTCTGTGTTGGCAACTCCATTTTGAAAAGTCGCTCGCTCGCTCCGCCCTGCTGCGTCTCTGCTTCGTCTCTCTGTTTGTCCCTCTCTAATTGTAGCTAATTCTGAAGTGCGAAGTTGCACAGTCAGCCGGAGCAACATGTTGCTCTTCTCTCTCTCTGTCGCTCGCTCTTGCTGCCTCTCCTCCACCTTCCCTATTCCAAGATCTTGTGTTGCCTTTTTAATTATGATCATCATGATTGAAATTGTTTTTTCTGTTTCTGTTTCTCCGCTTTTTGGCATCTTTTTGTGTTGTTTTATTTATGCTTTGACCATTTGTAGCCCGCTGTAGCCATCATGGTGGTCCTCTTGTCTCGAGTTGAGCCCGAGCCGTGTTGGGTTTGCTGTGTGTGTTTGTCGTTTTGCTGTTCATTTGTTTTATTTCGGTTTTTTATTTGAGTTTTGACGCTGCGTCATTCGGGCATTGATATGCCATATCCACCACCATATCCCGCTCGATATGGCGTCGCTCTCTGATGAAGTTGCTGCCGTGCAGGTGGCCCATCCATGCTCACCGATTGTCGATCTGACCTTTTGTAGATCTTGCCAAAACATTTGTTCCCAACGACGGATACGCGTGTCGCTCGACTCGGCTCTACAAATTTGAAACTAATTAAAGCCAATAACTAATTTAATTGAACTTTGACTGGGACTGCGATCAAGCATACGCCATGTGTTCCACACGAAACGTGCTCGGTTGCTGCGTTTGCAGAGTCTCGTGTTTGTCCGTCCGCCCTGCCACTTCCGCTGCAAACAGTTCTTATCTGCTTTGGCATTACTGCGAAATTCCTGCAGTTATCCAAGCTAATTTACACAGCACTTTCCCGGCCTGACACATCCCACAGCCACAGTCAGCGCATTATAAATATTTTCCCTAGCCACATTTATGTGTAGTAGCCATGGCGATAAGCGAGTGAAATTAATTTACTATTAGCAGCTTGGTAGCTTGCCCAAATTGCGTTGTTTTCTGGCCATGTGTTTGCCTGCCTGCCTGCCCGCCTCTACTCCTCTCTAAGTTATGCCTCGCGTTTTCACATTTGGTCGCGCACGTTTCCGGTTAGGCTTTGAGTTTTGGGTTTCTCTGTTTCGGTTTCGGTTTCGGTTTCGCTTTCTAGGTTGCTGCTTGCAACAATTAGACATCGATCCTGCAGGGTTTGTGCCTGCCAATAGGCTGTGCAATTTGTCAGCAGCCATCTAATTGGTGCCCCCTGCCTCTGCCCCTGGGCCTGCTGTTAGACTAATGCATTTCGGTTTACTTCCGTTCGGTTCCGCATAAATGATAGCCAACAGGTAGCGGAGAAGCATTCCAGTTGTTTGAATCAGCATAGAAACATAGCAGGCAGCTATCTAGGGTGTGGGGGGGATAAGGGCAGCCAACGATTAGAAAAGGAAATCTGCTCCGTTTTGTGGCAGAACTTTTAGCACTCAAAGCACTCCTCTAACAGGTGATATCTTTAAGGTTGAAGGTTGTCAGGGAGAGCTGCAACTGAACCTAACTCCACAACCTTGAACTGCCTCACCGCTGTACATTCATTTGTAAGTGCACATCGCGTCTTGCCCTTGTCTGGGGTGGCTGTCCAGCCAGTTGCGAAATGAGTTTAAGATCTTTTTGAATCGTAGCACGAGCCCTCTTTCTCACACGGCTGTTCAAATTAAAATTAGCATAAATCCACGTCTACCCAGATCCATGTAATTTTCCATGGAAAATATGCCCCAGTCGCCCAGTCGCCCAGTCGCAAGTGAAGCGCCTGCCATGTCTCATGCCCCATCCGCAATTTATTGATTTAAACTTTTAGCTCACATTCAGAGACGAGAGTCGATCGTTCAGTCAGGTTGTTTAAACAAGCCCTAGCGCCTCCAAAGACGACTATTAACGGGGATCTCTCAGGGCGGCAAAGGGAGCATTCACATGTCTACTCATGTGTGGTTCCATTGTTGCAACACGATGGCATGGTCTGGTCTGGTCTGGTCTGCTGGCTGGCTGGCAAATCGACTTTTGTATGCAAATTAAGTGACTCAATCAACATGCAGGAAAAACAGCTAAATCATAGCCACAGAGCCACAAAACCACAGAGCCACAGTAGCGGCAAGGAGCGTAGAGGCATCATAATCATGTGTGTCCATGGCAGCGGCCACTTGACAGCTCTCAATGGAAGCCCCCAGAGCAGACACAGACACAGAAACAGAACCCCACTCTACACCAATAATTGAGAGGTGTTTAATCGTGTGTTTCTTTTTTGTATTTCTGCACATTCACGGCCCCAAAACGATTTAGGCCTTTCCATACCTACAGCTACAGCTACAGCTACAGCTCCGAGTCCAGGCTACAGCTTCCATGCCACTCCATTGTCGATCGCTGTTTGCTCTCAAATTATCATAAGCAAACATGAGAGACCAGACAGACCCCCCTGCTGCTGCTGCTGCTCTGCTGCTGCTGCTGGAGTGTGGATTGTGTGGACTGTTTCTACTTTACGCTCTTCAGAGCTTCCCCAACTTCTCCAAACTGAAGTGCTAAAGTTGCTGGCGACGCGACGCGCTGAGAGGCGCTTCTGTATGGGACAGACCCTTGAGTTATTACAATACTATATTCAAATTTCAAGTGCTACTGGCTCGCCTGAAGAGAATCTGCATACGAGTACGCATACCCGAGCCATAATATTTTGTTTGCTTACCTTCGAAGAAGCCCTCACGGAGCACACGGCACTTGGTCTCGCAGAAGAGATGCGTGTTAATGGCATGTGTAATAACAATAACAACATCATGATTTAAGACCTCAAAAACAATTGCCAAATAAGTAGATACATTCCAAGGCTTTAACTCTTCTTAGCCATAAAGATTTGTTCAGGTTGGGATTAGAGTTTCAGGCAAAAGCTGCAGAGAGAGAGGAAAAACTTCAGCGTTGACACATCAAAAGTGGCAGCAGTTTGCCGACAAAAGCGGCATGGAAAACACCCAAGTCCAGTAGTCGCAGACTACTGATAAAAACATCCATTATGCGTAACAATTTGACGGCTCTTTGGCTGCTTTTGGCCGCTTTGGGCTGTCCGCTACCTTATTTTCGAGGCAGAGGCAGAGGCAGCGGCGGCTTTCGCCTTTGATTGAGTGACCAAGATCTGGGCACGGATGGCCGCGGGGTAATTGTTGTCGCTGGACCAGACTAGGGATCGGCTTGGGCCTGAGTGCGCAATTACAATGGCCATGATAAAGAAGCCACAGAAAGAGCGGGGAAGTAGGGAGAGCGAGAGGGAGCGAGAGAGAGCGAGTTCTAGCGCTAACGTCAAAGAGGAAATGCCTTAATCTCGTGACAACAACGGGCCTTCCTCTGCCGCTGCCTTCGACTCCATCTCTTTTATCTAGACAACCCATGGATTCTGTTCGTAGTGTTGGAAATTTGTTTGTTTGCTGGTCGACAACGTCACGTAGCCAAATATAGTCGCATAGAGTCAGCCTGTCTCCATTGCTCCATGGATCCATCTCTGGGCAATGTTCTACACTGTATCTCTATCTCAGTATCTGTAACTGTTGACTGTAGCTCTATCCATATCTGTGTGTACTCATGGCACTAGTCATAGCTGACACTTTATGGCCAGCACTTGTTGTTGGCTCTCCAACTGACTGACTGATGATTGCTCTCGAATGGCGTCAAGACTTTCGCTTTTATGGCAACGGCAACGCTTCCACGAAGCCTAATCAGCAATGTTGCATTAGCTGGGACATCATTTAAATAAGGAATTCTACCCGTCTAGGGCAGGGAGCTCTCTGGAAAAAGAAGATTCAAATGCACGGCGGGTTAATTGGAATGGAAAAGTGCTCAGGAATGGGCAGCAGATTGAGCTATTATCGAGTGGAATTTTGATATGAAAATATAGAGGAAAAAGTCTTTAATGGGAGAAATAATTGTTGGTATTCCAGGAATTTCTGCAGCTCTGCTTTGTGGCGCCTCCAGCTATTAGCTTTTACCCACTAACTTTCATTGTTTGCCGCACAAAATGGTAATCTTCCAAAGGGCTGGCAACCGAATTACACGCGAGATAGACCTGGCCCATACTCCTCCCTGGGCTGCAGCTCTCTTCTTCCACTCTTCCCTGTGCTGAAGCTCACTTCTTCCACTCCGGGCGGACATGGCAGACGACACGCACACACCCAACGGCCTCAAACAAACATGGCGCAAAGTCAAACAAGTGCTCAGCCCTGCACGGCCATTACTTAATGGCGGCCAAAGCGAGAACAATTTATGCTACCCCTGCAATGGGGCTCGTTCCTTTAGTGATAATGCCAGGCCATGTGAGGCGTCAAAAGCTTAAATATTTACAGTGCCCCAAAAAGCAGCAAGATTAGACCAAAAGCAGAATCAGCACTAGAACCAAAGCCACACGGCCAGACAGCCAGCTAGAGGCTGAAAAAAACAAAGAGATAAATTGCGGGGGGGGGACAGCAAGCGGGAGGGCAAAAAAATCATGAAAATATTTGTTAAAAGGCAAATAAATTGCGGAAGATAAAGATCTAGTTTTGATTAAAATTTAAGCTTTTTCACAACCTCAGCAGCTACCGAACTGAGCCAAGCTGCGACGCGTCTCCGCTGAAAGATCAACAAAAGCGTCCGAAAAAAGGAGTAGCCAGAGGGGAGCGGAAAAGAGCGGAAAAAGAAGAAATTAAAACTTGTCGCATCGAGAATTTATGTTTGTTTTGAACACAGAGAAAGAAAGAGAGGGAGAGAGAGAGGGAGACTGCGACAGAGAGCGGGATATAAATTAGAGTCTGCGTCTGGGATGGGGAATAGTTCGTTATCATATTGTAGCGTGGACAGCATGTTGTTGCTCTGCTCGTATATGGCAAACAATACGGTACTTT